AGATAATTGTGCAGTATATCTAATACTTTGGTAAAGAGTTTAGTGAGTAACAGATATATCTACACTCACATTTTTTAGAGCCTTTTCAAGTGAATTAGGCTCTAAACTTCCGTGCGTCTGTGTCTTTAAGGGTAGATCACACGACCCCTCTCTCCAGGTTAAGTGTGTATTTTCCTCTCCCCAACGTATATAAAAGACACAGAATTATCCAACTAAGTGTAGCATCCTTTGTAATCTTTTCATACACTTAAATAATAAATTAAAGTGCTCACCTTATTTAGAGCCTTTTGGTAACTGGCTCTAAGTATATAGGCCTAGTGTCAATTTGTGGGGTGACACTGCCCCTTCCCTGGAATCACTGGTACTGGATACAGTGGATTGTTTAAAATGAAGAAAATTTATTACAGAGTATATAGAATCAATATAAAAATTTCTAGAAAATAAAAAATAAATAAGAACAAAGTATTGCAAGTATTTAGTGGTTTAGGAAAAATGATGAGTCCACTTTAAAAGCCAAAACGCGTTTCGCCGGTAAAAACGGCTTCCTCAGTCAGCTTGTGGGTTTCCTCTGGGTGTCCTCTGTTTTGAGCGTTCAAAATCCCGCCGAAAAAGTCGTCCTCCAATCGTGTGAGTCCTTGCGTCACGTGATGCGGCTGAAAAGCCGTCGCGTCACTTCCGGGTTTTCGGCACTACAGAGTCCATAGTGCTTTGCGCTCAGCGCGGCACTTCCGGTTTTCGTCCGGTCTGTCACAGGGGACTTAGTCCGCAATGGGAGGATTAATCAGTCTATGTTTGAGCCTCCTTAGGCTCATACACAGTTTAAAATAGAATAAAAAGACATACATAATTAAAGGTTGTAATGTGCTGTTCTTTTTACACATTGTATATGAACAAGCAAATATATTTAAGCTTATTAATTCCTTTATATACAGTTATGTGCAAAGCATGCAAGTCTTGAAAATAAACAGAGAATAAGAAGGGAAAGTGACTTGTGTTTTAAAAGTGCATTATGATGAAACTCTATTTATATAAACATATGATTTCAACTGCTATTTTTTCTTATTATCAAAAACATATAGAATTCATATGAAATGAGTACACTTGCTTGTATGTTATTTAGAGTAGTAATAACTCATTTATAAAAACATGCAGAATAGCAGACCCAGTAAAAAGCAGTGTATTTTATAAAAAGTGACATAACTCAAAGTCAGCATTTAACCCCATAGGTGCTAGAGTATTGAGATTGAAGATCCATTTTGTTTCGATTTTTCCCAATTTTTTAATTTCATCTTCCCCTCTCCAGTTGAGTGTAATTTTCTGGATGGCCATAAAATCTAGAAATTGTGGGTCTTTATTATGCACTAGGCTAAAATGTTCTGAAACACTGTGTTTGTCGTATCCTTTTCTGATGTTTCTAATGTGTTCATTTATTCGTGTTTGTAGGGGGCGTTTCGTTCTACCAACATAGAATAAATTGCAAGAACACTTTAAAACGTATATAACCCTCTTGGAAAAACATGTGATCATTTGGCGTATCTTGTATTTCTTCTCCCCTTTTGGGTCATAGAATTCTGTAATGTGCCTTTTTGTGCTTTTTGTGCTTCTACAAGCTAGACACTGTCCACAACCAAAAAAACCTTCTTTCTGAAAGAAGGGGGTGGGTGTATTTTCTTTAATATGATTATGTGTCAATTTTTGTTTTAGGTTAGGAGCTCCTCTATATACTAATTTCGGTCTCTCTGGTAATATAGAGTGTAGCATAGGATCGTTCCTTAGCATAGGCCAATGTTTGTTTATTATTTGTTTAATTTTATGACTTTCTTGATTAAAATTACAAATAAATGGCAAATTCATGTTCGTATTGATGCTTTTTGGTTTATATTTTAGCAATGAGGTTCTTTCCATGGTTTTAACTTCTTCAATAGTATTTATGAGAGAGGTTTCTTCATACCCTTTTTCCATGAAATCTTGTTTAATTTTAATAGCCTGTATCTCAAAAGTGCTTTGATCAGTGCAGTTTCTACGAACTCTCATAAGTTGTGCTTTAGGTATATTTTTTAACCAAGGAGAAAAATGGCAACTGTTTAGGTAGATGTAATTATTTACATCTACCGGTTTAAAAAAAGTTTTGGTCTTAATACTGTTGTCTTCTATAAAAATAGTTAAGTCTAAAAAATTGACACTTTCTTTGCTGTATTCTGTGGTTAATGTCACTCCCCAATCATTTGTGTTTAGAGAGGTTAAAAATGTTTTTAAAAGATCCACTGAACCGTTCCAGATTAAAAAAATATCGTCTATGTACCTCTTATAGGTACATAGACGATATTGGTTTCTTGTTAATGTTTCTGTGGTGGGCTGTGGGGATACTTAGGGCTCTTCCCAGAGGGTTCCTTGGGCTGAGTGCCCCATTTAGAAGTGTGGGAGGTGGTGGGAACCAGGAAAGGTTGTCGGTTATGTTTGCCATTTTGTGTTCCTGAAAATACGTACACTGTTTATGGCATATTTAACGTTGATTTCACTGTCTCCGACCACTAAGGAAAGGGCTGCATAGGACCGCTTCAACGGCTACCAATGCATAGAAAAGGCATGTAGTGGGTGGATAATTAAGGGGTAGCACATGACCATAGCAGACACCCCCATACTGTTCGCCCATACCAACATATGCAGCTCCATATACTACCTAATACATGGGCTGGGAAAATCACGACCCTACAACTGACACATTTCGATCAGACACAGACCCCCAAGTGACTGACTCTCGTTGTACATATCATTGGGAACCACTGCGAACAACTGAGTTCTTAATATCCCATACCGCGGATTGGACCCTCCCGATTTAGAGTCAAAGTCCCCTACCCAGGCATTAGACACCAGTATATACTTTACCTGAACCTTCCCCCCCACCCCAACTTTTCTCCTCTACATCTCACCCCCTCTGCTGCTCTTTTTCATTACATAGCACACCTAACATAGCCGACCTGGCTCGCCTCCGCCTTCCCCGACACCCTAGAATGACTAACCCGGGCTTCGTGCCTGCCCCATCTCCGGTTCTGGATTAACAATGTACGGGACCTGAATATTCCTGAAAAACATTCCCAACTGCTCTGGAGCCTTCCCCGGAAACACACTTCCAAGGCTCTCCCACACTCAAAAACCACAGATTCCCCTTGGGCTTTTTTGCTAACTGCAATGAGGCCAGGAGGGCGGGTGTAGCCATTATATTCGCTAACACCGTACCATTCGTTTGTGCAGAGACACTCGCAAAACCGCTGGTAAGATATCTCTTCCTTAAGGGGACAATAGCTGACCACAAGTACACTCCCGAATCAGAACCAACCTATCTTTTTGACACAAACACTGTCCCGACTGGAAAAGTTCAGGGAGGGGCTCTTGCTGGTTGCAGGTGACATTGACATGCCTCTAATACCACCACAGGATACCTCTACGGGAATTAGCTCTCTTCCACCCCGACACATCCACCTTGCTAGGCAATCCCTTAGGTGACTTGGGCTGGTAGACTGCTGGAGGGTGGTATACCCAGATGACAGGGACTTCATGTTTTACTCCGCAGTCCACAAACACTATAGCCGAATCGACTACTTCTTCTTGGCACAATAATTTCTACCCTTACTCATTCACTCAGAGATAGGGACCACGGTTAGCACTGCCCACTCATCGGTATCCCTCACACTGAGCTCCCACTTGTATAAGCCTAGGGAACGACAGTGGAAGCTGAATGAAAAATCTGTTGACAGACTCAACAGAATTGGAATCGACGAGGAAAGAACTGGCCCACTACTTTGAGATTAACGACACACCCGACACCTACCCGTTGACAGTCTGGGAGGCACACAAATGTGTGATCAGAGGGCACTACATAAACATTTGCACGCACCGCAAGAAAGCCCATATAAGACGGATGGCCTCTCTGGTCGCCAAGATTACGAACCTTGAAAATGCGCATAAACGGACACTAGCGGAGGACACATTCCTCCAACTGACACGCAGACAGTTGCAAAACCTCCAAGCTTAAGACCTACTGCATACACTCATCCACAAGATTCAAACACATGATAAAGGGGAGACCCATCTGCCAGAAGGAATTCTTAATGCATTCCAAACGTATTATACAGACCTATATAATTTATCCCAATCACACCCAGGAGAGCCTGCGCAACTGTGGCACCATCTGGCACCTGTAGACAAACACAGACTAACATGCACACAAAACATACACCTGATGCAATATGGTGAACAAAGTTCAAAATGCCCGTTAGGCGAACAGAAGATCTGCATTGTTTCGAACAATAAGTGCACGGTTACGGAAACGTGCCTATGCTGCCTGAGGCCCAAACGCTTTTTCAATGGGAACATATTCCCACTCTGATGATGTCATATACTGAAAGGAAAACAATGTACACTGAGGGCATAAATTGTTAATCTAACAGTCCAGTCTGACTTATATATTAAAGCACTCCATGGTACTGCCCTATCCAACGCCTAGAAGTTATTTTTCAATGACTACTATGGAGTAAAAATAAATGTAAAGGATATAGGATTGGAGTCCGGAGACATATTAGGGCCTCCCATCAGATCTACTGCTACAACTGTTTTTTGTCTACCCCATACAATATACTATTGAGTATTTGACTTGCAATATGTTAAAGTGTTACTTGAACATCTGAATTTGTACACAGAACTACAAAAAATTATTATGAAAATGCAAATAAAGATTGTAAAAAAAAAAAATATGGCAATGATTCCTTTCCAATCCCATTACCTGTAATTAACACGATTTGACGTACAAGTTCAGATTTTTATTATTGTATCAAACGACTCACCAGGCGTATTAAGCCGATAACTGTGCCAGTTGTTCTACGTAACACTTTGTTGATAAGTAACAAAACTTGCACTGATAAAGGCTTCATCACACACTGATTGTTCATTTAGACCAAACATTACTGTAGAAGACTCCGAGGCATAGTAACTGCTGAGAGACAATGAATACCTACATGAAGGCAGCGGCAATCACTTTATTCATCAGTCTAGCAGTTTTGGCAGCATGTAAGTGTTTTATTTATTCATTTATTTGTTCATATGTTTAGGTTTGATGTCCTTGGATAAATAATAAGCTTTTTTTAAAGTATTATTATTATTTATATGTATTTAAAAGTTTGCGTCTTTAGGCTCCCTACCTCATATGTGACGTAAACTGAAAAATTTATAGAAACACTTCTGTTATTTTTTGGGTTCTTTTGTAAAGACTAAAACAATAATGCTCGTTACCTACAGAAATACAGGTGTTTTGCGTTTCGGTATTTAATATAATAAAATATTATTTATTGAATATTTTCTTTATACAAGGACATTTTGATTAATTAACATTTTTAAGAAAATCTATCTATCTATCATCTTTTCCTGTGCAACATTAACTACTCCCTGAATATTGTATATAAAATATGTAACTAACATTACACAAAGCTCCCAAGCCAAACCTGACATTTAATTAAAGCTTGATATGTGATTAGCAAAATATTAATCAAGGGAACTTTTAAAACCAAACAATCTATTGCTTGAGGCATAGCCAGAAAATAAAATTAAAATTAAAATCACTGGTATAAGATAAATACTCTTTTGATTGAAATAAGTTACATGCGTGCAAGATAGCATGTAATGGAAAGGGTATTATTATTATTATTTATATAGTGCCATCAGATTCCGTAGCGCTGTACAATGAGTGGACTAAGAGACATGTAATTGTAACCAGACAACTGGACGTACAGGAACAGAGAGGTGAAGGGCCCTGCTCAATGAGCTTACATTAAAGAGCGAGTGGGGTATAGTGACACAAAGGGTAAAAGTAGGGGTACGAAGTAGGTTGTTAGAAAAGTATTCACTGAGGGCTTAGTAGGTAATTTTTGACAGTTGCATGAGAGGACTCATGGGGGGGTTGGGAATAAAAACCTGCTAACAGTTTTATTGATATGCTTTCTTGAAGAAGTGAGTTTTCAATGATTTTTTGAATCAGTGGAGACTGGGTGAAATTCTTACGGAGAAGGGAAGGGAGTTCCACAGAAGAGGTGAAGCCCTGGAAAAATCTTGGAGGAGAGCATTAGAGGTGGGAGTACGGACAGAGGAGATACGTAGGTCTTTCTTGTTTAATAGACCAGTAATGACTCATCAACTTAGATAAAACTCCAACTCAGGATCGGACTAAACGGAGATGCAAACCAGTTCACCTGCCAAACCAAATGCTGCCAATAAAGGAGATTTATGATTATGTTCCACTGGCGATATTGCGAGACTGGATTATGAAATGACTTTAGTAATTTGACTTTGTTCATTTGACGTCAATTTCTAGTTCAGCTAATTTAGCTGCATTTTGCAAGTTGGTTGTCACCCACCAAAGCTTACTGTCCACTAAACAAATCCCTTATTCTTGATTTATTACCAATGGCTCTCCAGCTGATGCAGAACTATAATTTCCAATGAGGTTGTAATGAAACTTAGAGTTTTAGAAATTAGGCAACGTAGCTCATTCAGATTTAATGGGCTTTGATAAACGCGATTCAAAGCAGAACACTGAGTTTCTTAATTTGATAGTTGATACAATCAAATAGATTAAGCATATGATTCTGATTTAAATATATTAATTGCACACAATTATATCACACACTACTGCAATATTTTAATTGAAATAAACTGTAACATATTAGCCAATAAACTTATACTTAATTTTATATTTTCCAAGTTTCGGAATGGAGACCAAAGACTCAAAATCAGCAACCTGAGTTTTCCAGAGAGATTCACCGGGATATTGGAAAGAGAGTAAATGATAAACCAAGCCCACTACAGAAAGCCAGGCAGAACGAGAATAAGAGCATCAGAAGAAGACATTATAGAGATGTCATCATGGAACTAGAGTCAAGTTACATTGAGAAAACTCTCACAACGAGTGAAAAAAATGGAGAAATAGTAAATTCTGCACAAAGCAGAAAAAAATATTTAATTATACACACAGGCAAAAATAAAGATATCTTTAGAGACATTAGCAAAGACAAAAGGAAAATGGATGTGATGTTTGAAGGAAGTGGATCTGGATTTGGAACAACAGAAGGACCCCTTAATACAACAATAGTGAGATATACAGAAACAGATACTTCACCATCTGAAGGATCAGGAGACATGGATACAACACCAGTGACATCCAAAGGTCCATACGCAACATCAACAGATTCTATGGAAAGTGCTTCACAAATGCCGACAAGTACCTATTCTCAGTCTCCAACCACCACACCAACCCCAACTACTACTACTAGCAATACTGAGACAACACCAGGTGGGTACCCTGATGAATGTCTCCAGAACCCAGACATAATTTTGTCCTAAAACATGCTTTAGTTCTATTTATTGTTTATATGAGATTCAATCTAAAGTGAAATTTTAAGTTTCTTTACTTCTAAAACAAATTATGTTCAAAAATCTTTTTAGCATAACATTTATTTTCAACATGGGATGTCTTTGCACTGCAATGTGATAAATTATCCAGTGTTACGTGGTGTTAGAAACACTGTGCATGAGATTAGCGCATGGATAATGTTGCCTAGTGTATAGTACGTGGTTCGACAACCATAATCTGTTTTTTGAATATATGTTTTATGTTTCTGTAACGCTGAGCTGCTTATTTTTTCAAACATTCTATATATTATTTATTTATTTATTTATAAAATATTTTACCGGGAAAGATACATTGAGATTTCTCTTGGTTTCAAGTATGTCCTGGGTTTCAAGTATGTCTTATTAATAAGTCATTCTTTTATTATGCATTTCTTTAATCTTCACGCTCTTCTCTCAATATTTTAATCAACAGCATATTTATTATTATTTTTATTTTTATTTAAGGTTTGTGTCGCAATGGAGGTACCTATGATGGAGTTAAATGCATTTGCCTGGATCAGTTTTATGGGCCCTTGTGTGAGAGTGTGGTAGACAGAGTTGAGATCGGTGGTAAGTGTTCCAATTTAACGGGTTGATGGATTAGCCAGATTGAGAACTTTGAACCTAATTATTCAGAGGTAACTTTTTATACTAGAAACATGTTGGTAGAAAATCAAAAATAGATTGGAGTGAAAATTTAAAAATATCCATAATAAAAATAGTAAAACGCATTGAATTGAATAAAGTTGCATTATGAATTGTAGTACATTACAGTCAGTATAGTTTTAAAGCTATCTCCGCAGTGTGAAATTAATTAAATTCATAATGTAAATATCATCAGGCCACCACATATCCATCAACAATCCTATCCTTCTTGGAGTAAATTAACAGCTGACCTTGTATCTCTCTCCGGACAGATAAAGTTAATACCACTGTGAAAGTGAACCTGAGAATCACTAACCGGAATTATACAGCTGGCCTGGAGAAAATCAACTCACCTGAATACAATGAATTTGTAGATAATTTTAGATCAGAAGTGAGTAGTAATCCTTCAAATTATTTTAATTGTTCAGCAATCTATTAATCAGTAGCACAATATAACTATTCACCTCTCTTTTTGTCTTTGATACAGATGAAAAGGTTCTATAAAGATCTACCTGGATATAAAGATGTGATAATCATTAGTTTGAGGTAGGTTTACTACCAACTTATTTTAGTTTTTAAAAATCATAATACTTTGAATATTAGATGCATAGTAACAAATAAAAAAAATTGCATTAAATCGCAGGTTAATTTTATATATCACTGTTCAGGGGTAATCGAAATAGATAAATAAGGAAACTTTTAATAATACAACAACAGTGGAGGGACCAAAATGATCAATCCACTGAAGTTGTTATTGGTTGAAGGGTATTAGGGCATAACCCAAGAATAACAATACAAAGAGAGAGAACTGAGATGAGTGCACTAGAACAGTACACCCAAAGTCAGAACCTAAACCCTAAATGTATATACTCCGCTAGTTTATTGCAACAAAGTTGCCAATAATGGAACCTAGAGTGAACTAATTATAAAATGTATAAATCTTTATTGGTCCCTCTTAGGGGAAATAAGATAAAACAAAAAAGAAGAAGATAAAAAAAAATGTAAGTTTAAAGTGACCAGAATTTTATATATAAAAAAGGATCAACACTTGATCAATTCACACAAAATCATCGATATACGTCGTCATGGATAGCTTAATAGGAATTAAAGTATAAGCAGAGGCTTATTATAGATGGCTTCCAATTACTGCCTCATCCACAGTTAGCTAAATATATTTGAAAGTACCCAGCTGACAGTAATTATTTGTCTCCTACTTGATATTATTGTAACAGAGAAATGTTACAAGTAATAAATAGATACAGTATCCATGGGACAAAATTATTGTTAATAACTTATGAGCGAGTATGGTATCCGTGATGATAAAATGTAACCCCTGAGAATGAAGACTGTTGTGTATTAACTTAAGTATAGCGATGTGTTTATAAATACACATATGTCAATGCTTATTAAAGTTGTCCGAAGTAAATACAGTCAAAGAGATTACAAAAAGCAAAAGTGGTGGGGGATATATTAGTCATAAGTGCAATAAATTGCAAAAAAATATATGTATTTTGGAGTATCTGGGGAGCAGTGTAAACCGAACTAGTAAAGTAATTATGATACTAATCGGTGAATAACACTGTCCCCCCAATTGGAATACCCCAGAACAATAGAGGATGAATGGCAGAATTTCTGAATACCCCGTTTGACTCTATCCCACCCTAACCGGTGCCTAAAGAAAGCTTACAGGAGAGCTGTAGAATCAGATAGAGAGACATTATTAATCAAGAATACACCCGCTATCTCTACCAACCACGTATGATCGCCACCTACAACGCAGGGTGGGATAGAGTCAAACGGGGTATTCAGAAATTCTGGCCTCTCCTAACGGGAGATACACATCTTAAAAGGATTTTGGGCCCAAATATTGAAATGACAGCAAGGAGAGGCAAAAACTTGAGAGATCTCCTAGTACCGAGTCATTATCAATCACAATACCTTCAAACTCGAACTTGGCTCAATACACCTATTACTGGTACTTTTCAATGTGGGCGATGTGTCGCCTGTAAATACATTAAACGTGATTCTAAAAGAATATCCGATAGTGAAAACAAACAAATTTTTAACATCACTTCATTCTTTAATTGCAATACCGCAGGTTTAGTGTATCTTCTTACCTGCGAATGTGATTGCAAATACGTAGGTAAAACCTTCCGCCCTTTCAAAGAAAGAATTAAAGAACATGTCCGTTCACCTAAATTGAGTGTTGAAACCCCCATCGCCCGTAACCTGAAAGAACATCACTCAGGCAAATCACATGGCTTACGGTTCTGTGGTTTAGAACTTGTAAAACGGGATAGAAGAAGGGGGGATTATGATAGATTCCTAAAACAACGGGAGAGCTTCTGGATTTACAGGCTCAAGACTTTACAACCCAGAGGACTGAATGAAGGTTTTTCGTTTGCACCATTCATCTAGTTAACACTAACCATCTCTTTTGTAGTGTCAAATCCCTTACCTATTTGCTATAATAGGGATATGCGACTGAGCATTAAACTACTTCATCTATATAGGTTCGATTGCTTATCACATGTGGGATCCCCCAAAAATATTTGAAACTCACATATTACAATATAATGAAATATCATAATTTAAATATTGTAAACTTAACACATAATCAAATTTAGTTTACTGCATTTAAGTGTCTGAACATATATTTCCATAATGTTCAAATATTGGTTGCTATTCTATCTATACATCTGTAAACCTGTATGGTATACAATTCTGATATGGTAAATGTAATATATAATATTAAACAAGTTTACTTAAACAATAAGCTGTTCCTAAAATGTTTCGATACAAGCTGTCACTTTTACTATACTTCATCCATATATTTGCTATTCTGTACTCTCTTTATGGACCTCTGTGTTCCAACAATTTCCTATGAACTACATATATTTACTCTAATCTCCCCTTTTGGGATTTCTTTGCATTATAGGCACAGAGGGGGTTAATTCCATCGTGCCGATAAGGCTGGCTGCCATTCTCCTCTCTGGCCACGCCCACAACTCGGGCCGTCTGACAACATACCATGACGTCACATTTTGTGATGGGCGGGCTTATGAGGGTTTAAAAAGAAGCGCCAACCTCACAATCGGTTAGCCCTTGACAAAGGCGCATGCTGGCGCCGAAACGCTCGTTGGGCACACTGATACTTAATATGCATCCTACTTAGGACTACTATTTCTTCACTTAAGGCAACACTGATACTTATCTCTACTTAGGATCATCATTCAACTTTATTCAATTCAATTAGGATTAGAGCGGAGGGATTTATTTCTTTAGAACTATTAGGAATTAATATTAGGGCTTGCTGTATCTCTCCGGCGTATTGCTCGGTTTTTTTTCGAGTTTGGAGGGAGGGTCTTTTGTTGCCATCTTCATTAGACCATTTTTGATATTTAGTCCTTTTAGTTCTCCTAGGACCTATCTATATAGGAATTGTTTATACACATAAGGTTCGAATCAAAAGCATTTTAGATATTTAATTCTCAGAGGGGTATATATACCAAGTGAATATTTGAGACTCTCAAGCTTTAATTTCTATTATCCCAGTATGTCGACCTTTTCGTGTACAGTCTCCTTTACCGTGTTATGGGGGTTCTGATTGAGGGAACTGGGGTGATGGAAGGTTTATAGGCTACTCTGGTTATATTATCCTTACAGTGTATTCTGCCATTCATCCTCTATTCTCACCCAGCTCCCCCATACCCACACGGAATTCTGAGATACGTTCTGGGGTATTCCAATTGGGGGGACAGCGTTATTCACCGACTAGTATCATAATTACTTTACTAGTTCGGTTTACACTGCTCCCCAGATACTCCAAAATATATATATTTTTTGCAATTTATTGCACTTACGACTAATATATCCCCCACCACTTTTGCTTTTTGTAATCTCTTTGACTGTATTTACTTCGGACAACTTTAATAAGCATTGACATATGTGTATTTATAAACACATCGCTATACTTAAGTTAATACACAACAGTCTTCATTCTCAGGGGTTACATTTTATCATCACAGATACCATACTCGCTCATAGGTTATTAACAATAATTCTGTCCCAAGGATACTGTATCTATTTATTACTTGTAACATTTCTCTGTTACAATAATATCAAGTAGGAGACAAATAATTACTGTCAGCTGGGTACTTTCGAATATATCTAGCTAACTGTGGATGAGGCAGTAATTGGAAGCTATCTATAATAAGCCTCTGCTTATACTTTAATTCCTATTAAGCTATCCATGACGACGTATATCGATGATTTTGTGTGAATTGATCAAGTGTTGATCCTTTTTTATATATAAAATTCTGGTCACTATACACTTACATTTTTTTTATCTTCTTCTTTTTTGTTTTATCTTATTTCCCCTAAGAGGGACCAATAAAGATTTATACATTTTATAATTAGTTCACTCTAGGCTCCATTATTGGCAACGTTGTTGCAATAAACTAGCGGAGTATATACATTTAGGGTTTAGGTTCTGACTTTGGGTGTACTATTCTAGTGCACTCATCTCAATTCTCTCTCTAAATAAGGAAACTTATACACATTTCAATTAATTTATCATTTAATTTTTACAGAAATATTGGTGGTATAAAGAATGTTAGTAACTATATTTTGTCTGCTGTCTTGCAAAAGTATTTAATATTGAGCTTGTAATTCCATTTGTTATAAATGCATGTATATGTAACTGTGAATATCCTTTCAACCTATCACAGATTTTAACAGACGTTGTGTATCTCTTGCAGCAATGGCTCTGTCTATGTCGAATACGAGGTGATTGTTGAGGCTGAATATAATGAAAATGTGTCTGTGACTACACAGTACGAGGAGATATTTCAGAATGTCAGTAAAACCATGAAGAATTTTATAAATAATTGCACAAGTAAATCAACTGCAGGTAAGTATTTGATGAGAGTCTAAATAAAATGTGCTTTGCTGAACATGTAGCGTTTGTATATGGTTTGACTAGTTTCTAGTGACTGAGGAGCAGGTGCTACTTTGAAGTTGAGATATCTAGAAGCTCGATGTATGGGTATAGTAATGAGACCTAGTTTTGACAGTTTGTTTTTTCTGGCGTTAATTAGTTCTTGATTTGACCTTCAGCACATGAAAATAGCTGACCTGGTGTATGTGGAATGCTATGGTGGGAAAACCAATTACATAACGGTTCCTTTGGGATCCAGGAAACTACCACTTAAACTACAGAAGTGATATGTTCACAAGACAATATGATAAATATGACCAACCTAGAAGGAATATAGGCCTTAATTAATTTATTTTGGATATGCTTTTGAAATGATCACAATCTGTTTTTTTAAATGTTTTATCTACAGAAACCTTTTTTAAATGTTTTATCTACAGATTTACCATTAACATCTTTGAGGGTTTTGTAGAGAAATTTGGAAAGATTGTAATCATCCGGAAAGCTTATCCAAGAGAATTAAATTGAAGTGATAATCAGCAGTCAGTGAGAGACTAGAGCAATTTTCTTAGGGAAACTCACATCTTTTGCACTTTGTGTTTATGACACATGAAGTTGTGTCTGGAGATTTTGCTCTTAGCTAAAAGGATTTTTCACTAAAGTAAGGAATTCAAACTGAATCATATATATTTTCAGTTTTTTAAACTATTACATTTGTTTTCAGTCCTATCTCAAGAATTCATACTTTATTGAATAACCTCCTGTTGTAATATTTCTCAGTGTTGTGTTGTGTGCTAGGAATCTCTTCAGTGATGCGTATCTTCATCTTTTTGTTTAATTTCATTGTAGCAAAACTGTGTGTTGATGAAACCAACATCAGATTAGATCCTGTTTCTCCAAAAAGTGAAAAAGGTATGTTTTTAAACCCAGTATTCCAGAGTTATTATTATTGATAGTAGGCATGAAAGAAATAATCTGAAAGTGTATGTATTGTCTTTTTGTAGAACTCTGCAATGAAGCTGTCCAGGCTGGCTTTGCAGAACACTTTGAACCTATGGTCATCAATAGTAGCTTGATCTGTGTTTCAAGCTGCAGTCCAAATTCAAAAAGCTATTTAAAGTGTTATGAGGGCACCTGCCAATTAGAAAAGGTCACAGGAGCACATTGTCTGTGAGTATGCATTATAACTTATAGAACAATCCTTTTGTACATATGAATGCATCCTAATGAATTGTTTATCTAATGCTGCAATGGTTCCCGGACTTGGGATGGTTCTCGGACTTGGGATTTAACTCAACAGACTGTGCCTATAATTGTGTTTCTGTGTTATGTGTCTGTTTAGTAACTTTGCATTACTCTATCTTTGTTTTGCAGTTGTCCAAAAACAGAAACATACATATATACATTCCGGGGGTGCCAGGGGAAGATATTAAAAGCAGGATTGTACGGTGGCATTGGTGCGGGAATTGGAGTGCTTTTAATAATTATATTCACTGTTGGTTTCATTATGATTCGAAAGAACCAGAAAAAGTAAGTACTGTATGTTTAGTTTATAGCTCATGTATGTTGTTTGTTTACATACCACCTGTACATTGTGTGTTATCTCACTTTTACTCTTTGTGAATTCAGGCATACATTATTCAAAGATGATGAAAACTCATTGTATGAAGACGATGACAATGATTGGACTGCTCAGCGGGGTATCATCAACCTGAGTGAAGACGTATATGAAGGTATTTAAAACATTCAATAGCACCATTATCCAGATATCAAATTATGACTTTATCCTACGGGGGAAATATTTCACTTACTCTAGAATGACTAAAATTATGCTTAATCCCTATGTGGGTGCTATTAGAACACATTAGAGGGACAAACTCACAATTCCATCTGTCTATTTCATTGTGCCACCATTCTGGTTGGAGTGACAGACTCATATCTCCTTCAATCTGTGTCAGTGCGCCATCCTGCAGAGGGAAAAACAGACTTGTTGGTTCTTCTGTCTGTGTCAGTCTGTCAACCTCTGATTTGTAGCCCCTTATGTATGGGTTACTGTATCACATTACTGGGAGAGAGACAGACTCATAGCTCTTGTTCTTGGTGTCACCGTGCTCGCAGATAGACAGATACATAGCTATTTTATTGTGCCCCATGTAGAGTATAGGAAGAACTTGTAGTAATTCATGTACCATGTTAAAATTTCTCACTAATTGTTACTCTTTGTACAGATTCTCAGCAAAGTTCGTTCTCTGGCACAGAAAGATTCCAACCATCCCTTGAGAATGTAGATACAACCATTCAGGTATGCAAAGATTTGCTTCAAGTTTGGCAATACCCTCTTTTCATCCATGTTCTTCCCTTTTGTCTTTGTATACTCCACTTTGTGACCCTTATTTCTATTGTCTGCTTTCTTTTGTTTGACATTTACTTTTGTTAAGCACTATTTCACTATATTGTGCTTCTCCATCTCTGTTGGAAAGACTGTTACATTTTTAGAATTTGTACAGCTCATTTATTAATTGAAACTCTGAACTTTTTTTCATTTCCTTGTTTAATTATTGACGTTCTTTCTTTTTTTAACCTCACATAATTTTAATTTCTTGTGCAGGTGAAAATACAGAGACCAAAGGTTTTGAAGTAACAATTTGTCAATAAGGACATCGGCTGCCCATTTCCTTTACTCATTCAGGCAGGACACAAATTAGAGATGACAATCACCTGACTAACCTAGATACATTCTTTATAAAGACCTTTTCAGGAGAAATTTAAACATAACTGTTATCTACAATGGAAGAACAAGGCACACATCATGCTACAGAACACAGAACTCTTCACCCTGGCCACAGGAGGATAGACTTACAAGATTGTCACTTATATTATGAATTTACGACCTTGCCAATCTCAGTTTTATTGTTTGGTGTATAGTGTTTGTTTTTTTTTTTTTTTTTTACTTACTTTGAAATTAATTTCAAGGCTGTTATGGCACTGTCTGACAATTAGTTAAAGGACAACTGACATTTAAAAACTATTGTATAATATAATAATCTTGAGAAAAATGCGTCCCTACCTTTAGTATATGACAGGATCCTTCAGGTATACGTCTGAATGTTTGGGCAAACATTGTTTCAATACTGACAGTTAGTCTCTATGGTCTTCTCTGCTTCTGTGCGGGGAGTGAGGTAGGGAAAATCATAGAAACTGTCTAAACAAAGGTGCATGTATATAATTAAAGGATCATGACACATACTAAAGGTGGGGATATTTATTTCTCTTTTTTTCTACTTATCATTCATTTAAAACTTGATGAAAAGTGGATTATATTAAAAATAGTTTTAGGGTGACAGTTGTTCTGTACAATCAATGATTTCCCATGAGTCCATGTGTTTGTCTGACAGCTAAATGCACTTCAAAAATTATAAAAAGACATTATCCAACAAACATGCACTCACAAAGATTCGTGGGAGGATGGTACAGCAATAGGCCCGAAGTAATATTGAAGTAAGTGAGTTTCTTCTTATCTGTGCTGCCCATTTCAATAATGTTTACAAGGGGCAAGATAAAATAAAAATGTAACTGTAAAAAATATGACAGTGAATTTTCAATACGAACATCTAAATTACAGATGCATAGTGTTACGTTTAAAAATCCATTGCATCTCTATTTCTTTAATTTTCTTATTAAGGTCACCCCCACTCCAATCCATTTTAATTTTCTGGATGGCAAATAAATTGGAGATAGGAGGGGTCGCTATTATGTTTGAGTTTAAAATGTGGAGAGAGGCTCAAGTTCATTTCTGATGTTCCTCATAAGTTCTATTTTAAAGATGAGCTTATGCAGATATTAGAATAAATCTTCACAAACCACACGTGAGGCTAATCATTATCTCAAACCCCGTAAGAAGAAAATCCTAAAATATATTAAAATGTGCTGGCATTTCAAATCTTTACAAACATAAATTTGCTCCCCATTACTACAATATTGGATTTGTATTTTTCCATTGTTTAACTCTGTATTCTCATCGGCTAAGGCCAATAGAACAGCAGTGTTATCTTGAATCATGCCTCCTACGTCATTGTCACTTTATTACTATGTATAAAAGATTTCTTAATGTTATTTAATAAGTATATAATGTATATGACTTAAATATATTTTTATATTAAACATTTTTTTTTTTTAAACTGATGTTAAGACACTATACGAGTGTATTCTGGAACGGCTGCAAAGGCTATGAATGTGGTTTTCAGGAGCACATGGCGCTTATTGCCCTGATGAGATTATCCATACCAAATCACCTTCCCAGATAGTTTACTCAGTCACAACTCACATGAAAGAAGATCTGGCGATGTTTATTTGTCGTATGATCTGTAGAATGTGCAGTTACAAAAGGTAAAAGAACGATTCTTCCATACAGGTTAGGAGAGATACAAGTACATATGAATGTACAGCATAGAAAACACTAGAACACTTGTAACATCTGTCTGTGCTGTTATGTTTAAAGCATTCGTATGCTAGCAGCCGAAAGCCACTAGCATTCATGTATTTCGTTTCATGAACAGAGACTTTACCGGCTGTTTGTGAAACGAATGAGCTACCACCCAGTAGCCCACACACGTTGTTGCAATCGGTAGTTAAAGGTTTTCCTAGGTGGCCACCGTTCGGCTACCGACCACGCGGCGGTCGGCCATCCTTTGTTTCACCAGCGGTGTTTGTCGCCAAGCGCGTGGAGCGTAAATCGGCTACTCGACGGCGCAAACACCGCTGGGCTTTCAGGCCGTTCGGGAGCTCCGGTCTTTTGCTATTATTGCTCCCCATCGGTGTTCGGTATTTTTAGGCGTACACAATGTTAAAGTGTTTTTGTGCGGCGTTCGGTTGTTTAGGCTGGAATCTGAGCAGTATTCTCACGAAATGTGCACTCAGACCCCAGCTATCTACCGAACATCCATTCGTCTAAATGACAGGAATATTGGCAAAGTTATGTATTTTAATGTAAAATGTTGGTTCTGCTGCACGGAGGGATAATCCACTTAACGGTATATTCCAGTGGGAGTATCCCTCTCGTCCAGCAGTGCCTGATGGGAGAAATGTCCAGATTGCTAAGTCCCCCATGTAGTCCCCTACTGTATAACCCCTGCAATGTCAGTAGGGAAACCCCTTGCATGGGGACTTGCATAAATACTGTGACCTGTAAATAAAAACCTGAGTTGACTCCCAGAACTGTGTTTCGTCCGGTTACTGGGGGATTTGGGATATTGCCTTACTTTTCAGCCTTGACTTTGGATTACCTTCTGTACCAGCGGAGATCTTGGTATTTAATATTGCAGTTCTGCTACAATATATATATAAAGATAAGTCCAAATGTCTAAAAGTCCAACTTGAACCTGTAAGTGAAGAAAACATTGGAAAATAATACTGGTGTGTAAACCATAAATACAAGATACCTGCAAAACAGAGAAGGTATGCAGTAAATTAAGAACCAAATGTGAAGTCCAATAACGGATGGATAAAGTCCTGTAGTCTACAGTTTATAGCTGTGGAGCTTCAAAAGTGGCATAGTTAACAGTTATAGTGGCATTCTCCCCACCATAGTACCGTATGGTCTGGTACTCTTGCATAAGTCACTCGCTTGGGAGAAGAAGTACCAATTCTGTGATTGGTTGTGAGAAAGTCCGTGTGGAACCTCCTTTGGTTATCTTAATCTCAACCTTCCAAACCTTTCCATCATCGCTGGGCATTACGCTTGTTACGAGACCCATAGGCCACTCATTGCGACAGACTTCTCTATCTTTCAGAAGAACAAGGTCGCCTACTTTAAGGTTGGGCTTGAGTGTTTGCCATTTGGAACGGCTTTGAAGGATATGCAGGTACTCCTTTCTCCAGCGGTGCCAAAACACGTTGGCTACGTGTTGCACCTGTTTCCATTGACGCCTGTAGATATCCTTCAGGTCGATCTCAGCAGGAGATATCACTGTAGTCCCAACCTTCTGAGTAAGGAGTGTGGCTGGGGTAAGAATCACTGGAGAATCAGGATCAGAAGATACTGGTACTAGAGGCCTTGCATTAATGATGGCGGATACTTCCGAGAGAAAGGTACTCAAAGTCTCATGAGTCAATAGTGAAGACTTGCAGTCTTGTAACATGGAATCGAGAATTCTTCGAGCGATACAATCATTCACTCCCAGGATCCTCCCATATGTGAAGAATGTGGTGGATTAAACAGCCAAGTACATCCATTGTTTGCTAAGAAATTGTCTAGTTGAAGTTCTTTACAGGCTCCAACGAAGTTGGTACCACAGTCGGATCATAGCTGCTTGACAGGTCCTCGGATGGAGAAGAATCTTCGCAAAGCGTTGATGAAACAAGAAGAATCCATTGACTCAATCACTTCAATATGTACTTCTGTAAATTGTCTACCTTGGTGTTGTATTAGTTCATGATGGTGCCGGATTAGAAGAGTGGCGATGTGGTGCTGACCTGGTCTGATGATAGAGTTTTGTTCCTTGCTGCACAGGTCAGATTTCTCTATTCGACCTCCAACTCGCAGCAACTGATTGTCATCGACCACAGGGTTTAGATTAAATAGTGAACTATCCTTTGATAAAGGTATTCCACCTTTGAATCTGTGGACTTCTTCCATGTACACTTCTTGTTGTACACAGCGAATGATAACCTTTTCAGGACACTCATTTTCCATTGCGGTAGGATGGTTGGTACAGATATGCCAACCATGACACTCTGATGTTGAGCTCCTTTTAAAACAATGGGCAACATGAATCAAATAAGCAACAGCCCTAACAGCTGATGACCAGGTTGAGAAACATTCAAAACAATGTGACTTGAGTTTTGGTTCTGGACTCGTAGAGGTATGCAGTGTGGTGTTCATAGACCTGATTTCTTTATCATCATCAGGATATACCAGTTCGTAGGTAACGTCAGTGGAAATTGAGTAGGAGTTTTCATGAAGAAATCTTGGAGGCGACAGCCACAAGCAGCCATGGAGAGCTGCTGGGGATATAGCTTTTGTCCCATAATCAGCAGGATTAAGGTCAGTGGGAATATAATGCCATTGCTTTGGTAGAGAGAACCTTTTAATGGCTTGATGTAGATTGTTCGGTAGCTTTTGGAGGTGAAAGGGTAGGGGTACCACCCAATTATTGGAATCTTCCTGAAAGAACTCGTTGTCCATTACTTTAAGGAATTCTTTGCCTTCTACTGAAGGAGCTAACATGTTGTCTTCGCTGCTTGCATTGAAAACTGTAGAGCCAAAACTGTCATCGTATGTGTGGGAAAGGTTTGTGTTGCCGTGTTGCAACTTGCAGCTAGTTACCTTCTCCTTTACCCAATAGTGATGTGGGCATGGCTCAAAGTGAGTATTATGACCATTTGGCAATACATTTGTCTTGAATGAAGAAATGTTAGTAGGCCTTTTCATTTTGTCTATACAGACATTACCTATGATGACCCAGCCTAAGTCCAGGTACTGGGCAAATGGAGCATCTGAGGGTCCGCTGACCTGCCTGTGCATCTTGTGGACCCTTAGAATATCTCTTCCCAGTAGAAGAAGGATTTTAGCATCTTTTTCAAGTGATGAGATTTCACTTGCTACTGACTTTAGTTGAGGGTGGTAGAAGGCAACTTCTGGTGTAGGTATTTCTTCTTTGTTGGCTGGTATCTACCCTCTACAAGTGTAGGTAAGGGTAAATGTAAGTTATCTCCTAGGGAGGACACAATAAGTTCATGGGCCCTTCTTCCAAACGCCTCTGTAGTGCCAGTACAAGTGCCTAAGGTGTAAGGTTAAACTTCTACTCTTATGCAAAGTAGATCAAACAGTTCGGATCGAGCAAGTGATCAATTGCTTTGATCATCTAAGATAGCATACACCTTTAAAGTCTTTTCTGGTTGATCCTTGTGGTGGGCATTCACTAGGCATATTTTAGCACAAGACTTGTCACAGTGGTCTTCCCCACAGACTTCAGTGCATGAGGAAAATATCACGGTGGAATTAGGCACCTGATCTGTACTCTTCCCGTTGTGATTTGGCCTGGGAGAAAGGTTTGCAGATTGTGAAGGGTTGGCTTTGAGTGGATGGAGAGCTTGTACATGGTCCTCGGAACCGCACTCTATGCACTTGATAGGGGTTTTACATTCCTTGGCAAAGTGATCAGTGGAAGCACAGCACCTATAACATACCCCAAAGGTCTTTAGGAGTTCCTTTCGTTCTTGTAGGGGCTTCTTCCTAAAGCCGATACATTTTTTGAGGGGATGTGGCTTTTTGTGGAAAGGACATGATCGGTTTGGGTTTTTGATCTTGCCGCTCTTGTTTGAGGCGGGAGCTGAGGTGGGAGCGGGAATAATGTCTGTCTTCTTAACAGACACGGGACCTCTACGGTTCCTGTAGCTGATATGCAGGTTGTCACCTTTCAAATGCAAAACTAGGATCGTTCTTGGTGTCAATGTTCCTGACAAATTCACAGTAGTAGGAGAAAGGGGGAAATGAAACCTTGTTTTCCCATTTGTATTTTGACCCAATTTGGATCCACTTTTCTCGTAGGCCATACGGAAGCTTGTAAATGATAGGGTTAACTCCTCAAGCAGTGTCCAGGTAACTGAGGCCCGGTAGTTTAGGGTCGGTTTTGGCAAGCTGGACTTCGAGAAGAAGGTCACTGAGTCTCTGGAACTCTTTAATGCCCTTACCGGATATCGTTGGGAAATTTTCCAATCGTTTTAGCAATGCATTCTCTATGGCTTCAGGACCACCATAACTCTGTTCTAGACATTCCCATGCAGCGATGAGACCTGCAGTTGGATTGTCGATGTAGACTGACCTGAGGCTCTTGACACGTTCTGTAGATTGTGGGCCAAGCCACCTGATCAGCAGATCCAGCTCCTCAGCAGCAGTAACATCGAGATCACCTATAGCAGTTTTGAAGGCAGCTTTCCAGCTTCTGTAATTTTCAGGATGGTCATCAAAACTTATTAAGCCTGACTTGGTAAGCTCACGTCGAAGTATATACTTTATGAACTCTGCTGTGTCAGTTGCCTCTGACTTTTCATAGGAGGTGGCTGATTGAATGTTGCGGGTTGCGTTGTTTATGGTATTGTTGTAAAAAGACATGGGAAGATATGGTGCAGCAAGGGCGTTCAGCTGAGTTGTTAGGTTAAAGTCTGGAACAGTACTATTAGCAGGAGGTTGGTGACTCGCTTGCAGATTGGTGTGCCATTCTGTGACGTGCAGAATCAGCCTGACAGTCGGGTGATGCACAGGGGTGGTTTTGCATGTAGGAAGTTGCTGGAACAGCTTTTGCCTGGTGGTGTGGTGAAGTCCTTGCGTTGTCGTGAAGAATGGAGGCAATTGAGTGTTCGCTGCTGTGGTTTAGAACATAGTTCTTAGTGCGTTTGAAAGGATCTTCGTTATCTGCCGTGATGCTGACCCTTTCACTAGCATTTTCATCTGCACTGAGAGCTTGTTCCAAAATCTTTAGTTTCGCTTCAGCTGCCTCGTAGTTGCTCTGTTCCTTTAAAGCTTCAATTGCTGCCCTTTGACATGCTGTCTGAGCTTCCATTGCTGCCCTTTGACATGCTACTTTAGATGCTGCCTCAGCTTCTATTGCTGTAGCTTTGGCTTACATTGCTGCAGCTTCAGCCTCCATGTCTGCTCTCTTTTTAGCATATGCAGCCTGTACTTTGCTAGCCTCTGCTTCGGCACGGGCATTTATAAGCTGTTCACTAAGGGTTGAGTGCCTTGAACTTCTGGATGTAGAGGAACTTTTAGAATGTCTGGTGGATACGGATCTGTGAGATACAGTGTCCTGTGGCTGCGTTAATTTTGCTTCTGCCTTTGCTTTAGTTAGCAGGATAAAGCTTTCTCTTTCCACATTAAGAAGCTGGACATTGTTAAGTTGCTCTAATGATTCCTCAGTGTTAATGTTTTGAAGAATAGTTTTATATTTATTGCTTGTAGTCTGGTACAGTTCATATGAAGCAGAGAGATGCTTTATGGCGCCCTCTAGTTGCAGTACCTTATGGCTGGGACATGAAATCACATCAACGTGGGTGAGGATTTTATCCTAAATCTGCTTCAAACTGGTTGATAATTCAGTTCTTATGGATTCATAGTTCTCTTTAACCTTCCAAGTGGGTTTCACAGAGCGTTTAGCCAATGCACTGGGCCCTGGGTCCTCATCCTGGCTTTGTTTCATCACATACTGAACCTTTTCCACTCATGATGGCCTGAAGTACACAGGCTTGACTGTAGCAGTGAAGTGTGTCTGTATGCTGTGTGGGGCTGTAACAAGCTGTGCTGGGGTTGTATGCAGACGTCTCATACAATACATACAGTTACACTTCACTGTGATCTGTCCTGTGACACAGCAATCTCTGTACAAGCTGCTGGATTCGTTCAATTACTATTCTGGAATGGCTGCAAAGGCTATGAATGTGTTTTTCAGGAGCACATGGCGCTCATTGCCCTGAAGAGATTATCCATACAAATCACCTTCCCAGATAGTTTACTCAGTCACAACTCACATGAAAGAAGATCATACGAACTGGTTGTTGTTTCTATTTGGTATGGTATATCCTCTTCACCTGTACCACTGGTAATTTATCATATATTTCTGGAATTTCTGTTAAAAATTACAGGAGTTTCCCATTCCGTTTCTCTGATTATATTTTATCAGGTTTCCAAGGAAACCAGAACATTGCATCTCATGCTTCCTCTTTAATACCTTTTTATAAGCAAGCTAATTGAAAACCAACCAGCTCAACTATTTTGCAACTAATCTTCCGACTACTTGTAACTGAATCCTCTCTATACTTTGTATGCTGAACCTGTCCTTTAACCCAGAAGACCTCCCCAGCGGCCGCCAGAAGACCTCCCCAGCGGCCGACAGGAGATGTCCCCCAGATGCCCCCAGAAGACCTCCCCAGCGGTAAAAGTCCCCCAGTGGCCCCCAGAAGACCTCCCCCTGGCAGGTATAAGTAATGTGTCTGTCTGTCTGTATGGTGTGTGTGTGTGTGTGTCTGTATGGTGTGTGTGTGTCTGTCTGTCTGTGTCATGGTGTCTGTATGGTGTGTGTGTGTGTGTGTGTCTGTCTGTCTGTGTCATGGTGTCTGTCTGTATGGTGTGTGTATGTGTCTGTCTGTCTGTGTCATGGTGTCTGTCTGTATGGTGTGTGTGTGTGTGTGTCTGTCTGTGTCATGGTGTCTGTCTGTCTGTATGGTGTGTGTGTGTGTGTCTGTCTGTCTGTGTCATGGTGTCTGTCTGTATGTATGGTGTGTGTGTGTCTGTCTGTCTGTGTCATGGTGTCTGTCTGTCTGTATGGTATGTGTGTGTCTGTCTGTGTCATGGTGTCTGTCTGTATGGTGTGTGTGTGTGTGTGTGTGTGCCTGTCTGTCCGTCATGGGGTGTGTGTCTGTCTGTCCGTCATGGGGTGTGTGTGTCTGTCTGTCCGTCATGGGGTGTGTGTGTCTGTCTGTCCGTCATGGGGTGTGTGTGTGTGTCTGTCTGTCCGTCATGGGGTGTGTGTGTGTGTCTGTCTGTCCGTCATGGGGTGTGTGTGTGCGTCTGTCTGTCCGTCATGGGGTGTGTGTGTGTGTCTGTCATTCGCGGGTGTGTGTGTCTGTTCATTTGTCCGGCCATGGGGTGTAAAATTGTCTGTCCTGGGCTTTCATGGGGTGTGTGTGTGTGTGTTCGTTCGTCAGCGGTGTGTGTGTGTCTATTCGTCCGGCCATGGTGTGTGTCTGTCTGTGTCATGGTGTGCGTCTGTCTGTGTCATGGTGTCTGGGTCTGTATGTGGTGTGTGTGTGTGTGTGTGTCTGTCTGTCCATCATGGGGTGTGTGTGTGTGTCTGTCTGTCATTCATGGGGTGTGTGTGTGTGTGTGTCTGTCCGTCATGGGGTGGGTGTGTCTGTCTGTCCATCATGGGGTGTGTGTGTTTGTGTGTCTGTCTGTCATGGGGTGTGTGTGTGTATGTCTGTCATTCATGGGGTGTGTGTGTGTGTGTCTGTCTGTCATGGGGTATGTGTGTTTGTCTGTCTGTCCGTCATGGGGTGTGTGTGTCTGTCTGTCCGTCATGGGGTGTGTGTGTGTGTGTGTCTGTCTGTCATGGTGTGTGTGTGTGTGTGTGTGTCTATCTGTCCATCATGGTGTATGTCTGTCTGTGTCATGGTGTGTGTCTGTCTGTGTCATGGTGTCTGTCTGTATGGTTTGTGTGTGTGTGTCTGTCTGTGTCATGGTGTCTGTCTGTATGGTGTGTGTCTGTCTGTCTGTCTGTCATGGGGTGTGTGTGTGTCTGTGTGGTCCGTCATGGGTGTGTGTGTGTCCGTTGTGTGTTTGTGTGTCTGTCTGTCCGTCATGGGGTGTGTGTGTGTGTGTCTGTCTGTCATTCATGGGGTGTGTGTGTGTGTGTCTGTCTGTCATGGGGTGTGTGTGTCTGTCTGTCTGTCCGTCATGGGGTGTGTGTGTGTCTGTCTGTCATGGTGTGTGTGTGTGTCTATCTGTCCGTCATGGTGTGTGTCTGTAAGTGTCATGGTGTGTTTCTGTCTGTGTCATGGTCTGTCATGGTGTGTGTGTGTCTGTCATGGGGTGTGTATCTGTCATGGTATATGTGTGTTTCTGTGTCTGTCATGGTGTAAATGTGTGTTTAAAAATAGTGTTTTTGCTCACCTTTTTTTTTCCCCACGCAGCGTGCTGGTCTCCCTCGACTGGCCCTGCCTCTATAGCTGAGATCATCAAGCTTAATGATCTCAGCCAATCCAATGCTTTGCCATAGGATTGGCTGCAAAACGCCACTCCAATTAGCATCTCCTCATAGAGATGCATTGAATCAATGTATCTCTATGGGGACCGTTCAGCACCTACAGAGTGTGGAGGCCATGAATGTAGGTGCACTAACACAGGAAGCACCTCTAGTGACCATCTGAGTTACTGTCACTAGCAGTGTCACTTTGAAGCAATGTAAACACTGCCTTTTGTCTGAAAAGTCAGTGTTTACGTTGAAAAGCCTGTAGGGACATGCTATAGACACCAGTACCACCACATTAAGCTGTGTGTGTGCGTCTGCTAGTGAGTGAGCTTGTGTTTTTATGTCAGTAGAAAGAGGGAAGTGCTCATGCCATTATACAGAACACTGGTGAGACCTCACTTGGAGTATTGTACACAGTACTGGAGACCGTATCTTCAGAAGGATATTGATACCTTAGAGAGGGTTCAGAGAAGGGCTACTAAACTGGTTCATGGATTGCGGGATAAAACTTACCAGGAAAGGTTAAAGGATCTTAACATGTATAGCTTGGAGGAAAGACGAGACAGGGAGGATATGATAGAAACATTTAAATATATAAAGGGAATCAACACAGTAAAGGAGGAGACTATATTTAAAAGAAGAAAAACTACCACAACAAGAGGACATAGTCTTAAATTAGAGGGACAAAAGGTTTAAAAATAATATCAGGAAGTATTACTTTACTGAGAGGGTAGTGGATGCATGGAATAGCCTTCCAGCTGAAGTGGTAGAGGTTAACACAGTAAAGGAGTTTAAGCATGCATGGGATAGGCATAAGGCTATCCTAACTATAAGATAAGGCTAGGGACTAATGAAAGTTTTTAGAAAATTGGGCAGACTAGATGCGCCGAATGGTTCTTATCTGCCGTCACATTCTATGTTTCTATGTTTCTATGTTTCTATGTCAATGAGCTGTTGTATATCAGTAAGATTGTTTGTCTACGAGGCTGTGTATCAATGAGCTTGTATGTGTCACTGAAATGTCAGTGAAATTGCCTGTGTCTGCATGTGAGTATGCTTACTGTATAATTAAACGTTTTACCCTGAAAGGACCAATATTTTATATTAGAAAAAGCAAGACATCATCTGTCCTGGCAAGACATAGCCTTACATATTACATGCGACAATATATGGCGCAGTGACTTATGGGGCTGGCACAAATTTTTTTTCCAGGGCTGCTTTGTATCCCCAGTCCGGCCCTGGTACCCATGCTGTGCAATTATATGTTTCTGGAATAGCCGTCAGGATCTTTCCCTGTCCTTAGTATGTTGCCATATTATGTTAATCTCTTTATTCCGCACATACTCATTACATGTTTCTAGCTATGTTTGTGCGTTTGAATGTAAGCATGTTTTTGTATGTGTGTGCATGTAGGGGTGTATTTGTATGTACTGTTGCCATTAGAATGCAGTGGTGTACATGTGTCTAGTTTTTGTGTTTTAATGCAGGGGTGTTTTTGTACTTAATGTTGACTTTCAAATGCAGATGTTCTTTTCTGTGTAGTGTTGGTGTTTTCATAGAATATTAGCGTTTTAACAGAGGGATGTGTTTGTATGTAATGTTAGCATTTAAGTGCATTGGTGTGTTTGAATGTAGTGTTGGCTTTTAAATGGATGTGGATGTACAATTGTGTGTAGTATTTGTGTTTAAATGGATGTGAATGTACAATTGTTTGTAGTATTGGTGTTTGAGTGAGGGGTGTGTTTGTATTTAAACAAACACACCCCTCAGTGGTCTTAAAGAGCCCTGGCACCGACCAGACCCTTGTTCAGAGATACCCATCAGGTGGTGCTAAGGGCATGAGCCACCCGATTGGCCATTCCAATGTGTGGTATCCATATTACCACCACTGTTTCTATCCTCTCCAGCTCCTCATCCGGATTGACAGGAACCCCCGAATGACCACATGCCTCTGTGCACTGGAGCACAGAGCCCCATCACCCAATCATTGTCCAATATCCAGAGGGGACTCTTCAACATCTGGAAGGCCCATAAAAAGGCAACAATAGTTTGACACAATCATTGGTGGTACTCCCGATACTGGACCCTCCTTAACGCTCTCGGGCACATTATAAAACCTAGAGTCACCACAGTAGATGTAACCTTCGGGGAATCTGCCTCTGACAACGACACTTACAAAAGATCTGAAGTTTTTTTAGAGACAACAAATGGAGGTACAGTTACATGGAGCCGAGTCAGTGGCGCCGAAGGCGGAAAACGAAAAGGGGGCACAAGGGAAAAGCAACCTTTGGGCAAACGATCACTACACAAGTAGTTCCAATATTTAATTTGTCTCACAGGTCCCTAACCAATGAAGAAGTATACCTGTTGAGTAAGGGATTATCCTACATACCGACGACACGACCAAACCAATTTAAATGGGATATTGAATTGTTTAAGTTTGGCAGGAGTATGAGGTTAAAATAATACTTCAGCAATCCCTCGACTAACACAAGAGAAACAATAGATGTGTCAAGAGAGAAGTTTGCACCAAGGTCTACGTTTGATCCCCGATCACACAAACTGTCTATTAAGACATTCATAACTCTTACTCAAAGTGAGGCCAAAAACATTATGGCCCAGAACATTAAGGAATGTCAAAACATAACTAAAGCACAGAGACGCATTATTAAGGATTTGTCAGAAGACTCGTCCATAGTAATACGTTCAGTGGACAAGGGAGGAGGTATAGTGATTCTCGATTATACATATTACTCTCAAGAATTAAAACAACAACTATCCGACAACCACACATATCGTCTTCTTCAACAGGATCCCACCAAAGATATACAGAATAAAATTGAGGATGTACTTACAATGGGTCTCAATATGGGATACATTAATCTGAAGTTATACTAATACCTCATCAAGGAACATCCACACACTCCAGTTATATATACAATACCTAAAGTACACAAGAATCCAGTGCACCCTCCGGGACGTCCGATAGTATCAGCTATAGGGGGAGTGTTGGAGCCTATAGCAAAGTGGCTAGACCATCTATTTCAGGCTCCAATAGCAGAGTTCCAAACGTGTATTAAAGATACACACTCATCGATAACAATGATAACACAACTTACAAAGATAGATATCAACAAACAGAGACCTATATTCATTACGATGGATGTAGCAAGCCTGTATACAGTCATGCCCCATGAAGAGGAGGTAGAAGCAATGAGATATATGTTAACTCATTCAAAGAAGTACCAGGGTCCACCTATCGAATTTGTTTTGGAGCTTTTAATGCTGACCCTACAAAATAATTACTTCAGATTCGAAGAACAATGGTATTTACAGGTAGCCGGCACTTCAATGGGTGCAGCAATGGCACCAATGTATGCCAATGCATACATGTATGTGTACGAAAAACATTATATATTGGAGCAACATTGATGATTTGTTAATCATATGGAAGGGGACGCAGGAAGAAGCAGAATGTACGATTACAAAACTAAATCAACTACCTACACCCATCAGAATGACGGCTAATGTACACCAAAGCCAAGTCCACTTTCTCGACCTCCTAATAACAGTTGAAGATTCGAAAATACAATATAGCATGTATTCTAAACCTACAGACTGCAACACCTTGTTGCACTACCAAAGTGCCCATCCCAGAGTTCTAAAAGATTCCCTCCCAAAAGCACAGTGTCATTAGAAAAAATTCCAAGGATGAGTCATTAGAAAAAATTCCAAGGATGAGAATAGAGAAGTACAACTACAAGAAATGACCACAAAGTTCTTAGAGAGAAGCTATAAGAAAGATGTCCTACAGAAAGCACCCAAAGAAGCAAGGAGTGTCAGCTTTCATAGTGAAAAAGTAAGCCCATTAAGACTAGTGTTTCCCATGGAATTTCACCAGAAGAGTCCACAAATAGCCAACTTAATATGAAGGAATTGGCGGATGATTTCGAGTGACAACACACTACCAAAAGTATTCAAAGAAAAACCTATTTTTTGCTTTCGAAAGATCTACTCGTCCACACAGATCCTATTAAAAGCTATACACAAGCCAAGAGCATCCAGAATCGAGGTTCAGTACGTTGCTTGGGCTGCGTTACATGCAGCCATATGTTACCAGCACGTACTATTAACCACCCTCATACTAATTAAAGATATGAGATTAAACATACAATTACCTGTAAGACAACCCACATTATCTATAAGTTGACCTGTCCCTGTGGTCTCTCCTATATTGGAAAAACTGAGACAGCCCTATGTGAACGGATAAGAGGACATTAGTCTAGTATAAGATTAGCTTACAGAGACGGTAAATCAGACAAACCTGTGGCGAAACATTTTTTACAAGAAAACCATCTTCTGTCAACATTGAAATTTACAGGAATTGAGCATATACCATTGCCAGCGAGGGGAGGTGACCGAGGCAAGATGTTGTTAAACCGTGAGGCATATTGGATTTACGAACTGGGCACTTTATTTTCTAAAGGACTTAATGAAACAATTCCATTTTATTCATTTTTATAAAATTTGGGCAAAAGGCGCTTTTTTCATATTCCTGCTAGTGATTTAATAATTTTTTATATATATTTTTTAATATATTTATGATTATTATTATAATTATACCACCCTGTCATATTGGAATGTATTATTTAGCTTTAGTGCTTTACACACTGTAATTGGAGTTTACGCTATGCTGTTGTGATAGTAAGGATAGCTATAACAGCTTTATAATTTTTTAATCCAACTCAACACTATATGACAGGGTGTTAACGTGTATATTATATTTACGGAATATCATTGTATTATACAGTTAATACTAACTATGTCTTTTTAATTGTATATTTTCTCTATAGGAACATATAAAATTAGTATCAATTCAGCACTTGTCACTTTGTACACACATTTGAAGTTTTACAGCACTATCATGGCACTTTATATTACACACTTTTTAGTCACGATTGGTACTATAAGCACGCTATGCACCTAACCTAAAAATCAGTGTCACTTTAAATTTCTGCAATAGTCACTTTAAATATATTGGCGAGATTCACTTTATAACCTGGCTAGAGTCACTTTAATTCGGTAATCTAATGATTATACTGCTATATAAACCAACTACTTCTTTCATCTATTTCTAGTCACTTATATTTATAAGTATTGAATGATCACAGTTCTCTAACCACACGATTATTATCTTGGCAGTTTCCATGAGCACAAGTTGTTTGTATGACAACATTGCTGTGGAGACGAGCCCATCATCATCACACCAATACGGCATGACGTCACATATTTGGATACACTGGAGCCCTAGCTAGCACCCGGCAATTTATCAAGTTATAGCTTGAGTGCAGGGACACAATATATATATATTTTTTATATATATATATATATATATATATATATATATATATATAAATACTCATTAACACATACTGTATATAAACACATTTGCATATGCACTGACAAATGCACACACATAGATAGACAGATGCACACACTGACACACAGATACACACTGACAGACAGATACACACTGGCACAAAGATACACACACAGACAAACACAGTGACACAAAGATACACACACTGATAATTTTTATATTTACAGCCACCCTCCAGTTAGCTTACCTTTTGACTGTAGGAGGGTGGCTTGCTTGAGGTGCTGCTGCCTAAGGCTGATGTGTGGGCAGCAACTCACCCTTGTCTATCCCATGTTTCCTGTACCTCCTGTCCCTCCCCTGTGGTGCACTCTCTTTATAGCTGGGTGGATGTGATCTGCTGTCACTTCCCCCCAGCCTGCCAGTACAGCAGGGGCCCTAGATGAGCTAAAGAGCCCTGGCACCCGACCAGACCCTTGTTCAGAAATACCCATCAGGTGGTGCTAAGTGCATGGGCCACTCAATTGGCCATTCCAATGTGTGGTACCCATAGTACCACCACTGTTTCTATCCTCTCCAGCTCCTCATCCGGATTGACAGAAACCCCCGAATGACCACACAATCACTGTCCAATCTCCAGAGGGGACTCTTCAACATCTGGAAGGCCCATGAAAAGGCAGCAATAGTTTGACACAATCATTGGTGGTACTCCCGGTACTGGACCCTCCTTAACGCTCTCGGACACCAGTGCAGCCACAACGGCTGCACAGGTGGTAGTTCCGCCACTGGTCCTGTTTACCTACTCTTGACTTTGCTAACCTCATAATGCAGCTCCTGTTGCTCAATCTTGGCAGTCGCATAATCCTGATGCTGTCACATGAATAAATACCCTGGAGGCTTATGGAGGCAGGTACAATGCATGGATTATATCAACAAGAATGTAAAGGGGCTATCTCTTGAAGAGATCCAGGGATTTGCATGCACACCTCTAGCACACCTCGGGCAATGCCTCCTCTTGAAAGGACTGGAGATGAGGCACACATGACTGAGTAAAACTCTAGTCTATCATTGGAACCTAAGCTGCTTCTAAGCCCCCATCCCAATGAAAAAATAAGGTTAAACAGCCTAACAGCCTAATAACCAAACTGAAAATTTCCATGCTCGCTTGTGTCTGTTCTACTGAGATTCTGCCAAACTGGGATTTAAAAAAAAGTTTCTTCTGATCACCCAATTGGTCCAAATTGAGTAAAACTGCATTTTGGTCTTAAATTAATCTTCTAGTCTATTGTTGAGCAGTTATCTCCATATTTAAAAATATGTATTGTACAAATAAAAAGACTAACCATAAAGAAGCAAAAGCAGATCAAGTTATAATTAATTTACTATTAACAATTTTTTTGTACCATTCCATTTAAAACTAACCAACTCTAGGCCCTCTTACACCTCTTCTCTGATTCATAGGTATGTCCTCTCTCAGTCTCTCCGCTCTACTGGTGACCTTCTCCTGTCTGCTGCTCATGCCTGCAAGACTACTCACGGGCGGCTCCTATCCTTTGGAACAGCCTGCCTACGTCAGACTCTCCCCTAGTCTTCAATCATTTAAGAAGTCCCTCAAAACCCACCTTTTCAGTATTGCTTATGGTCTCCATTAGTAACTTCTATCTCTCAAACCATCCTCTTGCTCTCTCCTAAAGGGCCACACTCCACTCTCACCTCCAGTTCTGCTACTTTCCCACCATGTCTGTTTGCTGTCTCCCTCAATACCCTTCCTATTGTGTTTTTATACCCCACCTCCTCTAGACTGTAAGCTCGTTTGAGCAAGGTCCTCAAGTACCTACTGTTCCTGTTACATTTTGTTATTGTCTCATTTGGTTAATCCCCTCTTATTGTAAAGTGCTGTGGAATAAGCTGGCGCTATATAAATACTAATAATAATAGTTTTCTAGTTAATAGTGTAAGAGAGTGAAGATCCACGAGATTTCATGATGGCAAAGTATACTATATATGTCACCCCACCAACACAATGACCTTTTAAATTACCTGAAATCCAAATTGTTTTAAGAATCTACAAATGTGCCCAACAGTTTTTTGTTTTTTTTTATCCTTGTCTTCCAACTTCAATGTCTTTTCTGTTCTCGCCATCTATTGGGGAACCACAGGTACTGTAACTAAAGGGTAAAACACATTTGCGTATATTGATAGCACACACCTTTTTATACAGCACACAGCTAATTAACATGCAATAGAACCTACAACTCAAATACAGTTCCTCATCTGGTCTGCTTATTAAATACACTCAGAAACAGTAACTGGAGATAATACAATTAGCCTCCTGGCACATGATCAACAAATCCCTTTGATTAGCTTGTCTGGGGAATAAAAAATGATATATGGGGTTGCTGGAAACCTACCCAGTGATGAGTTAAAGGCATTTGAATGGTTTACCCCTGGGCAGAAAATACATAATTCCAGGGGTTTCCTGTGGAGCTCCTCCTCAAGTAAGGTATCATTTGAAAGAACCTAAACACCACTGGTAAATGTCCAAATTATGCCATTATGTAGGGGGTACGAGCTACACCTGGTGCAAATGTTAAACTTCCAGCCAAAAGCTCTTATCCACTCGTCAGCGCCACAGAGTTTTGAGCTTTGTTCAGGTTGGGCCCATGGAGCCCTTAGTTGTGAAAGATTGGTCTGGGCAGGCCAGCCTGGGTTTCTTGGTCACACTGTCTGTCCCCAATAAGCACAGGGTGACTTAGATATAAGAGGGGAATGGGAAGCTTATAAATGGAGTTCCCATACTCAAACTTGCATATGTCCTCATTCACAGGTGGTTACTGTGACATCCACACGTTCCAACAGTAAAATTCGAGCCCCATGTCTCGAGACCAGGATAGGTCCTGATATACACTGATTATATAGTCACGGTCACCTCACTATTCTCCACCAATTGTGCTACAAATGGAAGTTGTCATAGAGAAAAGAATTACTAAAAGCAAGTAGAGTCTTTTGGACTTTGTATTAATCTGGCTGGTCCAATAGAAATCCCCCCCTGTTCCTACACTCAGTGCATCAATTCTCACACATGTACCGATATCAATCTTAATTATCAAACACTGTTTAATTTGACAGATTTACAGAATTGAAACATCTTTAGAATGAGAAAAAAAAAAATTTCACTCAACTGAGCTGAATATTTCCTTATTATCATGGCAATTTCAGTCTGAAGTTCAAAAGTTACTGTCATTCCCCCAATGTATTACTGTTTAGGGATTAGACGTCAGCATATCTATGACTTCCTGATGATGATGATCGGTCTGCATTGGGTTATTACCTGTCAATGATCTGTGTAAAGAAATGTCATCTGTTTTTTACAGTAACTTCTTATTTACGACAATGCCATCTATAATTAGCGTGATTTGACGTACAAGTTTACATTTTTATTGTGAAAAATAACTCACTAACCTATATGAACATATAACTGTGTGCGTTGTTCTACGTAACACTTTGTTGATAAGACACAAAGCTTACACTGATAAAGGCTTCCTCACACACTGTTCGTTCAGTCTTCATACCAAACAGAACTTTAGAAGATCTATAAGCTTTCTAACTGCTGAGACGCAATGAATATCTACATGAAGGCAGCTGCAATCACATTATTCATCACTCTAACAGTTTTGGCAGCATGTAAGTGTTTTGTTCATGCATTTATCTATTTTTGTATATTTTTGGTTTTTTTTTTTCCTTGAATAAATAAGCTTTTATTATTAGTATTTACATTTATTTTAATGTTGGCTTATTTAGGCTCCCTAACTCATATCTGGCATAAACTGGAATGTTTTTAAAAACCTGGACTACAAATCTATAATTCACTAAATTAGTTAGCCAAGCGAGGTATCGCCACAACACTCATTCTCAATTCCATTATTTTAAAGGCTATCACAATAATGCTCATAAAATATAGTAATACAGAATATGCTTTGTATTTAGGTATACAATGTAATAAAATAATATATATTTATTTGTATGTATATTTTCATGATAAAGGGAATTTCTCTTAATTTAAGGATGTCTATCTATGTATCTATCAGACATGATAATGATTTTCCCCATGGCTTCCCGATATATATTTATTCTAACTAATGCAACAATATTTTAAAAAGAAACATTGCATACTTACTGAATATTGTATACGAAATGTAATTAACACTGCACTAAGCTCCCCAGAAAAACACCTGACAGTTTTGTTATTTCTTTAATTAACATTTAAATACTTAAATAATACTTGCTATGTGATTAAAAAAAAATATATAATCTTGGGACTCTTAAAAATCAAACAAACTATTACTTGAGAAGTGGCCATACAATATAGTATAAATATTAATCACTTTTACAAGTTAAATCCTCCCAAGGCATTTTGATTGAAGTTACTTACATGTAGTGTGTGAGATAGCATGTAATGGAACAGTTATGGTTTAGAAGACCAGTACTGACTCACCAACTCAGATTAAACTCCAACTCGGGATCTGAAGAAATTGAGATATATTATGATGATACCAGTACAAGACCAGTTCACCTACTACCCCAATGATTGCTGATTTGGGAAAATTTGCACTACCCAATGATGCTGTCAATAAAAAGATAATAAGATCTATAGTTTCAGAAAAATCTTGAAAGGCAATGCAGCTCACCCAGATTTAAGGGTCCCTGGTAAACTAGATTCAAAGAAGAACACTGAATTTATTAATTTGATAGATGACACAATCAAACAGATTAAGCATAATTAAACACAATTATATCACATATGTTTGTAATATTTTTTATTTAAAAACCTAAAACAGTCAAGCCATGAAAATTATACTCAATTTTATATTTCCCAAGTTTTGGAATGGAGACCAAAAATCCAACATCAGCAACCTGATATTTCTAAAAGGGTTCCCCGGGATATTGGAAAGATGGTCAATGATAAACCAAATCCACTACAGGAAGCCAGGCAGAGAGAGAATAAGAGCATCAGAAGAAGAAATTATAGAGATGTCATCACTGAGCTAGAGTCAAGTCACAACGAGAAAACTGTCATGAGTGGAAAAAATGGAAAAATTGTAAATTCTGCACAAGGCAGACAAAAATATTCAATTATACACAGAGACAAAACTAAAGATATCTTTACAGAACTTAATAATGAAAATAGGAAAATGAATGCGTTGTTTGAAAACAGTGGATCTGGAGATGGAACAACAGAAACACCCCTTGATACATCAACAATAACATATACATTAACAGACAATACACCAACAGAAGGATCTGGAGATATGGATACAACACCAGTGACATCCACAGGTCCATACGCAACATCAACAGAGAGTGCTTCACAAAAAATTAGCTCTCCAGTCGAAAGTACCTCACCTGCACAAACCAGTGCACTTACAAATACGGATTCTCAGTCTCCCACCACCTCACCAACCACAGCTACTGCTACCAGCAATACTCAAACAACACCAGGTGGGTACCCTGATGAATGTCCCCTGGGCCCAAACATTATTTTGTCCTAAAAAAACATACTTTAGTGCTATTTAGCTTTTATATTAAATGTTACATATATATTTTACGTATCTTCCATAATGTATTTTTTATATTACATTTTACATATTAAATTAAGATTCAATCCGAAGCGAAATTTAGAGTTACTTTGCTTCCAAACAAGTGCTGTTTGAAAAAATATTAACATAACATTTATTTCAAACATGGGATGTCTTCACTGCATTGTGATAAGTTACCCAATGCTACATGGTGTTAGAAACACTGTGCATAAGATTAGTGCATGGATAATGTTGCCTAACGTATAGTACATGGTTGGACAACTAGAATCTGTTTTTTGAAAACGTGTTTCACGTTTGTGTCTGTGTATAGCTGCTTATCTTTCTCAAACTTTCTCAATATAAACACTTGATTATTTTATTATGCATTTCTTTATTTCCTATCTTCTCTAAATATTTTAATTTAAAGAGCATTTTTATTACTATTATTTTTTTATTTTAGGTTTCTGTCGCAATGGAGGTATCTTTAATGATCAAAAATGCATTTGCCCGGATCAGTTTTATGGACCAGTGTGTGAGAGCTTGGTAGACAGAGTTGAGATCGGTGGTAAGTGTTTCACGTTAACAGGTTGATGGGTTAGCCACAGTAAGAACTTTTAACCTAATTTTCAGAAGTAACTTTTTAATCTAGAAACAAGATAATATAAAGTACATTGGAATGAAAATGTAAAAAATGTGATGAAAATTATAAAACACATTTTGTTTGCTAATTGTAGTAGATTGAAGACAGTATTGTATTAGAGCTAGCACCACATGATAAAATTTATTCAATTCATAATGAAATAACATGCATAACATAGATGAATCGTAAATTATGACGTACCTGACAACCAGAGCAACCTAACTGTACCTTTCCTGGTTAAATACTTTGTTATTATTATTATTATTATTACTATTATTATTATAATCAGGCCACCACATATCCATAAACATTCCTAGAAATGACCTTCTTGGCTTAAATTAACAGCTGACCTCGTATCTCTCTCCTGACAGATAAAGTGAATACCACTGTGAAAGTGAACCTGAGAATCACTAACCGGAATTATACAGCTGGCTTGGAGCAAATCAACTCACCTGAATACAATGAATTTGTAGATAATTTTAGATTAGAGGTGAGAATGTCATCACACAAAGTATGTGAATTGTTCAGCAATCTATACATCAGTAGCACAATATAACTATTCACCTCTCTCTGTCTTTGTTACAGATGAAAGGGTTCTATAAAGATCTACCTGGATATAAAGATGTGATAATCATTAGTTTGAGGTAGGTTATCCTAAACACACTGACCTATTAAAAAAAAAAAAAGGGTTAACCACAAGTGCAAAAAATACATGTAAAACGCTCAGCCCTTTTACTACCAATTAATTTAGTTTTATAAAAAAAACATAATACTTTGAATATCGGATGCATAGTAAAAAAAAAAAGAAAAAATAGCATAAAATGGCAGGTTAATGTATATATCACTGTTTATGTGTAATTAAATAGATCAATAAGGTAGCTTATACACATTTTACTTAATTTACCATTAATTTTTACAGAAATATTGGTGGGATAAAGAATTTTAGTAACTATATTATGTCTGTTGTCTTGCAAAAGTATTTCATGTCAAACTTGTATTTCCATTTGTTATGAATGCATGTATATGTAATAGCCTATTATAGATTTTACCAGACTTTGTGTATCTCTTGCAGCCCAGGCTCTGTCTATGTTGAACATGAGGTTATTGTAGAGGCTGAATATAATGAATATGTGTCGGTGACTAAACAGTATGAGGAGATATTTCAGAATGTCAGTAAAACCTTGGATATTCTAAGGAATAATTCATGCACAAGTGAATCAGCTGGGTGTAAGTATTTGATGAGAGTCTAAATAAAGTGTGCTTTGCTGAACATACCAAGTGTTTTTCTAGTTTGCTTTGTTTCAAGTTAATGAGGAGCATGTGTTGCTTTGAAGTTAACATATTCAGTAGCTACATGTGTGGGTATTGTAATGAGACCTAACTTTGACAGATTTACCATGTTTTTTTGGACATTAATTATTTCTTGAAGTTCATCTTCGGTCCATGAAAATAGTTGACCTGAAGTATGTAGAATGCTATGTTAGGAAAATCAATTACATAACTGAGGCAGTTCCTTTGGGATCCAGAAACTATCCATTAACTTAAGTGATATGTTCACAAGACAACATGAAAGATCTGGTCACCACAGAAGACATATAGGTCTTTGATTCTTTTGGATAAGCTTTTAAAATGATCAGAATCTGCTTCAAATGTCTTAACATAAAATCTCTGTGAGTTTTGTAGATAAATAATTTGAAAAGATTGTCATCATCTGAATGGTTTATCCAAGAGAATTAAGTTGAGGTTCAAATCGGCAGTCAGTGAGAGACTAGAGTGGTTGCCTGGATGGATACTCTCATCTCTCGCACTTCGTGTTTATGTCGTATGAAGTTAAGTCTGGAGATGTTGTTTCCAGCTTACAAAAATAGTCACTAAAGTAAGAAATGAAAATCGAATGATATATATTTTCAGTTTTTCTATTTTGGCCAAAAAGTTTGGAATTTGCTTCCAGTTCTTAGTGAATTCTCAAGAATTGATACTTTAGTGAATAACCCACAATTGTATTATTTATTCCTTCTACATTGTGTGCTAGGATACTCTTCAGTGCTGCTTATCTTAACATTTTTGTTTCTTGTCATTGCAGCAGAACTGTGTGTTGACGTAACTAACATCGTGTTATCTGCTGTTTCTCCAAAAAGTGAAAAAGGTATGTGAATATTAGTTCTGTCATTAAGCCCAATGTTTCATAGTTATTTACCATTGGTAGTAGGCATGAAAGAAATAACCTGAATGTGTGTTTATTGTTTTTTTACAGATCGCTGCAATGAAGTTGTCCAGCCTGGCTTTCAGGAACACTTCGAGCCTATGGTCATTAATAATAGCCTGAGCTGTGTTTCACGCTGCAGTCCAAACTCAAAAAGCTATTTATTTTGTAATGAGGGCACCTGCCAGTTAGAAAAAGCCACAGGAGCACATTGTCTGTGAGTATACATTAAAGCTTATAGAACAATCCTTTTGCACCAATTAATGCTTTATATTGATTCAGCATTTCCATGATGTGGTAGTTAATTTTTCCTACCACAGTATTATTGCAGAGAGACTTATAATTAATTAATTCTCTAATTCTGGCTGCAATTTGGGATTTATATGTTAACAACTGCTTTATATCTGTGCCTTAAATTGTGTTTCTGTGTTATGTGTTTGTTTAGTAACTTTGTATTGCTCTATCTTTGGTTTGCAGTTGTCCAAATACAGAAACATACGTATATACCTCCCAGGGGTGCCAGGGAAAGATATTAATGGCAGGATTATACGGTGGCATTGGTGCGGGAATTGCAGCGCTTTTAATAATTATTTTCACTGTGGGTTTCTTCATGTTTCGAAAAAAACTGAAAAAGTAAGTGCTGTATTTTGAGTTTTTTTTACGCTCATATATATTGTTTATATACACACCACCTATACATTGAGTGCTGGATTAGTTATTTGACTTTTACTCTTTGTGAATTCAGGCATACATCATTAAGAGATGAAGAAATTTCAGTATATGAAGACAATGACAATGAATGGAGTGCTCAGCGGGGTATCACCAACCTGAGTGAAGCAGCAGATGAAGGTATGTAAAGACACTTAAAAACTATTTGAATTTTAGATTGAGCTACCAAACGATGACTTTACCCTATGGTGGAAATATCTCACTTATTCGAGAATGACTGAAAGTCTTATGTTACTGCCATTAACCCCTTAGGGACACATGACATGTGTGACATGTCATGATTCCCTTTTAGTCCAGAAATTTGGTCCTTACGGGGTTAAAACACATTTCAGGGACTCATAACGTTCAGTCTTTGTAATCATCAGGGGTAATGATTGACTTGTAGCCCCTTCTGTATATGTTACTGTATCCCATTGCCGGGGAAGACATAGATTTTTTTTCCTGTTGGTGTCACCGTACAAGCAGTGGGTCAGATGCATAGCTTTTTTTATTGTTCCCCCTCTGCAGGGTAGGGAAGTAATTGAAGTAATTAATGTACCATGTTATTATATATCTCAACAATTTTTATTGTTTCTGCAGATTCTAAGCAAGGTTCGTTCTCTGCCAAAGAGAGATTCCAACCAGCCCTTGAGAACGTAAATACAACCATCCAGGTATGCGAAGATTGGCTTCCAGTTTGGCAGTACCCTCTTTTCCTTCATTTTTAATTTTTTCTCTTTATATACTCTCCTTTGTGACCCTTGTTATTTCCATTCTTACATTTTTTTTTATGATTGCCTGCTTTTGTTTCTGTCATTATCTTTTGTTGAGTATCTTTTTACTATATTGTGCTTGCCCATCTCTAGAAATATTACAGTTTTAGAATTTGTACAATACATTTGTACAACTTTTTTTCTCCATATTTTCATTTCATGACCTTCTTTGTTTTTTATTGACCCTCTAAATTTGTATTTCTTTTACAGGTGAAAATACAGAGACCAGAAGTTTTGAAATTATGATTTGTCCACATGGAAATCTACTGCCATTTTCCTTCAATCATTGAGGCAGGACACAACTCAGAGATGACAATAAATAGTTTCTCTATGAATACATTTTCAGGAGCGACTTAAGCATAACTTTTATCCACAATGGAAGAAGGCACCACATTATGCTACAGAACAAGGAACTCTTAATCATGGCCCCAGGAGAATAGGTGCCCAGAATGTCACTTAGTGACTTGCAGCCTTGGCAATCTCAGTTTTATTTGATGTATAGGGTTTGATTTAAGTTTTGCTTTTTTAAAATGTCAATTTTTTTTTATTGCCTGCAAAATTACACCCGAGGCTGTTCTGGAACTCTCTGGCAATTGGTTAAATGACAATTGTCATCTCAAAACTATTTTATAATATAATAATCTTTTGATGCTTTGAAAGGAAATAGATTTTTTAATGAAGTATATGTAACACAAATTAGAAAAACTCACCCCTAACTTTCATATACAACAGAATCCTCCAGCCAGTGCAAAATAGGACATTCATTTCTATAGCCTTCTGCTTCTGTGCAGGGAGTGTAGTGGGTAAGACCATAGAGACTCTGTAAGTTTTAAACACTGTCTGACCAAAGGTGCATGTATATGGCAATAAGATCCTGTCATATACTAAAAGTTGGAATACGATTTTCTCAATTTTTTTTTTTTTTACATATACATTATTTAAAAAGAAAAAATATTTCCTTTCAAAATCTGATGAAATGATGATTATATTAATAAAATAGTTAATAATAAACAGAGTATCGCTCCATACTAGCAACTATATTATAGTCAACATTATTTTATCTTAAGGAAGAGCTTAGGCAGATATTAGAATAAATATTCATAAACCACACGTGAGGCTATAATAAAATCATAAACCCTGTAAGAAGCAAATCCTACAAGAAATGAATATGTGTTGGCTTTTCCAGGCTTTACAAACATACACTTACTCTCTATTACTACACATTATGGCATTTGTACTTATCCATTGTTTAACTCTGTATTCTCAGTGGCCAAAAGAACAGCACTTTAATACGTTTGTGTTATCCTGAATCATGACTTCATACCTCCTACGCCAATGTCACTTTATTACTATTTATAGCATTTGTTTTCTGTTATTTAATATCTATATATCTATATAATATATATAATATGTATATAATGTATTTGACATTATTTTTATATTAAACTATTTAAAAAAAAACTGATTGTGAGACATTATATTGTGATGGGTAAATATAAACTGGGAGTTGGTTATATCTAGCATGGCATATGCTCTTCGTCTCTATCTCTGGTAAGTTATCATACAATATTGCTGGCAGGACATACCTTCTAGAACCCGCCTGTAGCCATGGTAAGGGTCGTACAAAGTCCCTTTAAATACAATCAACATTAAGTTAATAGGAAGAAACTGTGTGCAATTAAAAGTCTTTGCACGTTTCAATCAATGTAACTCAGCGGCCATGTTGAGTGAGGCGGAATCACCCAGAAATCCAGCCGGAAACGCTCCATACATAGAAAAGAGGAAGGCCCGTAGATATTCACCTGACAAATGTTTGTAATTGTATTTACCCCCTATGTATGATATATAAGAGTGTCTGCTTATATGCCACAAGATATGCACCTGAGGAAGACCTATTGTACTAGGTCGAAACGCGTTGTGCCTTTTTTATCTATTTTATTTTGTATTCTTTAAATAAAAGTACTTACCTTTTATTTATTTGGTTACCTGGTTCCTGATTTACAAATAAAAGACTTCTGATACCTTCTGAGGGACCTGATCCTATACCTACACATACACATCGGATTTTTCCATATGTATGAATTAAACAATACAAAATAAAATAGTAGCAAGGTACGTTTAAGAGGAATAGCAGTCAGTGCGGAGGAACTGTCAGAATATATTGAAGGCCTATGTGGAAAAGTTTTTAAAAAACTGTGAGGATTCTGCATGGGAGCTTGATCGCGACCTCAATATCTTTCAATAGATAAACCACGGGATGTAATAGTGAAGTTCCATTATCCAAAATCTAAAGAGCTGCTGCTGCAGTCAGTGAGAAAGGAGCCTAACCTCCCTGCTCCCTACAAAGAGGTATTGATTTGTGCTGATCTATCCGTATTAACCATAGCAAGGAGAAGAGAATTTGCGGAGCTCACGAAAATACTGAGAGGCCAAAAAATATCATACCATTTGGGCCACCCTACTAAACTGCTGATTTGGCAGAATGGTGCATTACATGTAATAAAAGAACCAGAAGAAGGGAATAAAAAATTAAAAGAATGGGGATTGCCAACAACACAGAATAAAGATTTAAATTATGCAGAAAAGAAAATACAATACAAAGTAACACAAAACAGAAAAGGGTGCAATTTAGAAAAGATAATAGAAATAATCCAAATGATTTATCATAAGTCCAATATGGTGCAATCCACGCTCATAGGAAGAACTCTTGTAATACAGTAAATGGAATCAGTCTTCACGGGTGTGTACTTGAAATTCAATGAAGCATATGGGGAAAGAAAACACAGAAATGGGACTCCAATGGTACAGTATGTAGATAAAATGAAATAATAAAATAGTGGTAATAGGTACTACTCACAATCTCCAGAGCTAAGATCCAGCTCTAGTATGGAATGTGTGAAGTGGAATGATCCCCACTCAAGGATATGTGAAGTGGTACTGGTTGGCAGATATGTAAGACGAATCAGTAGTCCAATATTGATGCGATCCAGACCGAAATAAAAAGAATAAAATATAGTGCTCACTGTGTCTTTATGAATAAAAATATACAAAATATATGAAATGTACTCACAATATGTAGTGCAGGCTATACTGCTCGATGTAAGCGTATGAGTGGTACAATCCCCACCTGCGGATTCTTTGTGCTTCTTTAATATGCGATGAACATCGATGTAGTCAGGTAAAAACGTATAAAAATATAATAAGATAAGAATAATAAAAAGGAATATGGCAATCAAAGGATTTGGAGACAAAAAATTCCTTTATTAAAATACAGTAAAAACAATATCTAAACGCGTTTCGCCTAAAAAGGCTTCTTCAAGTAGATAATAATAGAGAAAACATACACCTGACAAACATGAGTTTATATAAGGTACATTGATACTATTGGAATTGGAATATTCCCGCCATAATGACATCATCAGAATCTCATTAACATAGCTTGACATGTTACAAGCACTGGCCAAGCACTGTCGAAATATTTTAAAAGGCTATGAGAATCATTCAGTGTCAAAGCATTTTTTAATGCATGGAAAAAATCAGAAACATCTTAAATGCATTGGCATAGATATTTGCAGTGTCCCATGGAGAGGTGGAGACATCAAAAAAGTTTTAGGTAAAAAAGAATTGGAATGGGTTTACACTTTAAAAACTCTTGCCCCAAAAGGTTTCAATATAGACTTTGATCTTTTTAACTTTTTATAAATATTTTAAAAATGTTAAAATTTTCTTAAACTTTTAGTAAATTCTTTATTAATATTTTTATCCTTTATTACAATGCTGTTTTTTTTATTTAATTGTAATGTTTGAATATTCCTTCTTTATATATATTTTATTTATACCCTTCTGACATAGTTTTTTCATGCTTTATATAATTAATTAGCTACTCTAGTCTAATACAGAAGTGGGACCTTTATTTTATTGCTTTTATATATATGTTTTAAATATATGTATTATCTGTTGTCTCCTTAACATTAACACATGGACATGTGCCCGCTAAATAATGTCCTGCTTTAATGTGCTCATTTTATCATATATTTATATATATATATTACATGTATAATCTATCAATATGCTTTGTATTTAATATTTAATATTTTTGGCCATCAGTTTTGTTATGCCCCTTCTGGGTTTAGAACTTGTGTCCTTTTGGGGACTTAGTGCGTTTATGCTGCCTGCTTATTTACTTGGCCAGACAACATGAAGGCAATTGCAGCTCTATTCGTCACTCCCCCTTGAGGAGTTGACGATTTTTTTTCTACACAGCCCTTTCCCTCCTGTCCACACATACATCCCAGCCTCTCCTCCTTTACACATGCGTCGCACTGGTATAAGATGCATGCGTTCCACCCAAGATCACGGAAGTAGATTAGCCGCGCGTCATGTGACTCTTTCTTATCCTTCATTTTATACATTTTAGCTTTGTTTTTTATTTATAAAAACCGCAACAGATCACCATTATGTGTCTTAATAAATTGTAATATTGTCAAGCTTATTTTTAATACGCACTATGTTAATGAGATTCTGATGATGTCATTATGGCGGGAATATTCCAATTCCAATAGTATCAATGTACCCTATATAAACTCATGTTTGTCAGGTCTATGTTTTCTCTATTGTTATCTACTTGAAGAAGCCTTTTTTTACTGTATTTTAATAAAGGAATTTTTTGGCACCAAATCCTTTGATTGCCATATTCCTTTTTATTATTCTTATCTTATTTTATTTTTATAAGTTTTTACCTGACTACATTGATGTTCATCGCTTATTAAAGAAGCACAAAGAATCCGCAGGTGGGGATTGTACCACCCATACGCTTACATCGAGCAGTATAGCCTGCACTACATATTGTGAGTACATTTCACATATTTTGTATATTTTTATTCATAAAGACACAGTGAGCACTATATTTTATTCTTTTTATTTCGGGCTGGATCGCATCAATATTGGACTACTGATTCGTCTTACATATCTGCCAACCAGTACCACTTCACATATCCTTGAGTGGGGATCATTCCACTTCACGCATTCCATACTAGAGCTGGATTTTAGCTCTGGAGATTGTGAGTAGTACCTATTACCACTATTTTATTATTTCATTTTATCTACATACTGTACCATTGGAGTTCCGTTTCTGTGTTTTCTTTCCCCATATGCTTCATTGAATTTCAAGTACACATCCGTGAAGACTGATTCCATTTACTGTATTACAAGAGTTCTTCCTATGAGCGTGGATTGCACCATATTGGACTTATGATAAATCATTTGGATTATTATTATTATCTTTTCTAAGGTGCACCCTTTTCTGTTTTGTGTTACTTGGTGTTGTATTTATCGTTAGGGGATTAGAGGGGACTCCCCTTTTTTTCCTTTAAGTGTGCAGCCTGTATCTTTTATAAATATCTATTTTCTGTGACAGCTTAGTGCTGACTCTTTACTTTGATTTATTTTAGAAAAGAAAATACAATGGATGGTTGCTGGCACACCAAGGTGCAAAAGCTCAAATGATGCAGAGTCTGCAAAATGAGTCTTGGGACTTTTTGTTCATGCAATGGACTCCCATACACATCTGATTGATGTATCTGCTGTCATAGTTTAGAGCCAACATTGTGAATGTTCCAAGTTACTTATTACTTTATTTGTGTTAAGATATATTACCCTATGTTGGTTTTGTATACCCACAGAACCTAAGGAACTTTTACTTAATGCTAGAATATCATCCAATGTGTGCACAATCACCATATCTCCATTTTTAGCTTCTGTATGTAAGGGTTATTCACTGACTATATACTTTGGTGATTTTTGCATGCTGCACTGGGTTTACTTTTGATATATTTTACTTATTTTTAGCTCCACCTTTTCTCTCAGTTTTTTAAATGAGATTAGTTAAGGTAATGCTGACTTTGGTCCCTCTAACACTGTGGCATGTTCCCTTTCTTCTACACTCACTATATCCAAATTTTCTCTGTCTCAGACTGTATACCAGGAGCTTCTGCCTGCTAGTAAGAATGTAAGGAGACATGTTAGTGCTAGGGGACAGTCCTTAGAAATCATGGAGCGAGCGCATCATTAGATGCATTTATGCCAAGCTCAGGGTGCTGTTGGTCAGCATGCATGATTGGCAGGCAGCCTGACATGCATTCATACCAGGCTAGCCTTCCAATTCTTTGGGCAGACACACCTCCTTTTTGGGCATGTTCGTCCCTTTCGGGAGTTCTGGTTACATGATGCGCGTCAATGGCCCACCTCTTTACACTACCCATTGACTCCTGCTTCACTGGACACTGCTGTTAGGGGGTATGGATTTACTTAAAAAGATGAAACCATGAATTAGAGATAGATTATCATATTTTAAGAGAATCTGAGTTTTCTTGTAGCTGCATCCTAGGAGATTCCCTGTGGCAACATCTCCACCAGATACACAAAACAAGGTCTGACTGTTTTAGTGTTTTTGGTCGATAAGATTCTCTACTTAGGCCCCTCATAATTGTCAGAACCAGGCCCACTGGGCCCTTAATCTGGCCCTGTAACTAGTGCTGGGTGGCTGTCCAACAAATGGGAGGAGGCATTGAAAATAGGTTTACCTGCTTATTCTGCAACATACAAAGGATGAGTCTCAAGGGATCCTTGTCTACCTGACTGCTTGGGGTTTGTGCATTTACTGCTGCCTGGGAGGTGGTGAGACTATAGGAACCTGTGACTGCACACACCTCAAGCTTCGCATGTCTCTTCAGTGCTAAGAAAGGGGAAATCATGAGTTGAGTTTCATTTTAGAGTCAGCTTTACAACATCATGTGGTTCGGACAGTCCTGCATACCTACACTTAACAACTCTGCCAAGATCACAATGCAGCTCCTACTACTCAATGTGGGCAGTTGCATAACCCATATTCTGACACATGAATAGGTCCCCAGGAGTCATATGGAGGCAGGTACAAAAAAATTAAATGAGCAATATCATGAAGAAATCTTTGGATTTGCAGGCCCATACTAGGGTTATTGTCCCTAATGTCTATCATTATCAATGCCTCTGTCTGTAATAAAATCTAAATTTAGTGACTGTCTCCTATCTATTAACCATCTTTTTTTTTGCTTTCCGTTGAATGGACTTGAGATCTACTCCACATGACCTCATGGCAGACCTCTATTCTATCATGGGAAATTAAACAGCTTATTAGCCCACACGCCAATAAAAAAATAAAATTAAAAAAATGTCACTCTGATAAAAATGGCACTCAACATATCCAGGCTTGCGCGAGTCTGTTCAACTGAAATCAAAGTTTCTTCCGATCACCTAACTTTAACCGAAATGCAGTTGTCTGAAAATGAATCTTCAAGTCTATTGTTTAGCAGTTATCTCCATATTGAAAAATATATACAAAAAAAAAATAACCATAACGGAGAAAAATCAGATCATGTTATAATTAACTATTTTATTTGCAGTATTTACAACTTTTACTGCATTGTTTGGACACAAAAAAAGAAGATGGTAAAATATACTAAATAACAAACATTGAGTAAATCAGAAATTTAATGTAGAAACAAGAAGCAGAGAGGGAAATCTTTATACCAAATTGGTGCTATTTTAGGTACAAATTGAAAAAAGGTTAAGAGACAGTATATTGGTTTTCATGGTGATTGCTCACTTTGCCTCAGAATAGCACCTGATTTTACACCTCACTACTGGTTCATCTCAAATAGTTTTCTAGCAAAGTAAGCTAGTGGAGGATTCACTAGACTTTATGATGGCAACGTGCACTAGATCTGTGACAGAGCTCTCTGTACCCTGGGTACCGCCGCCAAGTCTGCTTCCTAGCCACTTGCAGGGACCCTGGAACACTTCTGCCCCAGTTTCCGCAGCTTGACTGGGGTCCTTCTGGAGCTTTTGCACCCCACCAGGCAGCAGCTCAATAAAAATGCAAACACTCAAATCACATTAGACAATAATTAACATAAAACATCTCTCCTGCTTGCAGAAATAGCAATATGCAAATCTACCTGAATATGCAAATGAGCAATCATTGCTATTTAGGTAGTGCATACAGCGGTTGCTAGATCCCTGCAACCAACAGGTGGCACTGTAAGGCTCTACAGCCCAATCCACCTAGTTGATTGCAAGCATTAGCAATACAGGAGAGCACACTACAATTTAACACTAAACAGTTACATTACACACACCCTGCACCCATAATGGGTACAGGGTGACTAAAACATAAGAAAAGTCCTGCAACCGATATAGTCTGTCTGAAGGTCCAGGTGATGTTGACTACCGTCACAAGATCCATCAACGCCCCACCCCTCACAATAAAATGACTTTTTCAATTACCGGAAATTGACCATTTCTTGAATCTGAATATTTGCCATAAAAGGTGTTTTCATAACAGAATTAAAAAATACTACTTTTTTTTTTTTTTTTAATCCTCGCCACAGATTTAGGATATATTCTTTTTCACCCTACTATTCAATGTCTTTTCTATTCTCCCCACCTACAGATTCTGACAGGTTCTACAGGTGTCAGGGGCGGCTCTAGACTTTGCAAAGCCTTAGTGAGGCCCCCACTAACACAATTAGTGAAGAAACAGAGTTGCTTTATGTGCATATAAGGAGCTGTAGCTATATTGAAGGGCGGGTGTGACAAACTAGCCTGAAAAACTGTGAAACTTTCCGTTTATTTGGTGGTTCTGTCTACCGAACGCAGACCACCCCCTGGCTCATTATCTTCAAAGGAACCATAAAGTTAAGTGCTTTCTATGGCCGGCCACTGTTCATATAACCGAAAGCCATGTGCGCTGGAAAAAAGCTGCCAAATGTGACAGAGTGTGGGATAGGTTGACAGTGTGGGAAGGGGGTGACAGAGTGACAGAGTAAGAGAGGGGGGTGATGTGACAGAATAGGTGACAGAATGGGTGACAGAGTGAGGAAGGGGGTTAAAAAATACTTTTTTTTCTCTTAGCCCCTTAAGGACCAAACTTCTGGAATAAAAAGGAATCATGACATGTCATGTGTCCTTAAGGGGTTAAACAACTTCCTGGTGGTCCAGTGTTTTTTTTCCCTGGTGGTCCTGTGGGCTGTCACTCTCCCTGGTAATCCAGTGGCCTTCCTATCCGATCTGTAGCTCTGCCGGGTGCAGAGCTGCAAACCACATGATAAGAGTCTTGCAATCTCAAGAAGTCAGAGCATTGCTGTGGTAACCCATAGCATACATGGAAAGCTGCCGGGCCACTTCCCGATGTCGTGCCCCCGGTCATGGACTGAGGGCTCGACAGGTCGGTCTGCTCTAAAGCGATTTAGGAAGCCGCCAGGCCTCAAACAGCGCAAGGCTTTAGGTGGCCGCCTGAATCGCCTAATTAGAGAACCGCCTCTGCTACAGGTAACTAAATAAAATGGTGTGAGTTGTAATTCATAAAACTCCTAAAGTAAAAGTGTGATTGTGGCAAAATACATTGCTTTACTCAGTTTTACACCACTTTACTCCAAACAAAAGATTTCTCCAGCAACCAACTAATTTATTGGATCAGACTACTAGAATATTTCTTCCCATTAAATTCAGTTGAAATGTATTAAAAATATCGGATGAAATCAGTTGATAATGTTTGACTAGATTTTGTTTATTATATTGCATTGAGGTAAATATGAGATGAGTACCAAAGTCTCCTCACTCTTCCCAACCAAAGTGCTACTAATGAAGGTTTATATAAAGAAATGTCATATAAAAAGCAAGCAGAGTCTTGAGAAGGACTTTTGATTAATCTATGTGATTTAATAGAAAGCACCCTTTTTCCTACACTCAGTGAATCAATTCTCACACACATTCAGATATGAATCCTATTTATTAAACACTGTTTTATTTAACAGATTAACAGACTTTAACCCCTTAAGGACACATGACATGTGTGACATGTCATGATTCCCTTTTATTCCAGAAGTTTGGTCCTTAAGGGATTAAACCTTTTAGAATCTGGAAACATTTTTTTTTCACTCAGCTGAGCTGAATATTTTATTTTTAACACAGCAATCTTAGTCTGACGTCTGCAAATGACTGTCATCTCGCAATTTATCCCAGTTTATTGACTAGACTTGTCTATGACTACCTGCTATTGGTGCCAAAGTCTGCAGTGGGTTTTTACCTGTTAATGAGTTGTGGAATAAGATCTCCTCTGTCTATTACAATAAATTCTTATTTACGGCAATGTCATCCATAATTAGCATGATTTCCTGTGTAAGTGGAGATTTTTATTGTAACAAATAACTCACTAGGTTCGTTGAGCCTATATCTGTGTACGTTGTTCTACGTAACAATTTGTTGATAAGATACAAAGTTGACACTGATAAAGGCTTCATCACACACTGATTGTTCACTTTTCAGACCAAGCATTACTGCATACGATTTTTAGGCTTTGTAAATACTGAGACACAATGAATACCTACATGAAAGCAGCGGCAATCACGGTATGCATCAGTCTAACAGTTTTGGCAGCAGGTAAGTTGCGTATTGATTGTTTTTCTTTTTTAAACTTTTAAAAGTTCCTTCCGCTTTTCTTTGAGTTCCTTGCAACCTGGTTCCAATAGGCAAGTGTTGCCCTACAAATTGACACAAATCATACCAACTTGGAGCCAGTTACTTATGGGTTTCTTAAAAAGTAAGTATCCATTTGGATACACATACTAATAGAAGAAAACAAGTCCTGCGCCTCAAACTCCCATCCCTCCTGGGCGGCCAAAACGACCATAGTGTAACCGCGGCTGGTTCCCTTATTTACCACTATAATGTCTTAAAGCATAGAACTTAGCAGGGCTAACCATACAGATATCTTAGCCATAATTTTATATAGTTAATAAGATAGCTAATAAGATATAAAAATAATTGAGAATACTATATAAAATAAGGATTGTCTTGGAAGCAATAACGTTTTGTCTTTTTAGATATTTATTATATAAAAAAATAAATATAGACATATAAAATCCATTACAATAATTTATAGCAGAGTTTATAAGATTAAACTAAATGCTTGCAAATATCATTAATAGGTTAACATACCCTTCTGACGTGGCAGGCGGGCATTCCCTCCAATGGCCATTGAAGAAACAAAATAACCTCAATTTGTTTAAATATACATAGCGATTTGGGAGAGAGCGCAGATAACTTTTTTCCTTTGCTTTTTACTGTATGTATTGGGGCTGTGTACACAATGGTCATTACTGCAGCCCAGGAGTGATGCAAATTTGAGCACAGGACTTGTTTTTTTGTCTTTGTATTCACTTTTTGTATCACACAACTTTGTTACAATGCGGCCGCCCATCCCATGTGTTCCCTATTAAGGGTTAATAAGTATATAGGGGTGTATATTAAAAATACCCCTCTCTGTCTCATTAGAGATATCTTTGCCAGAAGCTCAAGGAAGCAAGGGGAAAGGTTAGTGTAGGACCCACCTGAGAGGTTTACCTTGACATGGCAGGTGGGCATGCCCTGCTATGGCTATTGGAGTAACTAAATAACCTCCATTTGTTTAAATATTGTGACCTGGAACCATACAATCACACAGTCTTAATGATTGGAACACAACACAAATCGGATTTCTTGTAAATGCAATCTTTTTCTTTATTAAGAGGTCTGGCAATTTAACCCCTCTGTGTGTTTGTTTGTCAGTGAATGTGTGCATGTCTGTCACTGTGTGTTCAGGTGAGTGTGTGTGTGTGTCTGTCAGTGTATGTCTGTGAGTGAGTCTGTATCTGTTAGCGAGTATGTGTGTCTGTCAGTGAACGTAAGTCACTGCCGTTATCCTTTGCCTCAGAATAGATTCAAAAAGGCTATACTAAATATGAGTTTCCACTACGCATCTAACACTGATTTAAACTGATTATTTCAGAGTATTGCACTATTATGTGTTTTTTGTTTCATATATTATTATTATTATTATTATACATATATGGGGTAATTGCTATTTATAGAGCGCTTCACATATTCTTTTGTTTTTGGTGGGTCTTATAACCTAAATATTAAGTTGTTTGTTTTTTTTTTTTATGAAATTTCCTTAACGAATTGCCATTGTTCGTATAACATTACATTTTTATAGAGATTATTTTCAGCTCAGCTATTTTGCAAGTTGGTTGTCAACTCACCAAAGCTCACTGCTTATTAAGCAAATTCCCTATTCTTAAGATACAACCAATGACTCTCAAGCTGATGCCGATTTATAATTCCCAATGATGCTGTCAATAAAAGGATAATGAGATTTATAGCTTTAGAAATGATTTATAAGGCCATGCAGCTCACCCAGATTTAAGAGTCCCTGGTAAAATAGTGTCACCTATCAAAAAGAACACTCTTAATCTGATAGGTGACACATTCAAACAGATTACGCATTTGATTCTAATTTAAATGTATCAATTACAAACAAGAATGTCACACAAATGTGTAATATTTTGTAATTGTAATTAACTATAACATTCAAGACTTGAAACTCAATCAATTTAATATTTTCCTATTTTGAAATGGAGGCCAGGACACAAAATCATTAGCCTGATTTTTCCAGAAAGGTTTGCCGTGATATTGGAAATTCGGGCAATGATAAACCAAATCTACAGCAGGAAGCCAGGCAGAAAGAGAATAAGAGTATCAGAAGAAGACATTATAGAGATGTCATGACAGAGCTAGAATCAAGTCACATCGAGAAAACTGTCACGAGTGGAAATGATGAAAAAATAGTAAACTCTGCACAAAGCAGACAAAATTATTTAGACAGAGCAGGCAAAATTAAATGTATTTTTAAAGAACGTAATAATGAAAACAGGAAAATGGATCTCAAGTTGGAACAGAAAAATCCCTTGATACAACAAATTTATTTTTTGTTTAATAATTGTTTTAGTACCATGTATCATTTATATTAATCTACATGTATCGTTTACTAAGCATTTGCTATATTGCATTTAAATATCAAAAGGATCTACAGAAAGTGCTTCAAAAATGCCAATCCCTCCAGTCACCAGTACTTCACCACCAGAAACCACTGCAATCACAAATACTGTTCCTCTGTCTACCACCGCTTCACAAACCACTGCCACTACATTGTATCCTGCTACCAGTCATATTGTAACACTACCAGGTGGGTACCCAGATAAGATACATATACCATAAGACCTATCTATATATCTATCTATCTAGTTAATGTCTCCAGAACACAGATATTATTTTACCCTGATTCATTCTTTAGAATAATGTATGTTTGATATTAAATTGTGTATTGTCAGGGTACCTGTTGGTGCTGAATCCAGGGAAGACATCCTCTCTGTTTAGGGGCTCCCTGCCCCTAGCATTTCGGCATATTCCGGCCGTTTTCGCGCCGGCCGCGCTAGCTCCTCCCCCTTTTATGACGCTACGGCTAGCGTCGACGTCATGACGTCGGCATTTACATAAAGTGCCGGGAACCGCTATTCCGGACCTTTTGGGGGCGTGGTCTCTATTTAGGTAACAGGGTATTTAAAGGAACCTTTACTACTGCTCATTGCCCTGTCGTGGTTCTAGCTTGCTAGTCACTCAGCGCGTTCTTTATCTTGTGTTTCCGGTTTTGACCCTTGCTTGTCTTTTGTCCTGTTGTCCTCTCCTCTCCTTTGACTCGGCTTGTATCTCGCTTACCTGTCCTCCGGCTCCCTCGACCTCGGCTTACCTTTTGACTATTCTTGCTTTGTCCATACGTTAGTCCGGCCATTCTAAGGTCCGGTATACGTACCTCCTTCTGTCCGCACTCTGCGTATTGGATCCCTGTCAGTATCCTGACATGTATGCAGCGTTTGCTATTTATCTTTCACTATGTGTATTTTATATTACAGTTTACATATTACATGAGAGTTAGATCTGGGGCGCGTACATACATAGTTACATAGCTGAAAAGAGACTTGTGTCCATCAAGTTCAGCCTTCCTTATTTCTGTTTTTTGCTGTTGATCCAAAAGAAGGCAAAAAAACCCAGTTTGAAGCACTTCCAATTTTGCAACAAGCTAAGAAAAAAAAATTCCTTCTTGACCCCAGAATGGCAGTCAGATTTATCCCTGGATCAAGCAGTTATTACCCTACGTTGAAGGATTAATTCCCTGAATATTCTGTTTTTGCAAGTATGCATCTAAATGCATGATAAATTCACTGTTTTATCAATCAACCCCTTTTTTAAGAGACTACTCTTCAAAGAACTGTGATAATATCACTAATTCGAGCTTTCAAACTTTTGAGCAATTAGTTCCTTGTACTTATTTGCTCTGGTTTATATACCTGGACTATTATGTCATCTTTTATTCATAAAAGTATATTGTCATAAGTACTATTAACCCTGCGTTGTTCTCGCAAGCAGGGTCTAGGTTACTTATGCTATAAATACCACCCTTATGATCTAATATGCTATGTGGATTCCAATGTAATCTTTAACAATTTGGGTGCATTCTTTCATGCATCTAGTAGCTGTTTGAACATCTGTATGGACTGTGTAAACCACTTCTTCAGGCAGAGAATTCCACATCCTGATTGTTCTTACAGTAAAAAAAAACCTTTGCCTTAGACGAAATCTTCTTTCTTCCAGTCTAAACGCATGACCTTGTGTCTTATGCAAAGTCCGGTTTGTGAATAGATTTCCACACAATGGTTTGTATTGACCTTGAATATATTTGTATTATGTTGTCATATCCCCAGGTGACGTTTTCCTAAACTAAATAGGTTTAAATTTGTTAACCTTTCTTCATAGCTGATATGTTCCATTCCTTTTATTAATTTTGTAGCCCGCCTCTGTATTTTTTCTAGTAATAATATATAATATCCTTCTTTAGAACAGGTGCCCAAAATTGCACAGCATATTCAATATGTGGTCTTACCAGTGATTTATAAAGAGGCAAAATGATATTCTCATCCCGAGAATGAATGCCCTTTTTCAAGCATGACAATACCTCACTGGCCTTGGCCACTGCTGATTGACATTGCACATTGTTGCATAGTTTGTTGTCTATAACAATTCCCACGTCCTTTTTGTGTGTTGTTATCCCTAATTCGCTTCCATTAAGGGTATACGTTGCTTGTGTATTCTTTACGCCGAAGTGCATAACTTTGCATTTTTCAACATTAAATTTAATCTGCCATTTGAGTGCCCAGTCACCCAGTCTATCTAAATCCCTCTGCAGCAAAGTAATATCTTGCTCACATTGTATTATTTTACAGAGTTTTGTGTCATCTGCAAACACTGAAACATGACTTTCAATGCTGTCTTCAAGATCATTTATAAACATGTTAAATAGAAGGGGTCCCAGAACAGACCCCTGAGGGACACCTCTGTCCACCTCTGTCCAGCTTGAAAATTTACCATTAATGAAAACTCTTTGTACTCTGTTTTTAAGCCAATGTTCTAACCAAGAACAAGCATTTTCATCTAGACCGATTTCCTTGAGTTTGAACACTAATCTATTGTGTGGAACTGTATCAAATGCCTTGGCAAAATCCAAATAGATCACATCCACTGCAACACCCTGATCTATACTTCTACTTACTTCTTTGTAGAACGCAATCAAGTTAGTTTGACATGACCTGTGCTTCATAAAACCGTGCTGACTTTTGCTGATAACCATGTTCTTCTCAAGGAATTCTTGAATATTATCCCTTAATAGCCTTTCAAATATTTTCCCAGCCCCTGTAGTTAAAGGACCACTCTAGGCACCCACACCACTTCAGCTTAATGAAGTGGTCTGGGTGCCAGGTCCTTCTAGGGTTAACCCATTTTTTTATAAACATAGCAGTTTCAGAGAAACTGCTATGTTTATCAATGGGTTAAGCCTTCCTCCAAATCCTCTAGTGGCTGTCTCATTGACAGCCGCTAGAGGCGCTTGCGTGCTTCTCACTGTGAAAATCACAGTGAAAGCACGCAAGCGTCCATAGGAAAGCATTATGAATGATTTCCTATGCGACTGGCTGAATGTGCGTGCAGCTCTTGCCGTGCGTGCGCATTCAGCCGACGGGGCGGATCGGAGGAGGAGAGGAGGCAGAGAGCTCCCCGCCCAGCGCTGGAAAAAGGTAAGTTTTTACCCCTTTCCCCCTTCCAGAGCCGGGCGGGAGGGGAACCCTGAGGGTGGGGGCACCCTTAGGGCACTATAGTGCCAGGAAAACAAGTATGTTTTCCTGGCACTATAGTGGTCCTTTAAGCTCACAGGTCTATAATTTCCAGGCAAGGATTTTGAACCCTTTTTGAATATAGTAACCACATCTGCCTTCCTCCAATCCTCCTGAACACTTCCTGAAAGAAAATAATCTTGAAAGATTAAAAACAGAGGTTCACTTATTTCTACACTTAGTTCCTTAAGTCCTCGTGGATAGATACCGTCAGGCCCTGGAGCTTTGTTTATATTAACTTTCTTTAGTTGCTGCAGCACCTTGTCTTGAGTTAACCAATTACAATTATTTTGCAAGTTTTTAGTAGCAATCATTTGCACATCTATTGCCATGGGTTCTTCCTTAATATATATGGAAGATAAATAGTTATTTAAAATTCCATATACCGCTGTTTCAGTGGTTATTGCATTTCTTAAGCCCAAACATTATTTTATTAATCATCCAGCAATTTTATTATTACTTCATGCTTGAAGTGGTAGAGCTTAATACAGTAAAGGAGTTTAAGCATGCGTGGGATAGGCATAAGGCTTAAAGACTTAAAGGGACACTCCAGGCACCCAGACCACTTCTGCCCATTGGAGTGGTCTGGGTGCCAACTCCCACCACCCCTAACCCTGCAAGTGTAATTATTGCAGTTTTCATAAACTGCAATATGTACTTTGAAGGGTTAAGTCCTCCTCTAGTGGCTGTCTGCTAGACAGCCACTAGAGGACACTTCCGTGTTCATAGAACAAGAAAAGTGTGCTACAACATCGCTGGACGTCCTCACGCTATGTGAGGACCTCCAGCATCGCTCAAATCCTCATAGGAAAGCATTGAAAGCATTATTCAATGCTTTCCTACGGGGAGTTATAACGCATTAGGTCTCCCCCGCCTCCGCCCGCGCATGCTCAATAGGTTTCCCCCTTGGATGATTTCGCCGGGGAAGGAGCATGGGCGGACCCTGACCCAGCGCCGAGGGACATCGGCGCTGGATACAGGTAAGTCACTGAAGGGGTTTTAACCCCTTCAGAAACTTGGGATGGGAGTGGGAGGGAGAGGGGACCTGCAGTGCCAGGAAAACGGTTTGTTTTCCTGGCACTGGAGAGTCCCTTTAAGATAAGGCCAGGGACTAATTAAAAATATTTCAAAATATTGGGCAGACTAGTTGGGCCGAATGTTTCTTATCTGCCGTCACATTCTAAGTTTCTAGGAATCATTCGTTCTGTTGAGCTATTTCAATTGCTTTTGTTTGATTTGTTCATTGCAAACAGTTAAAAGTCTGTAAATTTTAACAGTAAACCTGATTTTAAATGAGGGTTGAATATTTTTGAATACAGCTGTATGTATGATGTTGCCCAACATATAGTACATGGTTTGATAACATAATCTGCCTCTTGAAAAAAAAATTGTTTTATCTCTGTGATTGTGCATCGCTGAGATGCTTATCTATTTACCCCTCTTGATGTGGATTAACTTATCCTAGTATTAGAACTCTCTAATTCTTTTACCGTGCCTTTAATTGTTTGTTTTTTTATCTTCTTTAAATATTTTAATTCCAAGATCATTTTTGTTACTACTGTTTTTTAATTTAGGTTTGTGTCGCAATGGAGGTACCTTTACTGAAAATAAATGCATTTGCCTGGATAAGTTTTATGGACCCTTGTGTGAGAGCATGGTAGACAGAGTTGAGATTGGTGGTAAGTGTTTCACGTTAACAGGTTGATGGGTTAGCCAGAGTAAGAATGTTGAACCTGATTATTCAGATGTAACTTTTTAATCTAGAAACAAGATAATATAAAATACATTGGAATGAAATGGTAAAAATATATATGATAAAAATTCTAAAACACATTATGTCTAGAGTTGAGCGGACATCTGGATGTTCGGGTCCTGCGAGTTTGGCCAAACTTTGAAAAAAAGTCCGTGTTCGGGCTTGAACTTGACCCCGAACCCTATTGAAGTCAATGGGGACCTGTACTTTTGGCCACAAAAATGCCTCTAAAAAACTCCTGGAAAAGCTACAGAGCTGCAAAAGGAAGTAAAATGGGGTAAGAGTAGGACAAGTGCCCTGCAAACAAATGTGGATAGGGAAATCAGATAAAATAACATAAAAATTTGAAATACAGCTGAGCCATAAAATAGCACTAGATGGAATCTTTGATTTTAGCTTTGGAAGAACATAAATCAAAATCTAAATCATGGCTGTCAGGAGGATCACCAGAATTATCAATTTTTAGAGAGGGCTGGAGTGCAGGGTATGCTCTTTCATTGTTCAAACTGAGCTCAACTGTTTATGTTTTTTTTTTTTTTAATTGTGGTATCCCACAAAATATTGGGACATACAAAAAAAGAAACATTTGCGGCCTGCGGTGCATTTCTTGCAGTCCTGATGCATGGAGAAATGCTCAACTCCTGATGCATGGAGAAAAGGCCTTCTAATGTGTACCTAGTTTATACTAAGTGACCCTTAGGTTGAGGAGGCGGTGTCCATGGCAGTGTAGGTGGAAGCAGCGGTGCGGGAGGAGGATGAGGTAGCCAACACTGTTTTTTATGGGTTTTTTTTTAATTGTGGTAGCCCACAAAATATTGGGACATATAAAAAAAGACAACTCTGTTGCGCAGAGTAGCTGTTGACATTATAGTTGCGCAGGCACTTTGTTGACTCGGGCCAATCACACATCCTCGTGGTGGTGACTTTGCATGCGGATGTCATCCATATCAACTTTCGATGCCAGTTTCTGCGCCTACCATGGTGACCACGGGTAACGGGGAATCAGGGTTCCATTCCATACAGGGACCCTGAGAAACGGCTACCACATGCAAGGAACGCAACAGGCATGCAAATGACCCACTCCCGACACGGGAAGGTAGTAACGACAAATAACAATACAGGACTCTTTAGAGGCAGTTTAATTGTAATGAATCCACTTGAAATACTTTAACTCTGATCAATTGGAGGGAAGTCTGGTGCAGGGCCACTGACCTGTGTGTGCTGCAGCTGAAACTCCATTATTGCCTGCTTCTGCTCACACAGTCTCATGAGGCAGTGAGTGGGAAGGCCGAAGTTACGCTGGAGCGCAGACAGGCAAGCAGCAGAAGGGTGAGAACGCCAAAAGCGTGGACAGCCGCTACAGTGAATGTCACACCCTGTTTCAAGTTGCGGATCACTCTGGTGATGGCTTTTGGTATCCAGTACTCGTTTTACTAAAGCTGCATCAGGGTCCTGGTATGTGGCCGCACAAAGGCTGGTGCTCAACACCAGGGGGCGTGCGGTTACCCTGCATCAGACCCTGCTAATCCATTCCACACTGTGACTCCTAATTTAAACATCAGGCATACTGGGTCCCGGTCGTCCAACCGCCGCCCAGACAGTGTCTGGGTCCTGGTCACTGGACTGCCCACCTGACTGTGAAACTACGAATGGATCGTTAAATCTGGTACGAACCCGAATTTTGCAGTTCGTGTTCGCTCAACTCTATTATGGATTCTTTGATCGCTACATTACTTATTACTTAGATAACTGGTAATTCTCGAGCTAATACATGCCGACGAGCGCTAGGGGATGGCTCCGCTTTTGCACCCTGCTCCCTCTTATGCTGTGCTGGTGCCTCTATGCGACCAGTGCCTCTTCCTCTAAACTGCACACGTCACTCGCCTGACCTTGATTCCATGTGGAGTCTAGGCCCTCCTCATCCTCCACATCATCTTCCACCCACTCCTTAACCCTGCCCTCCTTGCCGGTATGCACACTGCAGAAAGCCAGCATATAAAGTCTGCAAAGGACATATGGAAATTGTTTTAGAATTTTATCCAGGCAACAGTTTTCCCTATAAACTGACCTCTCAGTTTGACTTGTGAGGGTATTGCCCCAGAATTAGTTACGCTTCTATTTGACTCTCAGATATGAAGTGAACACCCCAAATATACTATTTAGCACCAAAAAAAAAATTTACTTTTTAAAACTCCAATGTAAGCAGCAGATTAGCAACAAAACAATTAGAACGTTTAAAACTGCGTAGTAAGCGCACTATTTGACGCTTCTATTTGACTCTCAGATATGAAGTGCACCGCAAGCTGCAAATGTACTATTTAGCAGATTAGCAGCAAAACAATTAGAATGTTTTCAACTGCGTAGTAAGCACACTAACAGATGCTTCTATTTGACTCTCAGATATGAAGAGCAGGCCCCAAAATGTACTATTTTGCAGATTAACAACCAGAAAATAAGAATGTTTACCACTGCGCTGTAAGCACACTATTAGACGCTTCGATTTGACTCTCAGATATTTAGAGCATGGCACAAAATGTACTATTTAGCAAATTAGCACACATCATCTTCCACCCACTCCTCAACCTTGCCCTCCTTGCCAGTCTGCACACTGCAGAAAGCCACAGCAGTTGGCACCTGTGTTTTTCCAGCATGTAAAGTCTGCAAAGGACATATGGAAATTGTTTTAGAATTGTATCCAGGCAACAGTTTTCCCTATAAACTGACCTCTCAGTTTGACTTGTAAGGGTATTGCCCCAGAATTACAATATTGTTTAAGTACCTCTTAGCTATTGATAACTGGTTTAAATATAGCAGCTTGTTATCTGGTAGTTTCTAGTGTAGAAAATATCAATCTGTTTTCTATTACTTAGATCTGTGTAACAAGTGCTGTAGGTGTAAAACAATATTACAAGTGACCGATGTAGTAAATTCAAATCAAAGTTACGCTTCGATTTGACTCTCTGATATGAAGTGAACACCCCAAATATGCTATTTAGCACCAAAAAAAAATTTACTTTTTAAAAATCCAATGTAAGCAGCAGATTAGCAGCAAAACAATTAGAATGTTTACAACTGCGCAGTAAGCGCAGTATTTGACGTTTCTATTTGACTCTCAGATGTGAAGTGCACCCCACTAAAATACTATTTAGCAATTTAGCACCCAAATAATTTTAAGTTTTAAAACTGCAATGTGACAGCAGTGTTTGACGTTTCTATTTGACTCTCAGATATGAAGCAATTTAGCATCCCAAAAATTTTAAGTTTTAAAACTGCAGTGTGACTGTAACAGCTACCCTAGTTGGTGAGGGGGTATCAGCCATTGGAGACGTCCTTCTTCCCGGCAAGATGCTGTGCAGTAGTAGAGTTGCTTATTCCCATCCACTGGATCCAAGTACAGAACAGAACAGAGCTCTTAAAAGAGCTAAGTGATTAAGCTGCAGATTCCCTTCCAACATCGAGACAAGGATAAGTTTTGAAGGGTCAAGAAGAACTGAGGTTTAATGACAGGTATTCTCCTTTTATGCGGTGCTCCCACGCAAAAGAGACACCCACAGGCAATTATACAGTGACCAATCAAACAATGGCTACAACCCACAAATTCCCTCCCCTTGGGAGATAATTGAGTTTCTAACTGTATCTACTCAATTATCTCCAAGTTAAAAAAATCATGCTTTTTATACATACTTATAACTTTCGTATTTTACATGGTACATGAATAAAACTTATATTTTTATAAACAGTACAACTTGGGGAACAATATATTAAAAATTCGTGCAAATCCGTTTGGTGGTTCGGGAGATAGTAAAAAGTCACTTGAACCGACCGCACGCCTGTGAGTATGCCTAAAATCAGTTCCACAGATTCAGGCTGTGCGGTCAGTCTATCTTTTGTTCAACGAAAATCCCTATTTACGGATTCATTCATGCTTGGACTCATTGAATACAGCTAGTTCGGGAGTTTATTTTAACGAAAAAGCGCTCTGTTCGGATGGATTTAGCCGAACGCACAGAGAATGGAAGTTTCAGCGGTGTTCGTGTAAAAGTCTAGCCGAAATGAGTTCCACGCGGTCGAAGTCCAAACACCGCTGAGTGCATTCAACTATCCAAAATGGCCACCGCCACGTGTTCGTGCAAACGAATGACGACCACCCTGTATATCAATTAAACCCATGGAGTGTTCGTGGTTTTCACGGTGTTCTTATAGTCAGGGAGGTAAATGAGTAGCACACTTCTGTTCTGGGTGGTCAGGCATTCAGTACTAAATTCGGTATTCAAACATTTTTATATTGTATCTCCATTACACAAAAGCAATTACACGAACAGTCTTTGTCTTTAGGTGCAGGATAAGGTGAGGGAGGGCAGGAAAACGGTGCAGGTTCCCAGGCACATTGTAGGGATTTTTTACAGTGACAGCAGTATTTGACGATTCTATTTGACTCTCAGATATGAAGTGCACTCCACTAATGTACTTTCCCACTAATGTACTATTTAGCACCAAAATAAATTTACTTTTTAAAACTCTGATGTAACCACGGTATTTGAAGCTTCTATTTGACTCTCAGATATGAAGTGCACCCCACCCCACTAATGTACTAGTTTGCAGAATTATTTCCTAAGCTGTCCCTATCAGCAGCAGCATCCTCTCCCTACACTAATAAGACCGCATGTGCGTGTGGCGCTACGCGACTCCAGCTTATATATAGAGGCTGGGTCACATGCTGCATTGGCCAATCTCAGTCATGCCATTAGTAGGCATGGCTGTGATGGCTTCTAAGGGCACACGAGTCAAATGCTTGTTGATTGGCTGCCCTGCAGCCTTTCAAAACGTGCCATTAAATCGCCGAACACCGAACTCCAACCCGAACATACAGTTATATGTCCGTGTTCGGGTCCGGGGTCCAAAAAACGTAATGTTCGGGTTCGCTCAACTCTAGTGGTGTTTCAAGTTAACAGGTTGATGGGTTAGCCAGAGTAAGAACTTTGAAGCTGATTATTCAGAGGTAACTGTTTAATCTTTTTAATATAGAAACAAGATAATATAAAATAAATTGGAATTAAATTGTCTGCTAAACATCTTGGAATTGTAGTAGATTACAGCCAGGATTGTTTTAAAACTAGCACCACAGGGTAAAATTAAGAAAATTCATAATGTAATCATTATCATCAGGCCACCACATATCCATCAACATTCCTAGGAATTACCTTCTGGGCATAAATTAACAGTTGACCTTGTATCTCTCTCCTGACAGATAAAGTTAATACCACTGTGAAAGTGAACATGAGAATCATTAACAAGAATTATACAGCTGGCTTGGAGCAAATCGACTCTCCTGAATACAATGAATTTGTAGAGAATTTTAGATCAGAGGTGAGAATGTGATCACTTAAAGTATTAGAATTGTTCAGCAATCTATACATCAGTAGCACACTATAACCATTTACACCTCTCCCTGTCTTTGTTACAGATGAAAGGGTTCTATAAAGATCTACCTGGATATAAAGATGTGATAATCATTAGTTTGAGGTAGGTTATCCTATCAAAATTACCTAGAAACTATAGGGTAAACCACATGTCCAAAATACCTGTAACATGGTCAGCTCTTTTACTACCAACTCATTTTAGTTTTATAAAAAACATAATACTTTGAATATATAATGCATAGTAACAAAAATAGCATACAATTGCACGTTTTAGTGGTAATTAAAGTAGAAAACTAAGGAAACTTACACACATTTCACTTCATTTATCATTTCATTTTTACAGAAATATTGGTGGGATAAAGAATTTTAGTAAATATATTTTGTCTGCTGTCTTGCAAAAGTATTTTTATATCAAACTTGTATTTTCATGTGTTATAAAGGCATGTATATGTAACAGTGGATTAGCTTTTAGCTTTCTATAGATTTTACCAGACTTTGTGTATCTTTTGTAGCTGGGGCTCTGTCTATGTTGAACACGAGGTTATTGTAGAGGCTGAATATAATGAATATGTGTCGGTGATTAAACAGTACGAGGAGATGTTTCAGAATGTCAGTAGAATCTTGGATATTCTAAGGAATAATTCATGCACAAGTGAATCAACTGGGTGTAAGTATTTGATGAGAGACTAAAAAAAGGGTGCTTTGCTGAATATGAAAAGTGTGTTTCTGAGCTAATTTGTTTAAAGTGAATAAAAGCTGATAATAATGGACATTTTAAATTCATCTCCATTCCCATACACAAAGGAGTAGCTTCTGAAGTTGACATATCCAGAAGTTACAGGTGTGGGTATTGTAATGGGACCTAGCTTTGCCAGATTTACCATGTTTTCTCTGACATTAATTTGTTTTTGATGTTAATCTTCACCACATGAAAATAGCTGACCTGGAGTATGTATGTAATTAAATAATTGGGACAGTACCTTGGGATCTGTTATACTATGTATTAAACTACAGAAGTGATATGCTCACAAGATAACATGGCAGATCTCACCACCCCAGCAAGAATATACGCTTTTGAAATGATCACAATTTGTTTCAAATGTTTTAATAAATTCTTTGCAAACTCCACGACTGACTGAGAATTTTGTAGAGAAAAAATTTGAAAAGATTGTCATCATCAGAATTGAGACTAGAGCGATTTCTTGGGCGGACACTCGTATTTCTCTCACTTTATGTTTATGTTGCATGAAGTTAAGTCTGGAAATTTTATTACACAAATATTCACTAAGGTCAGGAATTCAAATTGAACTTATATGTATTTTCAGGTATTTTATTCAGGTATTTGGCCCCAAACTTTTAAATTTGCTTTCAGTTTAGATTTACAGCGCGTTGGCTAAAAATTTTCTACTGAAGGGGTAAGGAGCCATAGTATGATAATTATGTTGCTTATCTTCAACTTTTTATTCCATTTCATTGCAGCAGATCTGTGTGTAACTAGCATTATATTAACTGCTGTTTCTCCAAAAAGTGAAAAAGGTATGTAAATGTTAGTTCTGTTCTTCAGCACAATATTTCAGATTTATTTGCTATTGGTAGTAGGCATGAAAGAAATAATCTGAATGTGTCTGTATTGTCTTCTCGTAGAACTCTGCAATGAAGCTGTCCAGTCTGGCTTTGAGGAGCACTTCGAACCTATGGTCGTTAATAGCAGCCTAATCTGTGTTTCAAGCTGCAGTCCAAATTCAAAAAGCTATTTAAATTGTAATGAGGGCACCTGCCAATTAGAAAAGGTCACAGGAGCACATTGTCTGTGAGTATACATGATAGTTTATAGAACAATCCTTTTGTGCAAATTAATGCATTCTATTAATGCAGCATCTCCATGATGTATCACAGAGTATGATGTGGTAGTTAGTTTTTTCCATCCGCAGTGTCATTGCAGAGAGACTTGTAATTAATTAATTATCTAATTCTGGCTGCAGCTTGAGAGTTATATGCTAACTGCTTTATATCTGTGCCTACAACTGTGTTTCTGTGTTATGTGTTTGTTTAGTAACTTTTTATTGCTCTTCCTTTGGTTTGCAGTTGTCCAAATACAGAAACATATTTATATACCTCCCAGGGGTGCCAGGGAAAGATATTAATGGCAGGATTATACGGTGGCATTGGTGCGGGAATTGCAGCACTTTTAATAATTATTTTCACTGTGGGGTTCGTTATGTTTCGAAACAACCAGAAAAAGTAAGTGCTGTATGTTTAGTTTATTGGATGCTCACATATATTGTTTATAAACTACCACCCTTACATTCTGTGTTATCTTACTTTTGCTCTTTGTGAATTCAGGCATACATTATTCAAAGATGAGAAAAATTCAGTATATGAAGCCAATGACAATGAATGGAGTGGTCAGCGGAGTATCACCAACCTGAGTGAAGCAGCATATGAAGGTATTTTTAAAAATTAAAAAGCACCACGATCCAGCTATCAAATGATGACTTTACCCTATGGGGAGGGGGGGGGTGGGAATTTGACACTTACTCTAGAATGACTAAGAAGATGCACAGTATAAGTCTTGGTTGCAACTAAACCACATTTCAGAGACAGACTGATGGCTCCTTCTGTCTGGGTACTGTATCACCTTGCAGGGAGAGAGACAGACTCAGAGCCCCTTCTCTTGGTGTCACCATGCACGCATAGGGACAGATTCATATCTTTTATTGTGCCACCATGCAGGGTCGGGAAGGTCTTGTAGCAACTCATGTATAATGTTAATATGTCTCACTAATTGCTACTCTTTGTGCAGATACTCAGGAAGTTTACTTTTCTGGCAAATAGAGATTCCAACCAGCCTTTGAGAATATAAATACAGCCATCCAGGTATGCAAAGATTGGCTCCCAGTTTGGCAGATACCCTCTTACCTTCCCCTTTGTATCATTTCTCTCTGTATATCACTCTTTGTTATTTCAATTATTATATGTTTTTATGATTGGCTGCTTTCTAGAGATTGACATCTTTTGTTGAGTATTCTTTTATTGTGTTGTATATTCAGATCTCTGTTGGAAGTAATGTTCATGTTACAGGTTTTGAATTTGTACAACACATTCATTCATTAAAACTCTTTCAGCATTCTTTCCATTTTTTTCGCTTCATTATTGACCCCGTATCGTTTTTAAACTCACATAATATATTTTCTTGTGCAGGTGAAAATGCAGCGATCAGAGATTTTGATTGAATGATTTGACAACAAGGACAACTTCTGCCATTTCCCTTCAATCATTGAAGCAACACCCAACCCAGGGATGACAGTCAATCAGATCAAACTAAATACTTTCTCAGTGAAGACCTTTCAAGGAGTGCCTATTATCCACAATAGAAGAAGAAAGCACCACATCATGAGTGTCATCTGCATAAAGTTGACGTTTAAAGCCATGCCAAGTGAAGAAGTATAAATGGAGAAGGATAAAGGACCCAAGATAGAGCCTTAAGCTACCCCACTTGACAGAGGCATTAAAGAGAAGGAGTCACCAACAAATGACACAGAAATTACCTGTTTTGGGGAGAAATTAGTGGTTCCAAGAGAGACCTGATTTCATCTAAGGCAAAAATAAAGGGGGGGTTTACAGCAAGAACTATAAGAATGTGAAATTCTCTGCCGGAAGAGGTAGATTTGTCTGTACAGATGTTTAAACAGAAATTGGATACATACTTACAAAAACATAACATACAGGGATATCATTTCTAATTAGTGGGGTAGCTTCTTGATCCAAGGAGATATCTGACTCACATTTTGGGGTTTAAGAAGGATTTTTTTCCTAGTTTGTGGCAAAATTGGAAGCGTTTCAGACTGGGTTTTTTGCCTTCTTTTAGATGAAAGGCAAAAAACATATGTGAGAAAGGCGGAACTTGATGGACGCAATGTTTCAGCTATGTAACTATGTAATAGTTACACTTTTGCTCATGGCTGCCTAATGTCAATTCTGTGCAAAAATGATGTCTGTTATCAGGGCTCACTTTGCACTGGCAACAGACATAATAACCTTCGATCTTTGCTGCAGTGCTGGGAGTGTGCCTTCAATGGGAAAACTCTATCTCCCTCCCTACCACCTCTGTGCACTCCATCTTCTCTGCTTTTATAGCTATATATGTTTTAATTAATTTCCTCCCTTGTCCACCCATCACTCCTTCCCTTCTAACACTTTACAGCTCAGAGAATACACGTGCACTCTGAGCTGGGAAGGCCAATCCAATCAAAGCATTTGATTGGACCTTGTGAGAGAGACAGTGACATCAGACAGGTGCTGGATTCCAGGTAAGTTTGTTATTATGATCATTATTAATGGTTTTCTTAAAGGGAGGACCTAATTATTAATGCCCAACATGTCTATCATAATTTAAAAAAAAAAAAAAGTAGTTGTAACGCTTTCAAAACAATATACAAAATAATACAAACCATGTTACACTGGAATAGACACTTGTTTTAAGTTCAGTTGCAATGTTTACATGACTTCTTTGACTCTATAATCTTTGCACAAGCTCTTTCCTTCAGTCACAGAAATGGAGCCATGTGTTCACAGCTCTCTCCATAGCGATGACTCTTCCACATCTCTGTCCCAGCATGGAGTGTGTTTCCCATGTTTTTAATTGTCCCTTTTATTCCTCTATAAGTAAGTAATGTGTCTTTAAATTACAACAAAGGTGTTTAGGAATTAATCTGAGTAAATAAGTTACATTGTTCTTGTTCTAAATTACATTTTAGTTACACAAATTGTCATTAGTAAATCACCTAAAAATTATCAGAGCAGCCCCACCTCGGGCCACCCCCCTACTCACACTCATAAAAGTAAAGTGTCTCTCTTTGTCCATTTAACATATTGGGAGATATGTTACCAGAGACAAGAGGTGACAAAGGCAACAAACGTACAATCTATGAACCAGGAGCCACGGGGCTGAACCTCAGATAAAGAACCAGCAATTATCAAATAACTTAGAGTTAATTGTAATGTATTTGGAATATTTGTTTTTTTTTATATTCTACGATGATCTGGTATCATAATTCCTCTTATGAGTTTATGGACGTTACATACTAGAATTGTCTTATCGACTGTTCAGAGCAGAATTGTCTGTATGTGAATTTCAGAATTTCTTATATGTAAACCTTATAATAAATTTGTTGTCAACAATTAATTAAATATGTAAAATATCGACAAATAAGACAAATAATTGGCTAATGTAGCTGCTCTTCAATATGTACTGTTTATATATTTATCAAAGCACATATGTTTTATTTACCATTTATCACTTCCTGCTCACTGGAAAATGTGCAAAAAATGAATTGACATTGAATGGAATATCTCCCCCTAGTGAACATTGCTTGCACTTAGGCTATGATTCCTAAAACCTGCTACCTGGGTGCAGAGCTGCCCATAGGATATACATGTTTAGGCAAACATTTATATGATGTTAAAAAAGAAACAAAAAAAAGACAAAATAATGTTTTTAAATAAATAGTGTGTATAATTTTTGCACGTGTAGTGTTCTTAGCCCTTGCTGCATTGAGTCACTTGATACATATCTTATCAAACTATTTTAGATGCTGGGAGCTATAAGTCAGATTTTTATAAGGTTCTGTGACAGATATTTCTGCATAACTTTTGATAATTGTAACATCATTGATAGAACTCATGGAAATTAAAATTGCTCAGTATCATATGTTGCCATGTTGACAGAAGATTCAAATTCTAGTTGCCGTGTTGCTTCAATGGATACACAGAACAAATAAATCATATTCATCAGGACCCAAACAGTTGCCCACAAACTTAAAAAAAATAAACTGCAGTATTTCAGTAAACAATTTTAATATATCTTTTTTTTTATTTTTTATTTTTCGAAAATGTTAGATTAACACTACATCTACAGACAAATAAATAAAATGTAATGTATATGCTCAGAAAATTATCTGGAATTTGTGGCGTAACGTCTCCATCTAGTGGTATAATGTAAAATTACACTGGGGTGTTTTATTACATTCTTATTTGAAATGTGATAGCTGTGTGATATATATATAAACAAACTGAAAATCACTGAGTTTTTCTTATGAGGAGAAACGAATACTCACTGAATATTATTGCAAACCTTAATGATGTGGATCACAGCATGATACAATCATACATTGCACGTTGTTTGGGCTGTGGATCTTTGTAATACATTCATGTGCATCAAATATTTTTATCTCCTAATGAAGAAATTAGCAAAACATGAAAGTCGGATTTAATAAATGTTTGTGTCAATGAGATACTGTAAATCTGCAACAAAGTCTCATGGGAGATTTGCCAACACAAGAAATCTACTGAAGTAAATAAAACCAGTACCCGATCCACCTAGCAGAAAGGATACTTTTAAATTATGATTGCTTGACAAAATGTTAATTTTGTAGCCATTCACCATTTTTTCTCACTATCTATCTATCATAGTCAGTGAGATGGTGACTGTGGAGTAGCCACTGATGGTGTGCAATTGCAGTAGGTTATCAACAGATACATTATTATGGTTGCAGAGTATATTATGACTACTAGAGAAACAAAAAAACAAAAACACATAGAATTATCTGAGAATATTTTACTTTCCATATATTAACTTTTTTTTTTTTTAAAGTGGGTAGGCCCATAATTGACTCGGCTGAAAAATGATTGACAGGTCCCATGGGATTGTGGAGTGAATATAGACTGCAGGTTATGTTATGGGTAAATGCAAATAATACAAGTTTTATAATGCAACTTTCACTTCTCAGTGAGCTGGGCTCCTCCATCGTAGCTCCCTGTCAATCATTGTTATAAACCCTGTAATCTGCACATGGCAACTAGTGCAGAGAGTTCATGCAGAGGAGAGAAACAAACAGACTTATTTACTAAAGTGAATATTCAAAGTTAATTTCAAATTTCAGGTCAAAGTTGCCCGAACTGAAAGCACAGCTGACTTCGAGAATTTTTAAACTTCAGCTATTTTGACCTTCAATTTGAAATTCTAAAGATATTATTATTATTTATATTTATAAAGCGCCAACAAATTTTGCAACGCTGTGCCATGGTAATCTGTGTCTGTATTGTATGTTCAAACCTTAATTCCATAAATAATAACATGTTAATAGAGTTTTACTCCTGGAGTATAAAATTAGTTTGGAAATTCTACTTAAAAAAATTACAATTTAACCAAACCCATTAGATTTTAGTTGCCTTGACTAAATTCTACTGGAGATTAGGCCGACTAAAACCAAAACAATTAAAATGACTGAAATATGATTAAAACTAAAATGGGTTTTTAGTCAAAAGACTATGACTAAATTTAAATTAAAATTTACCGCCAAAATTAACACTGCTTCCTAGTCCAGTTCATTGATTCAATGCACTTTTGTGGGGAGATCCCAATTGGCGCAGTGCAGCGCAGTTACCGCGAACGCTCAGTAGGCTCCCAAAGCCTTTCTATCAACATTGATGTTCTCTGCCATGGAAATGTGGCCAGGCGGGGCCAGTCATGGCGAGACAAAGGTAGTGAGTAAAATCGCCTTTTCACTGTAATTTAAAGGGGCTTGTGGACCTAAACATGATCATTTCAGGAATACATATTTGTATTCCTGACACTATTGTGTTCCTTCAAGGTCACAATTGGAATTTCTCAGATCCTGCAGATTACAAAAAGGTCTGGCAGTGCAGATTGAAGAATAGTGTAAGAGTTTATTAACTACACAGAAATAACCATAAACTATGTAAATATGTGACCTACCTGGCGAGAATATATGGATGGATAGATGGATGGAGTTAGTGAGTTATGAAAACCTATTATTGCACAGTGAGTGAGCTAAAGTCATTATATAACCACTTGTATGTCTGAGATTGTGCTTGTGGGGGCCCAAATTTCAGTGCTGAACAAAGGAAAACATCTGTCGCTGTGCAACGTCTTTAGAAAAGGTTACTGTCTTCTTGGGTGAAGTTTGTCTCGTTGCAATTGCCCTCATCAATCCCCCCTCTCCCTGCCACATTTAATTTTATAATTGTACAGCACTGCAGACTATGTTGGCGCTTTATAAATGCTAATAATAATAAAAATAAACAACTAAAACTCAAAAAGCTACATCTCTGCTACAAAAACAAAACTCTCCACATGAATTACATTGCAAACAACATTGAAAGAAAACTTCCTATACAGTATATTTCATTTATGAAGAATTGCAGAATTTAGGATTTTTTTATTACTCTATCTTATCATCCAAATACATTTCACTTACTATTACACTTTGTATATTTTATTATATACTTTTATGTTAAAAAACAACTTGATGAATGTGATTTTTTTTTATATATTTGTTTAAAAATTGAACAGACATTATTTGACTAGACTTAATGTGACAGAGGAATTGCAGCCTATAAAATAATCACATTTCTTTTCTTTTTTGCCCTATGAAACCAATACAATTTATGAATATAGCAGATGTGAATGTCTTATTTACAAGCCCTTACTTCCTGAAACAAAGTGGTTTCAGTTATCGAGGATGTCTCTTTTTTCTTAATAATATATTAATTCTAGATAAATCATTTTAATACTAGTAATAATGCTAATAATAAGTATCTAATTTAAATAAAAAGCTTGATTGTGATTCAATTATTGTAATTTAGGCAGAAAGTTCATATACATGAATGTCTTTGCCAGGTTGAAACCGGGCAGTGACGTACTAAGGGGAGTGCATCGAACCGGGTGCCACACTATAAGGGGTACTCGGGGGGCCTAATCTCCCAGTGACCAGCAAGAGGGGAAAAATCTGCACTTCATTCACCTCCTATCGGTCACAGAATGTAGCGTGGCCGAGCAGGCAGAGTGCTGCAGAGAAGCCTCTGTTCCACTACCTGGTCTGACAGAATGAGAGCAGAGAACTACTTCTTGTCAGATCTTGTACAGGAAACAAAGGGTCCTCTGCCACGGACTGCGTTCCTCAGGTGAGGCTGAGCAGGTGCAGTAGAGGGGGGCTAAAGAAGGGCACAGAAGGGGAGGGGGCGAAAGAAAGGTGCGGAAAGGGAGGGGAGCAAGAGAAGGGCACATGAGGGGAAGAAGGGGGCAAAAGAAGGGCACAGGAGAAGGGGGCACAAACAGACACACAGATGGGCTGAAGGAACAAAGAGAAACAGAGGGACTGAAAAGGGACAAATAGACAGAGGCCCGCAGAAAGGCTAGGGGGCACAAACAGACACAGAGGCTGGGGGGCACAAAGAGATACAGAGGGGCTGGAGTCACAAAGAGATACAGAGGGGCTGGGGGGGGGGCACAAATAAGCACACAAAAGTGCTGAAGTGGACAAAGACACACAGAGGAGCTTGGGGGACACAGAGGATGGCTGGAGGGGGTCAACGAAGCACATAGAAGCACTAAGGGGGGAAAAAGACACACATACATAACAGAGAGTTAGCATAGTCCATCAAGAGTTACAACATCAAAGCTAATAACTTATTAACCTCTAATCATAAGAGTTCGTAAACAGATCCTTATAGTAGCCATAATTTCTCATGAGGTCAATCACAAAACAAAAAATAGGAAGAAAGGGGAAAAAAAGCACAAAAGGGGAGAAAAAAAGAAGAGGTTGTTTCGACAGTTCTAATTACATATTCTTTCAGGTAAGTTAGAGAAAGAAAAAAATACAAAATAAAATTAAGCATGTTGGGAGAAGACACAATATATAGAAACAAAGAATGTGACGGCAGATAAGAACCATTCGGCCCATCTAGTCTGCCCAATTTTCTAAATACTTTCATTAGTCCCTAGTCTTATCTCATAGTTAGGATAGCCTTATGCCTATCCCACGCATGCTTAAACTCTTTTACTGTGTTAACCTCTACCACTTCAGCTGGAAGGCTATCCCATGCATCCACTACCCTCTCAGTAAAGTAATACTTCCTGATATTATTTTTAAACCTTTGTCCCTCTAATTTAAGACTATGTCCTCTTGTTGTAGTAGTTTTTCTTCTTTTAAATATAGTCTCCTCCTTTACTGTGTTGATTCCCTTTATATATTTAAATGTTTCTATCATATCCCCCCTGTCTCGTCTTTCCTCCAAGCTATACATGTTAAGATCTTTTAACCTTTCCTGGTAAGTTTTATCCCGCAATCCATGAACCAGTTTAGTAGCCCTTCTCTGAACCCTCTCTAAGGTATCAATATCCTTCTGGAGATACAGTCTCCAGTACTGTGTACAATACTCCAAGTGAGGTCTCACCAGTGTTCTGTACAATGGCATGAGCACTTCCCTCTTTCTACTGCTAATACCTCTCCCTATACAACCAAGCATTCTGCTAGCATTTCCTGCTGCTCTATTACATTGTCTGCCTACCTTTAAGTCATCTAAATAAAAATAAAAATAGCTAAATATATTAAATATATATCATATGACCCCCTTGTTTAGATAATCAATTTATCCAAGGTTTCCAGATTTTAAAATATTTTTTCCATATTATCTGCTTCCTAATGTAATTCCTCCATCGATCTTGTATCTTCCACCTACTCTACCCAATTTTCTACTGTCGGTATAGTGATATTTTTTTTCCAAAAAACAGTGATTAATGCGTTAGCTACGTTAAGTAGAAACCAAAGTAGTTTTTTTTGATTTACACCAGTAAAAACTTTAGGCCACCCAAGTGATTGTATAGTTTTTGATAATAATCATCAGCATTGGCCACGCTTGCATTAGGATTTCCCCATAGGAAAGCATTAATCAATGAATTCCTGCTCTGAAAAATCTGACGCTGGAGGTCCTCATGCAGAGAGTGAGGATGTCCAGCATCAGATACCACACCAAAGGTCTATTTAAATTCAGGAAGCACTTTAGTGGCTGTCTGGTAGAGCTGCAATGTAAACATACTGTTGTAGTAACCCATAATTGCATCTGTACCCTGTTTTATTGAGTCAATTTTCTTACTTACAAAGCATTTTGGAGATTTGTTGGAGCATATAAATTAACCAATGTAAAAAAATATATTGTTGATTTCACATGGTAGAATTATATAACACTTTGTCTAAAAATCTGGCATTTTATTGTGACAGACACATCTTTTGAGAACAGCAATGAAACACCTTTTTTTCTTGCCCTCAAGGGCAGGGCTGGATTAACATAAGGCTGATGGAAGTGCAGCTCCAGGCCCAGGTCCATGTAATAGGCCCATAAAAAAAAAAAAAAAATTACTTTTATTTTATTTTTTTTATTTTTTTTACACACTACTCTTAGGTTTGCCACTTGACTGGTATTTTACCGACACAGACAGTATTTGGGGCTGTCTGGCCGTGCCAGTATTGCAGTAATACTGGCAATACAAATGCAGATATTTTTCTCAGTATAAACGGAGATTACTCTGCAATACCAGCACCAGCCAGTAGGGGTCCCTGTGTGTGGGAAGAGGCAGGGATAGGAAGTTACAGCATATCCCTCCCTGCCTCTCTACTCATTAATCCGTGAGGGAGCAGCTACACAGCACAGAGAGTTCAGACAGCAGCTCCCAGCCTGCAGAAACAGTCTACAGCTCAGGAAAGTGAGGGATAAGGGGAAAGGCAGCTAGGAAACATGGGGACACTGAGACAATAGAGGAAACTGGGAGACCTGGGGACACTGAGACACATGGGGATGCTGTGAGATGTAGGGACATTGGGATACGGAGACACTAGGGACACAGTGTCTCCATGTCTCCCAGTGTCCCCATTTCTCCCAGCCAGTGTCCCTAGTGTCTCAGTGTCCCCATGGCTCACAGTGTCCCCTAGTCTCACAGTGTCTGTCACCATGTCTCTCAGTGTCCCTTGCGTCTCAGTGTCCCCATGTCTCCCAGTGTCCCAATGTCTCCCAGTGTCCACATGTCTCTCAGCCAGTGTCCCTAGTGTCTGTGTCCCCATGTTTGCCAGTAGAGGCGGCTCTCTAATTAGGCGATTTAGGCGTCCGCCTAAGGCCTCGCGCAGACTGAGGCTGGCTCTCTCCCCGGGCAGACTGACATGTCGGGTTCTCGGTCTATGACCAAGGACCCAACACAGGAGGGGGCCCAGCGGCTTTCCCTTTATGCTGCCGGGTATAAGGCCCCTCCTGTCAGGCTGCCCGAGGAGAGAGGCAGCCTCAGTCTGCAGCTCTGCCGGATGAGAGCTGCAGACTGAGGTGTCTCGTGATTTCCAGCCAATCAGAGCGTTGCCGCAGGTTACCACGGCAACGCTCTGACTGAAGATCGCGAGATATACACCATGTGGTCTGCAGCTCTGCATACGGCGGAGCTGCAGATCGGAAAACCCACTGGACCACCAGGCAATCTGCCACCACTGGACCACCAGGGAATCTCCCCAAATTTTTTTTTTTAAATGTAATTTCGTCACCCCACTTACACTATATCACCCACTTCTCATTCTGTCACCCCCCTTAACATCCTGTCACCCCCCTCTCACTCTGTCACCCCCACCCCCCTCTCCCCCTGTCACCCCTTCACATCCTGTAACACCCCAACAGTGTCACCTCCTCTCACCCTGTCACCCCTTCACATCCTGTACCCCCAACACTGTCACCCCCTTCACATCCTGTCACCTCCCTCTCACCCCCCACAAAATCACCCCCAACACATCCTGTCACCCCTACACATCCTGTCACCCCCTACACATCCCCCTAACATCCCTCTAACACTGCCACCCCCTTCACACCCTGTCACCGCCCTCTCACCCTCCTCTTACCCTACTAACACTATGAAACCCCCACCTCTCACCCTGTCACCCCCCTCTCACCTCAGGGAAGGCGGAGGCAGAGGGAGCTATAGTGCCAGGTTTACAGCTTTTATTCCTGGCTCTATAGTATCCCTTTAATATTTGAAATTTGGGAAAGATAGGTAGAGAGAGATTACATTGAAATTTAGTGGTGATGGGTAATTTAAAGAAAGAAAAAAAAACATTTTTAACACATTTAAACAAGGTTAACAAATTTAAACCTCTTTAGTTTAGAAAAACGTCGCCTCAGAGGGGATATGATCACATTATACAATGTGGGAGGGAGGGTCTGCTGCTGATTGGCTGGAATGTGTCAGCTGACTGGAGTCCGTGGCGAACCGTTCGTGGCAAACCGTGGCGAACAGTTCGCGAACCGTTCGGCGAACAGTTCGGGACATCACTACCTGTAATAGTTATTTGTTCAGAATAGTGAGAATTGCAGGGAATTTAAAAATAATTTCATATTGAATGCCAAACTGAAAGCACAGCAAATTTCCAGTTCAGCTATTTTGGCCCTAAATTTTAAATAGAATTTCCTACAATTCACACTTTAATACATAACCCCTGCTAGTAATATAGGCTGGGGAAAAAATAACAACTCATAAGTAAAGTGCTAGCAAAAATGTAAGTAAAAGTTCAAGTAATTTTCAATGACTTGTCATTTGAAGGAACTCATGATGTAAATCTCAGCAGAATAATCGAAAATACCACATGACAAATGACAAAAGCATGCAAAACAGAAATTGCTCGCTTTTTACTACAGCTCTGAGCTTTGCTCCAATTTGTTGAGTAAAAAATAAAATAAAATAAAGTCTGTGACAGTGCACCTGATTTTTCAAAGCGAAACTCAACTTCTGCTCATTATATACTTTATAAACATTTGAGCAAGAAATATTGATTTTATTTTTCTAGTAAAAAGCACAACACGGAAACACCAACAAGATGTAAATACCATGTTTTGAGCAGAAGTCACTTACACAAATTTTTGCCCGAAAAGTGATTTATGCTACACATTGTAAATGTGTAAATGTACATATGACGTATGGCTATGACTGCATAGGCAGAAAAAAATGATTTAACTTCTAAATGGAATTGAGCAGTGAGAGTGCAGAGGCCAGATCTATACACCAGACCCACTTCATTAAGGCTAGTTTCTTAAAGCTGTTTTGGTCTTAGAGTGCCCATTTGACAGTTCCAGGATGTTAATCTTAACTTGAAGGGATGCTTATCTGTGCACGTCCATACATTTATGGCATCGTACTTTGCACTGGAATTGAACGTTTAATAATAAAAAACACAGATTTTCTCTTAAACACTGCTAGATTTTTTATTTTTTTTATATACCAGGAGAGGATCTGGGACTTTTTCTTCAATAGACAGTTGACCTTTTGGTACACTCATTTCCATATTATCTATATTATGTCTTAGTCACTACTTCTACTGTAATTAATGTCTAGAAATCATTAATAAGGACAGCAGAACCAAACTGGTCAGTGTTCATCCTCGAATTTACTAAATAAATCCCTCAGATCACAGAAAACAGACTGGATATCATCCCTCTCATTTCGAAGATTTGGCAAACATGAAGGCTGCAATCTGCATCTCGGTAACAGGACTCATACTTCTGGCAGCAAGTGAGTGACTTACCAATAGTAATACATCTTAAACTGTTTTTCAGGGTTGTACATACAATGTGAAGTGCTATATGTGGAAGGGAACCAGAAATGCCAAAAGTTCCACTTTCAGCACTTTTTCCTATAGTTATCTAATTTCAGAGGAGATGTTTAGGGATCAATGATGGTGCCATCTCCTTTAACCCATTAAGGACACATGACATGTGTGACATGTCATGATTCCCTTTTATTCCAGAAGTTTGGTCCTCAAGGGGTTAATATAAGTAGCTCATAACCAACTCGGTAAATATATATGTAGTACATTTACATAGTAGAGGTCAAGTCTTGTTTTTAAAAAAAAAAAGCTAACATTCGGAAGAGAGCCATGTTTTTTTGCCAACTCTATATTTATTCAATGTGTGGAGGAGATAATAAAATTCAACTCTAAAAGATTGGGTAGCATGACAAAGTGTGCTAATTATAGATCTTTCCTTCAGCACTCCTGAGCCAAAGTTTGAGGGGAAGAGGAAGAGAATCCACTCTAAACCAGGGTGCAAATACAACCAAGGTTAAAGGGACTCTCTAAACCACATAATAGTTACAGTTTGGTGCATTGTCTAGGCAAGTTCCTGGGCATTATCCTCTGGTTTTACGTCAAACCATTTTGGAGCAGTTTGACAAAGACTTGGGCAGGACCTAGATACAATCCCATCCTTGACTGTATTAGTGGACTTTATACATCTCTAGAAGCAATGTCAAAAGAGCACTCTAGTTCAAGGAATACAAACATGTGTTCTTAATAGTATAGTGTTCTTCTCACTCGTTAGATTTAGGGCCCCCTTAAATTAGATTTTAAAACTTTTCATGGGTATTGGTGCGGACTGCGAGTGTTGGAAATGTATATGACAGGACATATTTCTTGCTGTATGTGTATCAATTATTGGTATTACCTATGGAACGGTAACCGGCCATTAAATGTACTCTACAAAATTATATGTTATTAGTAGTGATAGTAGTATTTATATTCTTACAGTCTTGGCAAAAAGAAAGTACACCCTCTTTGCATTCAATGGTTTTAGATATCAGGACATAACAGTCATCTGTTCTTTAGCAGGTCTTAAAATTAGGTAAATACAACCTTTAGATGAACAATAGCACATGACGCATTACACTGTCATGATTTATTTAGCAAGAATAAGTCGAGAAGCATTGTGAGAAAAACTCCCTAATTTCCTACCCTCATCAAAACGAATGGATCCACAATGATTTGTCTTGATTCGTTATGGATCCATTTTTGTTGCATTGTTTTTCGTGGTTTCAGAAATTCAGACAAAATATGATTTGTATAAAAAAAAAAAAATTGCACATGTCAATTTTGGAAGTCAATATATGAACTGGCCAAAATGTATAGCAAATACATATGTACATCAACACTTGGGAATGATATCTTCAATGAAAGTGCAATTTTGAGTGAAAAATGCAAAAAAAAAAAAAAAAAAATATGAACACTAACTTTGGCAAGGATTTGTGATTATGTGGCTACAAATAATTACTGGATATACCCCCATTTTAAATACCTGGGTTGTCTATTTTTACATATGGTATACCATGATAGAGGTAATTATCATTCTTGGGCTGCCATATGGTCTGGAAGGCAACATAGGCCCAGCCAGTTCCTCACACACAATCCATGGTGCCCCGGTGCGAAACTGATCCGTGGGCCCCCCCCTTCCTCCCCTCCCTCCCTCGATCTGTGCTCCCCCTATGCCCCTGATGCATACATACACACACACACACACACACACACACAAACATACACACAGACAGACACACATACATACAGAGACACAGGCACACACAGAGACACACACATACATAGACACATACATACGGGGCCCCATGGATTGTGTGTACGCCACTGCATACATAGACACACACACATACAGAGACACAGACACACATACAGAGAGACACACAGACACACAGAGAGACACAGACACACACATACATACACACATACAGAGACACACAGAGACACACAGACACATACATACACAAAATGTTTCCTACCTTGTTACTTTCCCTGGGGTCCAGTGGTGGCTCAGCCTGACTCCTTCCCCCCGCGCGGGTTCTCAGTATGCTGGGAGGAGTGACCGGTGAATCACTTCCTCCCAGCTCTGATGTAATCACAGGGAGCCCGGTCGTGCTCTTAAAGCGCCCAGCGCAGACCGGGCCCCCTCCCAATCCATCTCCATCGGGTGGCCCTGACAGCATGGACCCCTCCATATGCGGCCCCGGCGGTTTGCTGCGCGGGCCAGGGCCGCAAAGTGTGGCAGCAGGCCTGGTACCCAGTCGCAGGGGTCCGCAGAGCAGCCGGGCCCCCTGGAGTGCCGGGCCTGGTCACAGCTGCAACCCCTGCGACTGCAGTATGTATGCCGCTGGGCCCCGGCGGTTTGCCGCGCGGGCCGGGGCTGCAAAATATGGCAGCAGGCCTGGTACCCGGTCGCAGGGGTCCGCAGGGCAGCCGGGCCCCCTTGAGTGCCGGGCCCGGTCACAGTGGCGACCCCTGCGACCGCAGTATGTATGCCGCTGGGCCCAGCAATCCAATCTGGCAAACTGAAATGGGACTTATATGTAATTGTAAGGATCTTACCTTGATAGTGGAGTGAATACGTAGAATTAAAGCACCCTTTGCAATTATACACAGACCAAGGGGACTCAAGGTACAAATCCCCAAGGCTGTGAACCAGTGCACTGGGGCTGGTAATAACCAGTGCTTCCAAGAACGAGGTACAGGCAAGGGATATCCAATAAACGTAGTCAGGGACGGAACTAAAGGTCAGGACAGGCAGCAGACAGGCAAGAACAAAGGACAAGCAGAAGATCAAAACCAGAGTCAGACGAAATAACCAACAGGAACAAACAATCTGCTAAGGCGGGGTTTATATAGGCTGGAATCAGCAGACATCAGGAACAGGTGAGTAGTCCAGGCATACAGGTTCAGGATAGTAGTAATCAGGAACCAACAGAAGTAGCCAAAGATGCGTGGTACCAAGGATAAGGCAACTGGCTGCGAATGCAGGAGACTCGTGTTTGAACCCAGCCTGGACCTCATATGCAATAAATGCGGAAGGCACGATGACAGTCATGGCGGTAATCCTGTAATTTTCAAAAATCCTATAAAACCTGTACATGGGTTATTTTTCAAAATAAATTGAGGTCTAGATTTATGTCTGCCTGATCATAAAAGTGTAAGTGGTACCTAAAACATGGGGACCATGGTATGATCTGATGGGAAAATAATAGTTTTCCTCCTTCCCTCTATATTTTTTGGTCACTTACTTTCTATGTCTGATTACTTACACTATGGAGACCCCCAATACCAGATCTCCTAAATACCTTAATATACATACCAATAAACAACCTCATATCTCTGTCTTTTAAAAACTTGAATTTCACATGACAAATGTAAAATGTCTGAATCACTAATTGTGGCGGGACCGCTGCCTGTCTGGGAATTGTCTGCGTTATCCTATGTGTGTTCCCCTCAGTCTTTTGTGCAATGTATCCACTTCCCGTTTGGGAGGCTTTCCCCGAAGGGAACTCATTCGCTATTTTAAACTTTTAATATTCAGTAATACCCTGGTGAATAAATGAGATAAATTTTGTATTAATAAGTATCCATTTAATCATGCCGGTAGGAACAAAGACAAAATGTCAAATAATATATACTTTTTTTAACTGGATAGCTCATATAGCAGCTTTATCAGCTACTTTTCTAAACTTGAAGGGACTACAAAGAGTTAACCCTGCTCCCATGAAAGCTCTGGGACACAAAGGGTTGACACACTTGCAAGTTGCAACTCAAACTGGATGGCTTGCACTGCAACATTATCGGCTACGCTTCTAAGTTCCAAGGGACCACAAAGAGTTAACTCTGTTCCCATGACAGCTATGGGACACAAAGGGTTAACCTGTTTATAAGTTTCAACTCAATCCTTTAAATATGACTGAGAAAAACCCTTGCAATTCAGAATGGGCAGTCCTTGCTTAGGATTGGCAAGAAAAAAAAGAGTGATCACTATATGCTCTGAGACACACAGAAATCCTTAGGTTAAAGTGTTCCCTAGAGACACTCAAAATTACATTTATTACAAAGAAAAAAAACAAAAGGAACAAAATATGTGTAAATCACCAAAAGTGACAACAAATGGTACAACTTGTGTAGTAATCAGTAGAATCTACCATAGACACCATATGTCTAGGGGAATAAAATAAAAAATATAGTGCAATACAATAAGCACAAGCAAAGGGCTTGGGGGTGGTAGAAAAATCACTAGAAAATAGCAAATTCAGGCGTGTCTTCCTCAATAACGGGGTAATTGCATGGATAATGGGAATCTTCCAGCCATAGAAATCCTGATATAGTATCTTCTTGGATAACTCAAAACATAAAGAGAAAAGAGAGATAGTGCAGACTATATAAAAAATAACAAATTTATTCTTACAAGTTGCACTTACAATATGTCAAAAGACAAAGAGCATGTCTCCGCATCAGAGTTGTATCCAGGTTTCCAACAGGTAGCAGGGAAAAAATCCAGGGCCACAAATACAGATAAAAACAGAAAATAAAAATAGTATGTAAACAAGTTGATGGTTAAAATCCAACGCGTTTTGACCTGTTCTGGACTTCCTCAGGGTTGTATAATCTTGATCTGTCGAGTTCTTCTTATATACCAGCGTTTTCTGATGAACTTACGGCAGCTGGTGGCGTGCGTTCCACTGTGGAGTGCATATAACACTTCCGTGTGTACACGTCACTTCCGGTTGATGTAACTTCCAGTTGACGTGATTACTATACGAGCATGCAGAGATCATGTTATCAATGGAGGGCATCATGGGAAATGGAGTTTCTCAAGAAATACCTCTTATTATACGTAAATGTTACAATGTAGTGCTATTTACAAGGAAGAACATATCAGTCATGGACCAAAAAAGAAAAATAGAGGGAAAATGAAAAAATTAAAAAAATATATATAAAAATATGTACATAAAAAACTATAGATAATGAAAAAAATTAAATTAAAATTAAAATATATTTGAAAAATTAAGGTTACTATATGTAACCAAACATCTATATATGTTTTATTAATATAGTCCATGACTGTCATATTGAGCCTTTTACAAAGATTGAGCAATAAAAATAAAAATAGAACATAAATAAAATAAGTAAGAATGAAATAAAATGAATCATATATAAGACAGGTAATGTGTATAAATAGGAAAGAGATCCTTCTTCAATATGGTTCATATTACTGTAACTTAGAAAATGAATATTAGTTTCACACTAAGTATATAGAAAAACCAAACATTTAAGAAAAAAAAAAAAGAAAACTAAGAAAATAATAGAACTAGATAAGTCCTGCCAAATCTATTTCCTGATTGAGACCATATTTCAAAGTCTTTAAGCTAAATATCCATTAGGCTTCTTTTGTAGTAAGCAAAATCTCAATGTTCCCTCATCTCCAATGTCTTTCTACTTTATCTATTCATGAGGCCAAAAAGATATTCCATTGGAATTGTGGACAAGAAGTACAATGTCTTGGTACACTGTGGTCTAATTTTTTATTTTTAATATTATGGAAATGTTCTGTAAGTCTCACATGTAATTTGCAGATAGTACGGCCAATATCCTGGGCACCACAACCACACAGCAATAAATATATTACGTGGGTTGTGGAGAACTGTATACATTTCTTAACATGATAAGTCTGGTGAGTATATGAACCTGTAAAGGAATTGATAGTTTTCTTTTGAAAGGTGCTTGCTTAGGATTGGCCACATGATGGAACATATGGGTGGGATTTACCCTTTACCACTTGGAGACCACCCCTTTGCTCTTGAAAAAGGAGCATTGCAAGCGCCGAAACGCGCGTCGAGCAGACACTTTGTTTTTAGTGGAGGGAATCTACATAGTTTAATCTCGTATGTAGGATATGTGTGCTAGATATTAGCAGAGATTTGTTAGACACACAGGCAAACTGCCATGAAGCAGTAAGGTTGGAGGTGAAACAGTGAAATTACAGCATAGTGCTTATCGGGTCATTAGTCATCCAATGAGACTAATAGCAGAACTTGTTCAACCACTATATAATAAATTCAAGCAACTATCGAAATAGATACCATTAAGGTTCCATAATGGTGGCGTTCTTTTTTTAGTTTGCAACCCTTATCAAAACGAATGTATCCAAAATTATCGGTTTTGATTTGTTATGGATCCATTCTTTGTTGTTTTGTTTTTCGTTGATTCAGAAATTCTGATGAAATATGACTGAACAAAGTGCGCATGTCAATTTTGTAGGCCAGTATACAAAACGGCCAAAAGGTACATCAAATACATATTTACATCAACACTTAGAATTAAATTAAAAATATTATTAAAAATTATTATTAAAATAAAAACGGCATAGTCCCCTGGGAATCAATGCAGACTGTATGTCACTATCTGGATGAAATTTTAATTTTAATTAAAGAATTCCTTAATAATACAAACAACCGAGATTCACTATAAATTGGATGCCAGTAGCCTTCAATAACCTATGCTTGAAACAACCTGTGTATATTTCTAACTTTCATACCATGGCTCTATTACTTCTAAAACTAGTAACTTTGTAATTAAGTTGTTATAGAAACTTTTTTTAAACCATATCTAAATATCCTTAAACTAACTCTAAATCACTGTCTAATCTATTTAGACCTGAGAGTCTAATCCAAATATTGAGGTCTCTGTTTGTCTAATATCAAAATATCCAAGATTAATGTTCTCTCCATTTAATCACTGTGATAAAGTGAAGGCAGATAGGCCTTTTAACCCCAGGGGGAGTATGTGTAGTTTGTGTGTTGCACAACACAACGCATTGTTTAGTTATGGGCCCCTGGGGTGGAGCATTTGGAGAGAAGGGTGGGCCAATGCTCCACTCCACAGTTTAGTGGTGTTCTGGGGAGACCTAGATCCAGGCCAGGGTTTTTGGACTGTCTCCAACCCACTGCTCAGCTGCAGGTAATCAGCTGTTGCAGTGGGAATAAACTCCTCCCGGCTAGGCAGGAAAAAAGGAGAGGGATTGCTGGCTTCCTCCCAGGAAGCAGGTAGGAGAGAGAGGCTGTTCTCTCCAGATAGTCAAGGTGACTAGGCACTTGGAGTGCAGAAAGGAAGCAGTCAGGGCAAGACTGGCTTGGAGCACTGGGAGTGCAGAAAGGAAGCTGTCAGGGCAAGGCTGGCTTGGAGCACTGGGAGTGCAGAAAGCAAAGCAGAGTGGGCAAGGCTGGCTTGGAGCACTGGGAGTGCAGAAAGGAATGCAACAGGCTAGGCAGCAGAGTGTTGCTAACTAATAAGGTTGGTGCAATATTGTGTTTAGTTTAACCCTGAGAGATAGGGAACTAATGTCAGTTAGTGCTCAGACGAGCTAGGTGTTTGTTTATAGGGTTTTCTGCTACTTTTGTTTTTCATTTACTGCCGTATCCTGTGTGGATTTACAAATAAAGTGCCTGAGTATATGCAATTACAAGGACTGTGCATGTTTTTACCCTAGAGGGCCGTGCTACCTGGTGACAAGGATCACATCACTTAAATTCATAGTGTTTTCACTATTGAATCACAGTGTGTCCTTTTAGTGTTTGTGTATGATTTAGTGTTATGCAAGTAAGTTTTTATGTTTATTAATAATGTCTAATGAACAATCATCTAATTTACGGTGGGAACGTTTTAAGATATGGTCCCCCTTGTTGGTGAGATCATCTCCTATTTCTTTGCATGATAAACTTGTTCTGGTTCATGCCCTGTGTTATTCACCTAGCCAATTCTTGTATCAGTGACTCAACTTGTTTTATGCTTAGCGCAGTGGCGTACACATGACCCATGGGGCCCCAGTGCGAAATTGATCCGTGGGCCCCCCCCTCCCCCCGCGCAGGCCGGGCCGCAACACATGGCGGTGGGCACCTGATCGCAGGGGTTACAGGGCTGCGACCCCTGCGACCGCGGTATGTACGCCAGTGCATGCAGATGCACACACACTTAAAGGACCACTCTAGGCACCCAGACCACTTCAGCTTAATGAAGTGGTCTGGATGCCAGGTCGAGCTAGGGTTAACACATTTTTTCATAAACATAGCAGTTTCAGAGAAACTGCTGTGTTTATGAATGGGTTAAGCCTTCCCCTATTTCCTCTAGTGGCTGTCCCATTGACAGCCGCTAGAGGCGCTTGCGTGCTTCTCACTGTGGTTTTCACAGTGAGAGCATGCCAGCGTCCATAGGAAAGCATTATGAATGCTTTCCTATGTGACCGGCTGAATGCGTGCACAGCTCTTGCCGCGCGTGCGCATACAGCCGACGGGGAGGAGAAGAGGAGGATCGGAGGAGGAGAGCTCTCCGCCCAGCACTGGAAAAAGGTAAGTTTTACCCCTTTCCAGAGCTGGGCGGGAGGGGGCCCCTGAGGGTGGGGGCACCCTCAAGGCACTATAGTGCCAGGAAAACAAGTATGTTTTCCTGGCACTATAGTGGTCCTTTAAAGGACCACTACAGGCACCCAGATCACATCAGCTCAATGAAGTTGTCTGGGTGTCAGGTCCCTCTAGTTTTAACCCTGCAGCTGAAAACATAGCAGTTTCAGAGAAACTGCTATGTTTCACTGAGGGTTAATCCTGGCTCTAGTGGCTGTCTCATGGTTATGTTGGTGGTCTTAGTTGTATGTTGGGAGGCGTCTTCAGCAGTTGTGAAAGTATCCTTTTTCAGTGCACCACAGTGTAGCAGACTCTAGTGCTCTCTGCATTATTAAATTAAAATAAATGGATAGAAAGGAGATAAAATAAAAGCATATAGTGCTATCTGTATTATTAAAATAATAACAGCACTTCCCTTTTTATTCACGATACCCCCAGAAGGAAAAGACTCTGGTTTGGGTAGTTCAAGCTGCCACAAACCAGTTGCATAACAAAAAAGCGCCAGAAATCCTATTCATTTATCTATATAAACATTACCATATCTACTAAATGACAAATGTTTGACATTGCAGATTTAAAACTAAGGACCACTACACCCAGGACCACTAAAAAGGAATGAAAACAATTTGGGTCAAGATACATAATATCCACATTATGTGATAACTGGCGGCTCATGCTGTTTAAAACTCCTTGGTGGAGATAGGGTTAAGGATTGTGTTGCCTGGTCAGCTCCTTCTAGTTAGTTGCCACATTAAAAAGGCATTAAGTGATAAATGAGTGTAAAAGCTGCAGGTGTGGGCATATTCACTAAATGGTTGAGCAAAGAGTAAATGTCCTAACTGACAGACTGTCAGGGGAAGATTATAGGAGACAGGTTTACTTTACTTTCAAAATGACACCATTCTTTTCTATTTTTTTTAGTGTTGTGTCAAAATGGAGGTGCATTCGATGGAACCAAATGTATATGTACAAAATGTTTTTTTGGAAGTTTTTTGTCAGTTTAAGGAAGCCATAATTGAAGTTGGTAAGTATTAAATATTGTGAAAAAGTTTCAGCTGTTAATGAGTTCATAAACATAGATAAATGAAAGATTTAGTTTGCAGACCTTCCAACAGCCTTGCTATCAGAGTCCTGTCCCATCCTCCTCATCTGAGGACATCAAAGAACTGTCCCCAGGCTATACACCGCAAGCGCATCATTAGACATACTTGGGTTGTGCAGCGTGCACTAAGACCATGCAGGGAGTGACTAACTAGGGTGAAAGCTACATAGGAAAGGGAAAACAGCTATGAGATAGAGAGATAGGGAAAATTACACAAGGATTGATGTGCTATATTATTTGTGTTAAAATAGAAGATAAATCATAAGAGAATTCAATGTAGAACATGACATTTGGTATGAGAGCAGTTAAATCATTTTTGGAAGCAGAGAGCAAGTCACATGGGCATAGAATGTGACAGAGAAGGCAGGAGACAATGTAAAAAGAAGACCCAACACATTGAAAGAGAGGGGACCAGTAGTATATTAACAGTGTATATTAGGAAGAGAATGGACCAGGGACATTGGGAGAGAGAGGTCCAGAGGCATAGGGGACAATGCATCATGTTACCAGATGGAATAAACCTCAGAAATCACTTATAACCTCACACAGAGGTTTAACTTGAAACCACTGGGCCCTGGTGTGGAAATTTACCTGGGACTCCCCGCCCCCATGTGTTTAATTCCCTTCCCCCAGCCCCTCCATGTATCTTATTCTTTCTCTCACCCCCAAGCTCCTCCATTTGCCTCATTCCCTCTCCACCCCCTATCCCCTCCATTTGCCTCATTCCCCCTCCCCCAACAGCCACTCGATTTGTCTCATTTCCTTACTCCCCTCCCCACCCCCCAGCCATTTCATTCTTTTTCCCCTGATAAAAACTGATATTTTGACTAGTGGAAAAGTATCCTGTCAGTCAATACCCAGTAACACGGCATTTGACAGAAATCCCAGCCTTCACACACTTCTTGTAACAAACTAGCAATCTTTCTATTCTTACATTAGGAATATTTATCTTTTGTTCCTTGTAGAATACTTCTAGTTCCTTCTATATTCTTAGGCTTTCTCTCGTATCGTATGTTTGAGATCAACCCAGAAATTGACAATAATTTTTTCCTTTATGTTGCTAACACTCAAATTGCAACCGTACACCAAGAAAAAGATTTTCCTTGAATTTGTACACCAGGAGCTGTTATTCAATTAACTGGATGTACTGAATTCAGCTTCAAATGTCAAAACTGGCAAAATAGCCAAGATGAGTTGGAGCATTTTTCAAGACCTGCATTTTCTTTATCACAATTTTGCTGTTTTGATTTTAGTTTGCTACAAATAAAATGTGTCTAATAGCCCTGACAATTGATATACTTGAGATAAGGAAACAATTTTCAAACAATTTACTAAGTTCATCTTTGTGAAAAAGTAAAAAAAATTAAAAAAAATAACCAGGATTGTGAAATCCTATGATAAATGTCATCGCCAATATTAAACGTTCAAATTCAGCTGAGCCTTATAAACCATTTAACTCTACCTTTCTCTTACCTAGGTAAGGCTAATCTCATCGTCAAGGTGCAGATGTCAGTGCTTAACAGAGAATTTGTAAAAGAGTTGAATGATCATACATCTGAAGAATACAAGAAGTTCGAAACAGAATTTAAATTGCAGGTGATATTATTTAGCATCAAATGTAAAGTAATTCAAATACAATACATACCATGCTACCTGCTATTTTAACATGCAGATCATCTTTGAAACCATGTCTTGTTCAGAGTGAAATCATAATGTGTTTTAAAAACATTCACAATGTGACATAATATTGTCCTTTCCTTGATTCCTAAATCACAAGGCATCGCATGGACATTACATGTCCCAGAATGAAATTGATTGATGATTCACATTCCTGATTATCTGACAACCACCAGAAGTATTCCGAATGGCAAATGTTTCTCACAAACTACAGAGTTTACATTTGTCCCTTTAAGGATGATGAACAGCTATATTTACTAAGAATAACTTTTTTTTTTTTTTTTTTAATCTTTAGGTTTTATTGTAATGAGTTTGACAAGAGAGTAGGGCTCGCAGGCCTTCGTGAGATACATTAGTAAAGGTCTAATACAGATACATTTTGAAACATTTTGAATGCTGACGATTAAACTTTGAAACAGTGCTTGAATACATTGGTATTTCACATAAAGATTACAGCAGCAATGTATAGAGTCCTGCCACAAGGATGTATTTATTCATTCGAATTGTGTCCTGCTTAGAGACGTGCATTGTAAGTTTTTCGTGATAGACTTTGTGTATGTCAACATCCAGTTATGGGGTTAATATATCCTGTAGTAGGAAGGTTTGTGAGTGTTAAGACACTCCCAGCTTAAATGGATGAAACCGCCGTTTAGCTGATGTTCCCCCTTTTCAGAGACACAGACTCTATACAGTAGACCGCCAAACTCCTGAACGGAAGGCAAAGGAATGCAGTAAATCCACAAACACACAAATCAGCCGAATCACTTCTTCGGCTAAAACAGGCGAAAGAAATCCTTCCAAGTAGCAATCCCCCCAAATAGGAGACCAAGCTCCGACTTGAGGGTAAAACAGGTATCTGTTTATTGAGGGCTGCCTGCCCGGTATTAATGCAAGTCTCCCACCTGGTGGACACTCCCCTAGTGGACCAGATGGAAGACTGGGACAAGTAGGATACATTAGCCAATCACAGTGGCTCAGGTTTAAACACTCCCCTTTATACAGTAAATCCCTCCTCTCTATCCTGGAGATAATTGGGAAGAAATCCAATTATCTCCAAGGATAGAGGTAAATCGCCATTTTAAATGAAACATTAAAAATGCATAAAAATAGGTAACTGTACAAATACCGAACACATTATATTTGTGCAACGTATCCTCAGATAGCCTGGATCTGAGTGCATATTGCTAGCGAATAGCGCTCAGATCCCATACACACAGTTCAACTGCCATGGAGTCAAAGTCTGTTACAGGTCTTTCGGTGTGCGATTGACTCCATGGGATGGCTATCTGGGTTAAGTCCATTTGTATTATCCAATCTCCTGAACGGACCGGTGTTTGCATGCCTCAACGAATGAGAAGGGCGGTCGGTAGTTTCAGCGGTGTTCGGTAGAAAAAGTGTCCGTTTATAGTTCCATAAAATCTGTGCCGAACACCGCTGGTCTTTCGCGTGTTTTAAAATGGCCGCCGCTTCATGGTCGGCATATGAACAACGACCACCCTGCATTCGGTTATAATGAAGAGGTGGCTGAGGTTAACCACAACGTTTTAATTGGGGCCAAGAGGTTAACCAGCAGCACACTTCTCTTCTGGGTGGCCGTCCGTTCAGTAGTTTTATTCGGTATAAGTCCAAAATAACGAATAAGGGCATACGGACAGGCAATTCCGCGAAGGGAGGCAAAATAGACGAACCAGCAATACCTTTAGACAAAATCTTCTTTCTTCCAGTCTATGTAAAGTCCAGTTTGTGAATAGATTTCTACACAATGGTTTGTATTGGCCCTGAATATATTTGTATAATGTTATCATATCCCCTCTCAGGCGACGTTTTTCCAAACTAAATAGGTTTAAATTTGTTAACCTTTCTTCATAGCTGATATGTTCCATTCCTTTTATTAATTTTGTAGCCCGCCTCTGCACTTTTTCTAGTGCCATAATATCCTTTTTTAGAACCGGTGTCCAAAATTGCACAGCATATTCAATATGTGGTCTTACCAGTGATTTATAAAGAGGCAAAATTATATTCTCTTGACAATACCTTACTGGCCTTGGCCACTGCTGATTGACATTGCACATTGTTGCATAGTTTGTTGTCTATAACAATTCCCAAGTCCTTTTCGTGTGTTGTTATCCCTAATTCGCTTCCATTAAGGGTATACGTTGCTTGTGTATTCTTTACGCCGAAGTGCATAACTTTGCCTTTTTCGACATTAAATTTCATCTGCCATTTGAGTGCCCAGTCCCCCAGTCTATATTAATCCCTCTGCAGCAAAGTAATATCTTGCTCACATTGTATTACTTTACAGAGATTTGTGTCACCTGCAAACACTGAAACATGACTTTCAATGCTGTCTTCAAGATCATTTATAAACATGTTAAATAGAAGGGGTCCCAGAACAGACCCCTGAGGGTCACCACTTGCCACCTCTGTCCAGCTTGAAAATTTACCATTAATGACAACTCTTTGTACTCTGTTTTTAAGCTAATGTTCTACCCAAGAACAAGCATTTTCATCTAGACCGATTTCCTTGAGTTTGAACACTAATCTATTGTGTGGAACTGTATCAAATGCCTTGGCAAAATCCAAATAGATCACATCCACAGTAACATCCTGATCTATACTTCTACTTACTTCTTTGTAGAACGCAATCAAGTTAGTTTGACATGACATGTGCTTCATAAAACCGTGCTGATTTTTGCTGATAACCATGTTCTTCTCAAGGAATTCTTAAATATTATCCCTTAATAACATTTCAAATATTTTCCCAGTCACAGAAGTTAAGCTCACAGGTCTAAAAATTCCAGGCAAGGATTTTGAACCCTTTTTGAATATAGGAACCACATCTGCCTTCCTCCATTCCTCCGGAACACTTCCTGAAAGAAACGAATCTTGAAAGATTAAAAACAGAGGTTCACTTATTTCTACACTTAGTTCCTTAAGTACTCATGGATGGATACTGTCAGGCCCTGGAGCTTTGTTTATATTAACTTTCTTTAGTTGCTGCAGCACCTTGTCTTGAGTTAACTAATTAGAATTATTATGCAAGTTTTTAGTAGCAATCATTTGCACATCTATTGCCATGGGTTCTTCCTTAATATATACGGAGGAGAAATAGTTATTTAAAATTTCTGCCTTTTCCTGGTCTTCATTAACTAACACCCCCATTTCAGTTTTTAGTGTACCTACACTTTCATTTTGTTATTTTAGAATTTCTGTACTTAAAAAATGGTTTGAGGTTGGTTTTGCTCTCTTTAGCTATCATTTTTTCATTTTGAAGTTTAGCAAATCTAATTGCCTTTTTGCACGCATTATTTGCTTCCTTATATCTTTTATAAGATGCATCTGATTTGTCTGATTTAAATGCTTTAAATGCCCTTTTCTTATTTTTAATCTCTTGTTTTACTTCTCTACTAAGCCACATTGGTTTTAATTTGTTTCTTTTATATTTATTTCCCAATGGTACATACTGAGAAATGTACCTTTCTAATATTTGTTGGAAGATGATCCATTTATCCTCAGTGTTCTTTTCACTAAAGAGTTTATGCCAGTCAATATATTGTAAAGCTGACCTTAACTTATTGAAATTGGCCTTTTTAAAATTATATATTTTAGTGTACCCCATGTGCTTTTTTTTTTTTGAGTTTATTTCAAAGGACGCTATATTGTGATCACTATTTCCCAAGTGCTCACCTACTTGAATGTTCATCAAAAGATCAACGTTGTTTGTTAAAACCAGGTCCAGACAAGCGTCTATTCTAGTTGGTGCTTGTACAAGTTGTGACATGAAGGTGTCATTTAACAAGTTTAAAAACCTAATTCCCTTTGCTGAGCTACTAGTTCCTCTGTCCCAATTTATGTCCGGGTAATTAAAATCTCCAATAATTAAAGTGTTACCCAGATTTAGAGCTTTCTCAATTTGCTCAAACAGCTGTTGTTCCTCGTCAATATTAACATTAGGTGGTTTATAACATATCCCAACCAATAGTTGGTTTCACTTCTTTTCCCCCAAGCAGATATTTACCCATAAAGCTTCCACATTTTCCTCATCGCATTCCACTTGCTTAAGATTTGGCTTTAAATCATGGTTGACATACAAACATACCTCACCACCCTTCTTGTTTTTCCTATCCTTCTTAAATAACATGTACCCATTAAGGTTAATTGCCCAGTCATGTGTCTCATCCCACCATGTTTCAGTTATGCCTATTATATCATATTGTTTAGTGTATGCTACTGCCTCTAGTTCACCCATTTTGTTATTTAGGCTCCTTGCATTAGTAAGCATACATTTAATATCATGAGTCACTTGTACTTTTTGTGAATTATCAACATTACATAGCTTCTCTGTACTGAGCTTGCCCCTCCCCCTGTCTCCACCCCCCTTATACGGTGCTAAAGCACATCTCCTTTCTGTCCTATCTCCATTTTGTAGATTGCTATGACCCTCCCCCTACTAATTTCTAAATAAATTACATGCAAAGTTACAAACAATTCCACTAGAATTTAATTAACAGTTATAACCAACATAGATGCATTTCTAACAATGTTATAGGAAACCATAAGCTTCATAATTCCTTTACACAGAACTTAACAAAGTGCTTTGCAGTTTAAAGCCATAAAAATCTTAGATGCTCTCTGTTTGAATCCCACTTAGTGATTAGCACTTAATTAACTCATTCACTGCAGAGGGTTAGTGTGTGTCCAGAGTGGGGTTGTTAGTCTGGTCTCTCTCATGATCTTTTATCAAACCTTCTAAATCTGACCATCTCGCAATCTTTTTGCCTTTTTTATTTTTACCGTTTGTCCCCATTTTTTAAAGAAAATATTATCTTATGTCACTAATTTAAAGTGACCAATCTGATTATGTGGGTGCACCTTCTTCTACTGGTTTTCTTATAGACTTAAATCAATTAATGGCATTATAGCATCACAATAATTTCTCATTATGAATTCCAACTACCACTTTGTATAAGGGGTTAATTGAATTTTCTGATGCATTTGACGTCACTAATGTCTTATCTTTATGACATATCAATCAGGCTAACTTTCAAACTTCAAGGGATTCTAATCCTTTTTGTATATTTTTTACGCATTTGGACTTTGGTTCAGCTTTTTCTTACAATGGTTTCTTGTAGAAAATCCCATTAAACTAAAAAATATATATTATTAATTACTTTGTTTTTTTCTGGTAATCCTGTGTCTGGTTTTCTCAGTTACACTGTCTTAGTGTGTGGGCTATGTGTCAGTTAGTAATATGTAGTCATTCACAAACAGAGGATACTGCATGCACTCACATTTAGGAATCCATGTGCATATCAGGGCCAGTTTAGTAGATAAAATAAATTAGGTCCAGGCACTCAGGATTGCTGCAGAAAGGCTGGTTTATTGGAACAAACAGTGCAAAGTTTCGGTCTACACAGAGGCCTTTCTCAAGCTTGATAAAGGCCTCTGTGTAGGCTGGATCATTACACTTTTTGTTCCAATAAACCTGCCTTTCTGAAGCAATCCTGTGTTCCTGGACCTTATTTTATTAGTCATATGTGACACATGTGATATATACATGTCTTTTACACACATTCAGCTAATATTAGTTTAACAATATTGAATTTTATTCATTACGATTCTGTGAATATTCACTAACATTCACTATCATTAAAATAGGTACTATTTGTACATGATTAAACATAATTATAGTTAATATATATATATATATATATATATATAATGACAAAATGTACCGGCACTCCAAGGATTTTCAAAATATCATCTTCTTTATTCCGAGAAATACATCATCAAAGTTTCAGCTCCCCTAAGGAGCTTTCATCAGGACACATCGGTCCTGATATTTTGAAAATCCTTGGAGTGCCGGTACATTTTGTCATTTTATATTATTGAGCAACCAGAGCACCGGGTCATTCTTTAATTACTGTTAGGTTGGAGTGCAGGAGTTTACTACATTTATATATATATATATATATATATATATGCATATATATATATATATATATAGACATAGCAGAAATGACCGCACTCCAAGGACTTTATAGAGATTTTCAAATAAAATTTAGCTTTTATTCAATCCATTTAAAAAGTCAACGTTTCAGCTCCCACATGGAGCTTTCATCAGGACAAAAAAAACGATGTTTTTTTTGTCCTGATGAAAGCTCCATGTGGGAGCTGAAACGTTGACTTTTTAAATGGTTTGAATAAAAGCTAAATTTTATTTGAAAATCTCTATAAAGTCCTTGGAGTGCGGTCATTTCTGCTATGTCTACATGATCCTTGCCAGACCAGCACCGGGCACCACAGGATTACACCAGGAGTGCAAGCCCTCGCTATTTATATATATATATATATATATATATATATATGAAACATATGTGTCTGGGTTGGGCTCTTAACCTCCCTTTGTTACAAACACATAGGTTTCTTATAAGAAGAAACCTTATCTTTGGTCAGTGTTTACACTAGCCTACATTCCACAGTTTGGTCATGCAATGCATGGAGTTTGAAAAAAAACAAAGGTGTGTCTATCTTTGTATTCTGTTACAAAATGGAGTCACATCTGCCAAGTAGTGACTATACAGTATTCATTTTTAATTTTAATCTTATCACAAAATGTCTGACAGTAAAATACCTGACATTACCTAGATTTCAGTAAGGCTGAATCTTTGAGTTTGGATTTCACTATTGTTGAATGGGTTAGGCAGTGGCTGAGTGGCAGGCAACAGCGGGTTGTAGTCAATGCATTATATTCAAAGCAAGGTCTAGTTACCAGTGGGATATCTCAGGGATCTGTACTTGGACCCATTCTCTTCAATATTTTTATTAGTGATATTGCAGAAGGTCTTAATGGTAATGTATGTCTGCTTTTTGTTGACAATACAAAGATTTGGAATAGGGTTGATGTTCCAGGAGGGATTAACCAAACGGCAAATGATTTAGGTAAACTAGAAAACTGGTCAGAGCTGTGGCAACTGACATTTAATGTGGATAGGTGCACGTTAATGCATCTTGCACTTATCCACATTAAAAACCCAAGAAAAGAATATAGAATATTTGATTCTGCCCTAACCTCAACATCTGAGGAAATGGATTTAGGGGTAATTATTTCAGAAGACTTAAAGGTAGGTAGACAATGTAATAGAGCAGCAGGAAATGCTAGCAGAATGCTTGGTTGTATAGGGAGAGATATTAGCAGTAGAAAGAGGGAAGTGCTCATGCCATTGTACAGAACACTGGTGAGACCTCACTTGGAGTATTATACACAGTACTGGAGACCGTATCTTCAGAAGGATATAGATACCTTAGAGATAGTTCAGAAAAGGGCTAAACTGGCTTATGGATTGTGGGATAAAACTTACCAGGAAAGGTTAAAGGATCTTAACATGTATAGCTTGGAGGAAAGACGAGACAGGGGGGATATGATAGAAACATTTAAATACATAAAGGGAATCAACACAGTAAAGCAGGAGACTATATTTAAAAGAAGAAAAACTACCACAACAAGAGGACATAGTCTTTAAATAGGTTTAAAAAGAATATCAGGAAGTATTACTTTACTGAGAGGGTAGTGGGTGCATGGAATCACCTTCCAGTGGTAAAGGTTTACACAGAGAGGGAGTTTAAGTATGCATGGTATAGGCATAAGGCTATCCTAGATATAAGATAAGGCCAGGGACTAATACTATATTATAAGTAATTTAGAAATACAAGAAGTATTTAGAAAATTGGGCAGAATAGATGTGCTGGATGGTTATATATAATAATTGATTTTCTCACTCCTCCTGGGTGGTATGTTTATTCCTCATTCTCGGGTCCTCTACCAGAGGCCTGGGAGTTTGAGGGTTCTTTGCAGTATCTGAGCTGTTCCTAGAACTGCACTCTTCTGGACAGCGATCTCACATTTCCCACTTGAAATCTGTTGAAGCCAATCCCCCAATTCCTGGACACAGAGAGAGAACCTAGACCTGCTTGAATATATATATTACAATTCTCAGATTTTTCCTGATACATTTATAGTAGTTCTTGACCATGCATAATTTTTTCTTCTTGTTTAACAGATGAATGAAATCTACAATAAAATACCTGGATATAAAGATGTGGTTATAGCATCTCTCAGGTTAGTACATTTGTGTCATTCTGAATTAAACTTGGCACTTGCCAGGTGATAATGTTAAATTTAATTTTTAAAATATGCATTTAAAAACACACATTTAATAGACTATGGTTTTTTTTCATCATTAATATTCCTTTGACCCACTTTGAGAAAAAAAAGACAACAATCAATTCTAACATTAAATTCTTAAATATGTTTATACCTATCAGAGTTATTCACTAAACACAAATGGACAAAATATGCTGAAGATGGCCAAATTCATACCATAATGGCATTCTCATATTTAATAAAGTGAAATATGATTGTGTGATGACGTCATCGCTTATTATGTGATTGCTGCATTTTCATGGTAATGGTAACCAGGAAATACAGTAAACAGTACAGGGAGCATGAGGGAACCCTGAAAATTAGCAGAATCACCAGCCATACACTGTAAGCCAAGAAACATATGAGTACAGAAAAGCACATAATATACTAATGCCAAGGGGTTTGGAAATTAAAAATTGTTTTATACTTTCTGATACTTTCTTTTCTTGGTGATAAGACATGGTAGCCTTAGGGGTTACCTCCTCCCATCAATCCGATTGGACAGAAAATATACTTCTCTGGATATATGTAGCCCCTTCTGACATTAAAACTCCAGTTTGTAGCCACAAACAAAGGAAGGCATCAGAGTGCTAACATGGCCCATTACCGGGATAATAAAATAAAGGAAAGCATGAACATTTTTCGATTTTCCCGATCATGGTCATGGCAGCACTACCCCAGGGCAATACCCAAGGAAGAAATCTTGGGTAATATACAGACTGGATCAAAAAGATCACTGCTGAGAATTTAATATTGCAAAACATAACTTAAATAATTCAAGAATCTCTTAAGGACCAGACATTCAACTTAGACTGTAGGATAGAGGTATTCTGCGATGCCCAAGTAGCAGCCTCACAGATCTGGTCAGATGAAACTTATGCAACAGCTGCCCCGGAAGTAGACATGACTCTAGAGGAGTGAGCCTTTATACCTCTAGGAACAGGAAAATGAGATGATTCATCTGGTCATAGTTTTGGTTGAAGCTCTCTCACCTTTGTCGTGTCCACCTGGTGAAATGAAAATCCTGGAATATATCTTTCATTGTCTGTTTCTGTCAATCTAAGTAGACAGACACCTCACAATGTTCAAATTGTGGAGCATACACTCTTCCTCAGATGTAGAAGAAGTTAAGAAGACTGGCAAAACATTTCCATGATTAAGGTGAAAAAAGGATATCGCCTAAAGTCTGGCACACTTCTCAGTACCACTATATTGTGTTGAAAGGAGGTATAAGCACCTTCTGAAGATAGTGCTCCTAATTTTAAAACCCTTCTCCCAGAGATAAGGGCAACCAACAGAATCATCTTAAGAATAAGGAGCATAAGAAGAATCTCTACCATGTGTTCAAAAGGAGAAGTTTGTAAAGTGGATACCAAACTGCCAATCGGTACAGGATCTGCCATGTGGGTGAAATTGATACAGGAATGACATGAGTTAAGATAGGCAGGGCCAGATTAATTGCCACTTGGACCTGGTGTTGACGATTATAATGGGCCAATTTAAAGAACCTTCTTGACAGAAAACACTAAAACAATAATACTTCCCAAGTGTTATGTATCTGGCAGAGTTGGTGCTGGAGGGAAACTCACAAGACATAGCTATCCAAAAATACATACCATATGCTAACTTCTCAGTTCCATCTTTCAAGTAAATCCATACTCCCTAACAGCAGCATTCGGTGAAGCAGGATGTCGGTGGGCGGGATAAAAGAGTGGGCCAGAACCATCTAAGGAGGAACTTGTTCACCACTTACTAAGGACTGTCCCCTAGCACTCACTTGTCAATTCCTCTCCTTACCTTCTTACTAACAGACAGAAGCTCCTGCTATACAATCTGGGACAGTGAAAAGGTGGACATAGTGAGTGAGTGAGTGTAGAAGAAAATAAGAAAACGAACATGCCACAGTTTTAGAGAGACTGAAGCAGCAAGAGAAATTGCATAGTGCGTAAAATCAGCTTTACCTTAACTAATTTAATTGTTAGCCAGTCCACACCAGTTTTGTTTCCCTATATCCTTCTTAAGTTTGCATACTTACTATACTTAAGCAAGAGCATGTGAAGAGTAGTATAAAAACATATGGAACATATGGCTTAAATACAGTTATTGTTCTTTAAAGTTAGTCATAACCAGCTTGGCACATAAGGGTGCCATATTGGCACCCATCGTAATGCCTTTCATTTGTTCGTAAAAGATCACCAAATAGCGAAAATTATTTTTATGTGGTATAATAGTGTAGTTACAAAATGTCCTAATGGAACATCCTGTGTTACCTTGAGCAATTTGGTATTGATGAATGAAGTCCCCTCGTTGTGGGGTATATAAATTAGAAACATTCAGTGTTACAAGATCCCACTATATTTGCATGGAAAAGAGATAACATTATCTGAAGTAAAGTGGTAAGAGCAGACACAGATACACATAAAAAACAGTTATTCCCAAGCAAACCATTAAAAAGGACATACCACTGTCTGCAGTATTCTGGTCAGTGACGTTTGGTCTAGCTGAAATCAGGACCTAATTCGGGTTAGTTTGGAACCTGATTTGCAAAATCCAGATACTGTTGTGTCCGAATGGCCACGTATGCTGCAGATAGTTTTGCCCAGTTTGGTACATGTGCCATTCAGACTTTACTGAATATCCCTGTATGTTATGCAATCAACTGAGGCCTTGTTTCCAATGCTATCAATAACTGTTATCAACAGGCCACTACTAGCTGAAATGGCAATCACTAACATTAACTTGCAGCTGCTGTTTCCTAACTGCAAGTTTGCCTGTTAATATATTTTAATATGTCTTTCAGTGCCTCATTGGACAGCGCCACTTTACGCTGCTTTCCAGTGGAGTGCTGAAAGGGTTAAACAAATTGTCCATTTTTAATTGCTATAGTATTTTTTTGTTGTATGCATCTTTTTCAGTTTTCAAAGCAGTAAATGCTAGGTGGTGAGCAGTATCAGTTACAGTAGACATTAGTAAGAAGATGTTACTAATTTTTAACAATCATTTGCATTTGCAAGAAAACACACATTACATTAAAAATATTGTTTGGGAGGTTTATTTATAAAAATGCATTCTTGGATTTTGCATATATTTACTGACCAGACGTAAAGTTTACAACATTTCTTCATTCAAATTATTAATTTAATTTTTTTCACCTAGAAGATGTGGGAAATAAATGACGATACTTTTTGATTTTATTCAGAACCAAAAAAGGAGTAGATTGATGGAGGCAAAAAAAAAAAACGGGACAAGTTTGGATTTAAACTGCTAAATAAACAGAAACAAAAAACTAAAACCGATAAAATGTTTCTCAATATTTAGCACTTTGCCATAAAATAGCACCTTTTTTGTATTGATAAATCTCTCCCAGAATGAGCTAAAACAGTACCAAAATGAGAGAGGTCACTTTACACTTTGTACTACCATTTGTGTTCCACTTATGCAAAAATTAAAACCAAAAAACCACACTTTCGTCAAATGCACATCAATTAAGCAACTGAACATGTTATGTACACACGTTCCACATATGAGAAAATAAGGGTTTGGCTGCACTTACCTACACATGCTAAATTAGGGTGCTGCTGGGGGCCAATAAGTACAGTAAAAATGAAAATCCAGCGCACTCGCTTATCTACTAAACAGTCATTTTAGTGCTGAACAATTTTCAGTTTTATTAAAAACACCTAATCTAGGCAAAAAATATAATGGGGGTTTAGTTACAGTATATGATCATACATTGCATAAGCCTGCCACAACGCCAATGTACCCCATCTTTGGCAGGTCCTACTCTGTATGCTTAATGAGCTTCTCACTTGGGGAAATCCTTCCATCTCGAGGTCTCTGCAGTACAATGCTTAAATAGGATCCTGAGATGAGGCACCTGTAACAGGGAAGGGTGCAAAACCCATGGAGCTGGCTAGACTCCTAAATATATACATATATGAGAAAATAAGGGTTTGACTGCACTGTACACACGTTCCACACATACAAACTTATGACATATGTAGTATGACTAGGCTTACATCCTATGTGAAAGCAGAACAAAATGATACTTTTCTTCATCATTGCCCAACACATTGAAAATGAACATTTTTCTAATGCTTTCGTTACTACTGAAGAAAGTTTTGCCTAACCAAGCTTGTTTAATCACTGTTTGTCTTCAACAGGGCAGGAAGTGTAATTGTGGATCATGATGTGATTTTTGAGGCTGACTATAATGAATTTGTGTCGATAACTAGACAATACGAGGATATAATCAATTATATTATAGTAGTGACTGATCCACTTCTGGTGACTATCAACTGCACAGACGAAAGCTGTAAGTTGTAGGTTCATGTGATAGTGACCTTATGATAGTGCTTATAATACTTGTACACTGCATCCTCTGTTTGTCACAAGTCACATACAAGTCAGAATGTTCCATACATGAATGAAGCTCTACTCCTACTCTGAACCAGATCTGGTTCCTTTCAGCCCTGATTGAAAATGACAAGGCTTGTCCAGTGTGTTGGGACTCCTATTCTCCACCCTGTGACACTTTTCATTTGCCGCAGCTTT